AATGGACTATAGCCACTCTTTAGAAAAATATGAAAGAATCCTGTTTACAGAACAGACACCTGGATGCCAGCAGCCCAAGCAAGTTACTTCCACCAACCACAGTAGCCGCCTTAGTGGGGGCTTTGGCGCCGGGATGCCAGCGCCCCTGGCTGCCTACCATCAACCAACCACAGCAACCGACTTCAGTTGGGGCTCTGGGCAGATAACATTAATTTTGATCTGTCATTTTGAACCAAAGTTGTTTCGAGCGAACAGCCGTTTCGCACTAAAGTTGTTTGGTTTCACTTCTAGCAACCACAGCAGCTGGCTTCAGTAGGGGCTTAGGCACCGCAGTCATACACCTCAACAAGGATAAGTCTGCGTTATTGCTCTGCTGTTGTGGAAGTATCCCCTTCAGACCGTCTCTGAACCCCATTTGGGACTTTGGGTATGTTACCATGAGACAAGGAGGCGGAAACCAAAACTAACTGAAACACTTCTCAATTCACAATCTCACCAAAAATCCACATGTGTTAACTCCAGCATCTCTGATAAAGTGCAGCTCACAGTCCCACACAGAGCAAGGCTGGCTTCAGTTTTTACATGTTTATATAGCAAAACTCTACAAGCTACGTTACCACTCGGTCACAAACTGGCTGCCTCTCACAGTGCAACAACAGAGCTGCCTCACAGTCACATCTGACACCACAATGCTCTCACTAAAATCCTCCTTCTGTAAGAAGCCTGAATAGAAACCTCTTCTAGAAAACCCCAGACCTTGGCGCACTAACTCAGACCTCATGAAGTCTGTTAAGACTGGGGGCCAGTCTGCTGGGTCATTTGGTGGAGGAGCAACTGTTCCATTAGGGTCTGAGCTGCTTGTATCTGATGCCGGCTGTACATTTCTGGCTGTGCGCGTACTGACTGAGGCTGCCTGTACATCACTTGGGTCTGTGTGACTTGCTAAAGACGTCTGGACTGGGTCTGTGCTGGTACTGGCTGATGATTCAGCATCTACTGACAAACTAAAGCACAGCCCCTGTAAATTATAGATATTTTCTCAGCTCCATCAGGCCTATTCAAACTGGCTCCTCCGGGTTTCCTTCGAGACATTTTCAAATATAAAACACTATTTATAAAATTACTGGGCTGAATATGTGATGCTATTATTTATTGACATGTGCATCCATATTGCCCAGTCTGTCCAGCTATTCAGCATTTTAATAGTCAGTATGTGAATCCACTGCTTCCCATCATGCATTAGTCCAGAGCTGTAACTAAACTTCACTGTCTTGTTTTAAAATGATGTATGAGGAGCGCCCTCACATCCTGTCTGGACTGGTCCACAGATCTTACTTGAATGCGTGAGTTTAATTTCTCAGGCGGCTCATATGAACGCATTTCCACGTGCAACGCCGTCATCTTTCCCAGGTGCATTTTATAAACAGTCTGACAACAGGCTGCCCAGCTGGTTAGCAGCACAGACCGACAGAGAGATTCACTGCAGCTGCACATTAGGGATAAGTGCGATTCATCTGACTCGTAGAGGAGAGAACACAAGATTACCTGACAGCTGTTCACGCACTTCACTCTCATTGAGTTTTTCTGTTCTCGTGCCTAGATGGATAGTCCCTCTTCATCCTCTCATCAAATTTCTAAACATTCGCGTTCAGCTTTGACTGGAAAGTGAGGCTGGGCCATCCAGCTGCGTATGCCGGTGTCGCAAGTTGAGTCTGCTTTATCAGTTTGACATTTGTTTTTCAGTGCTGCTCCACTCAGGTGCGCTGCATAGGCTAACTAACAATGTAACAAGGTCTCGTGCAGAATGTAACAGAGTGGAAAGTTGGGTATTTGGCATTGAAATGTAGCAGAGTGAAAGAAGTTGCAAAACCTAAAAATCCTTAAGTAAATTACAGATACCGAAACAAACTTCTTAAGTACTGACCCTTCTTTAAGGGTAATTTTGGATTTATTCACGCACTTTAAAAACATTTATTAAAACCCTTTTTCTTTTCACATGTTTAGTTACAGCATTAAACTGGTAGTTCTATGTAAAATCAGACGTTGAGCTCCCCCATATCGCCAAAATGGCATGATCCTTGTTTTGCTGCAAAGCTTGACTGTGAGATTGACAGTTGAATCAGGCTCCGCCTATCGAAGAATTGAATCTTCGACTATTCAGGGTCCGCCCTACTGTACACACACACACACACACACACACACAGTATCCCGCATTCACTGATCCATCACACTAACGTTAGTTAAGTTAACTAACTCTAGATTTACAGTTATGTTAATGATAACGTTGATGCTAACTTATCTGCTACTTTCACTCACCAGGGGCCTGTACCCAGGATATCTTTTCGTTATCTGGCTTCACTAATCCTGATAATCTCCATCGGGATAAGCGGTCACACAAAGCTAGTTATCAACTCGGGAGGTCAACCCAAGGTTTCCCAATCCAGACATGAGCACATTCACATAAAACAGCCGGTGTTAGCGGCAGATGACTAATCACAGACATGAACAAGTCTACTGGCAGCAGTGCGTCATATTTTACAAACGAAGAGCAAACTGTAAAGCTGCTTGCACACTGCTCAGACAGTGCCCAACTAACACCAACATTTTAAAGTTGGCAGTAGTTGGTTTCAGTATTTAGAATGTTCAGAAAACCAACTGTCAGTTCCACACTGCCCAGACAGGAACTGACCAGACAGATTTTTGTTGCCTATTTTTTCTTGTTTAAGTCACAAGGTTGAGGCTGCAGTCACTTTTTGGCAAGTGGAAAACTACTTGTTACTTGTTGCATTGGCCCTTTAAAGGTATTCCTACAGCTTAAAAGGACTGGGTGAGCTATAATCAGCCACAACTCAAATATAACTGAAATTAAGTCATTTTGAGAACCTTTCGGTCACAATTAGTGCAGTGGAATCAGTTTTTGTGCAAAACTGTATTGGCTATATTGCTCAGTATTTCAACTGGTAATGAGTTATAATCTGTCTTTTTGGCAAGTGCAATACTACAAAACTCACTTCAACTGGTTATAAAAGGACTGGATTGGTTGGCACAGAGCAAGCAAAAATAATGTCACATGGATAAATGAGAGACACTTCCTTTATTTTATTTATAGCCAAACCAAGCTGTGAATCATGTTAATTAATGACTACAGTCTGTTTTCCAGATATAAGCAAGGGTCTGCAACAATAGGCAAATTTTATTGCCTATAATAACGTTTTGTCAGGCCTGATTACAATAAACTGGCAACACTTTAACTGTCATTAGTTTCACAAAGACATACCTTTGCTACCACGGGCAAGTAATGCTTGTTTGCACGTTATGACTGTTTGCGATAAAAGCAGCTGTAGATGTAGGCTATAGGGCGTTACAGCTTTCACATGCTGCTGTCACGGTTTGGCTCACTGCCTCCTCAGTCCTACTGTGTTCTGTCTGTTTCCCAGGCAGCTTTGCTAGTCTACCTGGTCCTTTCATCACTTTTGCCTGTCATAGATAGGCTACATGGTACTACTTAACACTTTTGGCCAGAAATTTGGCCGCTACCTCCCTATGATTTTATTTTTCTCTGTGTGTTTTGGCTTCTCTTTTTCTGTCCCTCTGACAGGCTGCAGTGTTTGCTTAAAGGCACTCGCTTTACTTGTAGGTCCTGCACACTGAATGGCCAAATGTTTCGACCATACCATTTTCACAAACAGAGGGGGGTGGGTTATCAGATCACAAGGATGAAATATGTTGTAATGATAATAATACATTTATTTATCATGTAAATACAACTAAAAAGTGTTGTTATTCATATGAGACAGTAAGTTCAGTCTTGTACTTGATTCCATTTCCAAGGGTCAACCATAGACCTTTGCATGGGCCCCCTGGGCCTTGGGCCAGGGTAATCTGTACCCTTTGACCGCCCCTGATGGCGGGCCTGCCCAAGTGAGTTTTGTGCCTAGTGTGCCTGTTGAATCTTACTTTACCTGTTTTTGCTCCTGCTACAGATACCCGCTTCAGTTCTGGAACACCAGTCTTATTTTTTTGGACCAGCCTCTCGCCTGTCTGCCCGCACTCAGCCACAGTCTCACAGAGCACCATTCCCTCCTGTTGTTCAATAAAACCCCTGTACCTGTTTCTAACTGTGGCTCCGTGTCTGCTCCTGAATCATAGACAGCCCAGCCTAACAGCTTGATGTTTGGAATCATCAGGAAAAAAGGCATTAAGCAATGTTTAACATTTTGTAAAAATACTCTCAAGACTGCTCTTAGAAATAGGCAGACATGTGCAGAAAAACAGTATTTCAAAATGTGGGATTTACTTTATTTGCGTGGCATTAAGAAACGTTATATGTTTTGTTTTAAAAGAAAAATACTCCTTGCTGCTGTTATGAGTATAATATTAGTCGGGAGTTGGGAGAGAAAGCTTTGTTTGTGGTGGGGGTAGTGAAAGTAATATAGTAATGTAACTAGTTACTTTTATCACCCACTAATAAGTAAAGTAATATTATTACTTTGTTAGGGAGTAACAACACTGCTAGTCAGTCACAATTTGTTACTTTTGAGGTTTACCTATTCACGACCATAGCTATTTATTAGTGATTTGATGAATGATTGTTTGAGACTTCCAACACACTTTTTCAGAAAGGAATTGATTTTCTCTGATTCTATTTAACACCATTAGTAAGTGTCAGTTATGAATACATAGTCAGTATACCACTGGTTTAAATGTAACTGATAAAACTGATAATCAAATTTGTTTTGCAACCCTACAAAGAACACTTCTTATAACCAGGCTGGGGGAATAGATTTCTATCAGAAAATGAAATAGCTTTTAATACACAACATCTCTGTTGAGGCAAATATCAAGGAAATGCACAGATATTTGCATCTGTCAGAGCCATGATGCACTCGACCGGAGAAAGTATGTAGTCTTATGTTGCAGTCATAATGCATGGACATTTGTAAATATTGGTCTAGGTGCTTTGACTAAAAGCTGAAAATAAAAGCTTGACTCAGAGTAGCAAAGGTGACGTTGCTTGTGATTAGTGTATCTTCATGCAGGCAGCATTCAGGGAAGGAAGTACAGGTGCAGCTGCAGCTGGCAGAGGGCATCATGTTAAAATCATTGGGGAGAGAGAAAAAGGTGAGTGAGATACTACAACCTAAATAGCATTTTCACTTTTCTAATGTTATAGAGTCACGCATTTTGTCTAAGATGTACAGAAGCAAGACATTGAAATCTTTTTTTCTGATTTCAATGCATCTGTCATTTGTGTAGAATATTTGACTTGCCTCTAATCAACTGATGTTGCTATGCTATTGTATTGCTGATGCTGTTTTCTCCTCCACAGTAAAGATGCTGTGGAGTCTGTTGTTCATCTCCCTGATTGGTAAGCAGATCACTTTGTGCACATGCATGTCAGCGATCTTTTAAACAGTTGATACACAGATGAGATTGTAGGGCAGAGCCACAAAAATGTGAGTCATGGATAAAATAATAAAACAGTTAATTGTGTTTAACTGCAAACTGCTCACCACCAAATATTTAAGGATGGCATATTTGAAAGATGAGTATTCTGTGCTTACTGTTGCCAGTAACTTTGATATGACTAAAATCTAAATATTGAAATGAAAGCAGGAATTCTTATATAATCTTCTGGTGTTTAACATTTCACAGGAAGTGCACAAAATGATGATGGTACAGGACTAAAAGCATTTCTTTACACTCATCAGTTTAATTTATCTCAAGTTATTTTAAAAAAAGGAAAGTATAATAATATTTCTATGCTAAATATGTAAGGGCCAATATTTATAATAAGAGTATTGGTCCAAGGTTTTTGTTTTCATTTACAGCTCTCTGCAACACACAACGCCTACCACTTAATGGGACAAAAACATCTCAGAAATCAAACTACACAGATGCAAATCAACTCATCTACTCTTCTGCAAGAGCTACTGATGGGAATATGACGACATGTGCTATCACTGGGAAGGAGTCAGACCCCTGGTGGAGAATTGACCTGCTGCGTGTCTGCAACATTTCTTGTATCACTATCTACAACACAGCTGAGGACAACACTGACATAAGTGGTGCTCAGATCCACATTGGGAGCTCGCGTGAAAACAACACCATCACTAACAGCATGTAATACCTTTATGTTACTTGAATGTTTCATTTCACATTTAATTTATCTAAGATTGGCTTCAAGGATTAGAAATGACAAATATATCTGAAGAGGGTTTCTGGTCATAATAGATTTGAGTTTTCATGCCTCCAGTGACATTTCTAACTCACAGCTCCAGTGACAATAGATTAACCCATGTGACTTGATTTCAGAGTAAAAATTAAATTTAAAGCCTTAAAAATCTTGGATGCGTTGAAACCTAACAAAAGGTACTTAGTGCTGGCCGTTGAACTGAGTGTGTTGTTGGTGCATCAATCAACAACATAAGATACAGACTGGCAGCTTAGTATACTTCATAGCCCCACAGACACTGGCAGAATTATGGAGTTACTCTCTGGGTGACGGAGGTGTCTGTAGAACTTGCTTCCTTTTTTCAGCTTCCACAAATCCAAAGCAAGCACAAACATCACTCTTCCTGCCCTTTCTGTTTCTCTCCCTTTTAATGTACAGTATGTTTATATTTTTCTCTCTTCCAGATGTGAAAACATCACAAACTTCAAAAAAAACAATTCGAATAACTTCACATGTAATACAACCATGTCGGGGCGCTACATCACTGTCTTCTATCCAGGAAATAAACCGTTAATTCTGTGTGAAGTGATGATCTACGGCACAATAACAGGTACAAGAAATGTTCTCACCCACAACGTGAGTTGCTTATTCACTGCAGTGCACAGATATAGTTGAGACATGAGTTAATACTTTAACTGAAGACTGAAATTTCTCCTTTACAGCTAAACAAAAAGTGAATTAATACACTAAGAGCAGATATTATTGTAAGGGCAGAAAATTGTTTTGTTCTTACACTTATCATCTTTGATGCAAGCACTTATAAGAGTGCTATTTTTCTCCTTTTATTATGTCGTATATATTGTTTTAAATCTTTAACCTGTTCCATCTTTATTATTGTTCTTCTTATTCCAGTCTGTCCACATGTGTGGGGTTTAGGTCAGGGATGTGGGGTTGTTGATTGTTTTCCTCACTAGCTGTTCTTCTCCTTCCTTGACTGGTCCCAGTCAAGGATCTTTTGTTCCCCAAAACATAGATGCTCAGACTGTGTAAGTGATCATGCAATTGTTTGCTCTGGGCCAGACGTTAGTGACTGTCTTAGGAGACAGAGCCTCTGGTCCAGCTGATTCTGTTGTAGTACCTCTCTGTTTATTCTCTTTTGTTAAATAAATTCTTCAAAGACAACGGTTGGTTGTAACTCAATTATTTGCTCAACCTCTCACCAGGAATACAATTTCCACGACAATTATTAGGACAAATAGTAAGACAAAAAAACAACGCACAAAATTATTTTAGTAGATTACAAAGCTTTAAATGAATTGAAATTGACTTGCTGTATGTAGGCTAATTGTTCAAGCTAATCATGGTGAAGGTTCAAAAGTGATGGCCACAGAGCCCAAGGTCTGATACAGGAAGGATTGCATTCTGGTCTATGTGTGTATGATGTATGCACCCGTGTTGCACCTTTTAGTTTTTCTCTCAGATGTTCACTTTCATCTCACTCATACCCTTTGTTATTATATTCTGAGCCTTAAGATGAGAAAGAGTTGAAAGCCTCCTTTATTAAGAGAATGATGCCATTATCAGAGGAAAGAATTCTAAAGTGGATGACTCCTCTGTTTTTGGACCCTCTGCTCTTAAAGTCCTTGTTGTGTGTCACCCTGTTCAATGCGCTTGAAAAATGTAACACTGATGTTTTGTTTTTCTAGATCCACCCTTTGTGCTGATCAATGAGAGTAAGACGTGGGAAGAGGCCCTGTACTACTGCAGGGACAATTACATGGACCTGGCTTCCATCGTTGATGAAGACACCCAGGCCTGGGCTGAGCTGGAGGCCAAGAAGGCCAACACTCCCTTTGTGTGGCTGGGCCTTCACTACACCTGCACCCTGGAGTTCTGGTTCTGGGTCGATGACCAGCGCCTAGACTTCAATCGCTGGAAACCAGAGAAGAAAAGAGGAGATTGTGGCATGAGTGGTGCCATGGAGACACGAGAGGAACATCTCTGGTTCAGCACCTCTGACTACGAGACGTTTTATTTCATCTGTGCAAAGTAAGAGAAATCAATGTTTTGTTTTTCTCAGCTGCTATAAAAAAATGTAACGGTGGTGACATTGTTGTGTTGTGACAACGTCTCTCATATGTGTCACAGGTGATGGGTTCAGGCCCAGAGCAGCAGCTTTCCAGATAAAAGGGATGAAGCACAGAGCATTTCCTCACTAAATGTGACTTACAACAACACATATATCACTTGCTTTTTTAGTAATTGCAACAGTTTATGGAATTAGTGTCAATGTATCCTACATTTGTAATTTATGATATTTTGATACAATGATTTTATGATGATGTTGTCAACATTTTTTATTCTCTTCTTGAAACTGGATCCTTGGGATTTAAATGGCCTGTCAATATTATGTTAAGAAATTCCTAATTTCCATTCATATTAAATAAATTTTATGTGGCCACATATGTTTTGTAAACCTACACTTGCATACTTCAATAAGTCTTTTTAAATGATATTTACTGCATATGTTATTTCCTCTGAATGTATAGGGAATATGTGGAAGAACTGCTTAATGTATGTATTAATATATGGGTTGACATTTTTTGGTGGGGCACGCTATGAAGATGCAAATTTGCCTTTCTTTATTATTGTTTTTGGAATACCAATATCAAGTCTAAATAAAAGTTGATGTGTTTGAACAATTAATTCTCTTCAGGGGCGTGTCCAAGTAGTTATCTTAGACTGTGATTGGATACCTGAATGGTCAGAGGCGGGACCTTAGTTTGTATTCGAGTATTTTTGAATATGCATCATCTTCTTTTGCATGGAGCCACATTTGTATGGTGTCACTCTGTTGGGGCCTGAGTCCAGGTTCTGCTCAAGATTTCTACCTCCTAAAAGGGAGTTTTGCATTATTGTCCTGTGTGTATACCTGTGGGTATAAGCCCATGTAGGTATAGCCTAGCCATTTAGGCAACAGCTACATATTTATTTAATTTATTACAGCCAATAAATGCAGAAAGTTAAGTTGGTCAGAATATAGCAACAACAAATGCCTATTTTTAAAGAAAACAAAACAGCCCACATTTCCTTAGATCTGTAGACCACTAACTTACTGACCTCAGAATCAGCTGCCCTGCCATTCTCCTACTTCTCTCTCTCTCTCCTAAATTATCTTCAATATCCATCTGGTCAATGAATGGAAGGATATACAACAGCATTAACTGGGACACTATGACATCTAGTTTTCACAGACAACAACATTCTATGGGGACTGATTTTTTTGAAATAGATTACTAGAGATAGGCAATATTAATGGCATTCACATTATCACACATTGACTATGTAAAGAGTTTTCCATAGTCAGTTAAAACATCCCCTTTACTTTACTTCAGTTTAACATAGCTTAAGTTCAGCAAGTAACAGTCACTAACAACAATTTACAGTTTCACTCTGTATCACTCACCATGCTGTATCAATCTTCCTTCACCATGTCTGCATGTGGCTATGTGCATGTCTCTCTCTCTGTGCAGTAACGTTGCTCAGCAGCTGGGCAGAGCAGCGACGAAAGGCAGCCTCCCTCAGGGTCCAAGTGCCCTACCATAGTAGGGATTTAAATTATGAAGCAGAGGAAACAACCAGAAGGATTATTTTAAGCCAATAAATACAAATTATATTTGTATTATTCTGTAGTATTTATCATTATTCTTGCTTCTCTTTGTTGAGTACATGTCTGCACTGTAAAAAAATAAACACAGCAAAATATACCACACACACACACACACACTACATGTAAGCAATAAACAGTTCTATGTAAATAAGTAAAGCTTGAAAAGTACAATAAATACATGATAAATAGGCAGTAAACATTAAAAATTATTATTATTAAAAGTTAAAAACAGATAAATAAAGAAATAAAATAAATCCCCAATCCACATGGGAAGCCAAAAAATCCCCAAACACACATGGACATACACATTGATAAATAACTTAATCAACCATTCATGTTTCTAATGAACGTGGGCACAAAACTTGTAATGGCTCTCCTAGTCCTGAATGTGAGAGATCTGTATCTCTGGCCTGAGGGTAGAAGACTGTAGTGCAGTGTGTGAGTGGTGTCTGAGGCTATTTGTGTTCCTTTTAGTTTAGTCCTCCTGTTGCAAATACTGATAAGTGGTTCCAGCACCTGTCTGATTATACTGCTCATTGTTATGATTTTGTTTAGTGTGTTGCAATGGATGTTTGATAGTGATCCAAACCAGGCTGATATATTGAAGGTTATTACAGATTCAATTAAGCATTTGTAAAAAGCTATCAAGACTGACTGGTTCCACTGTTTGGTTGGTAGGTAAGTTTGTGATCAATTATTGTCCAAGGTATCTATATGATTCAACGCTTTCAATTGGCTGGTTGTTGACTAACAGAGTGGGGATGATGGAAACATGTTTGCGGAAGTCAACAACCAGTTCCTTTGTTTTAGAGGGGTTGAGGTCAAGACAGTTCTGCTTGCACCACTCTGCATAGATGTCCATCTCAGTCTGTAACTCTCTTAGAGATTTTACACGCCTTCATCTCATCACGCCTGGATTATTGCAACAGCCTTTTCACCTGTTTAACCCCAAAATCTATTGATCGACTCCAGACTGTCCAGAACTCAGCTGCCAGGCTTTTAACCAGAACAAAGAAATATGACCACATTACTCCTATTTTAGCTTCATTACACTGGCTCCCAGTATGTTTTAGAATTGACTTTAAAATTCTATTGATCACTTTTAAAGCTCTTCATGGCCTCTCGCCTTGTTATATTTCTGAACTTTTAGTCCCATACACACCAGCACGTACCTTGAGATCCTTGGGCAGAGGTCTGTTGTCTGTTCCAGAGTCTCGACTGAAAACTAAAGGGGACAGAGCGTTTGCTGTCAGGGCCCCGAGGCTCTGGAACAGTCTGCCCGAGGAAATCAGGTCGGATGAATCAGTGAACTCTTTTAAGTCCCTTCTTAAAACATACTTTTATAGGAGACCTTGTCCCGATCTTATTTGACTTTATTTTATCCCTTTTATTTTATTGTATTTTACTAATTTTATATTAATTTTTCATGCTCTTATCTTGTTTTTTTTGTATTATTCTTTACACTTGTTAAAGCACTTTGTAACTTGTTTTTGAAAAGTGCTCTACAAATAAGGATTATTATTATTATTATTATTATTAGAGAGTTAGTGGTGTCGATGATCACAGTGTCGTCGGAATATTTAATGTATGTTATACCGGGGTTATTGCTCCTGCAGTTATTAGTGTATAGTGTATACAGAATCGGTGAGATTACAGAGCCTTGTGGGGCTCCAGTGGAGACTGTCTTGGAAGAACTGAGGTGACCATTAACTCTGAGTCTATCAATCAGAAAAGAGAGGATCCAGAGAATAAGGTTCACGTCCATTTGGAGCAATTTTTGTCCCATCAGGTGAGGTTGCACTGTGTTAAAATCCCTTGAGAAATCCACAAAGACCAGTGTAGTGAACCAACCAGTCTTCATTTAATTATTTTATGCCAAAAGGAAAGAACCCAGAATCTCTCTCTTTGTCTCTTCCTAATAGAAGGGGGGTGAGATATCACCCCCCAAACAGACGGGCTGACACCAGGACCTAAATACCCCAAAAGAAAGAAAGAAAGGTTTGCTACATAAAACACCGTTTGAGAAGTTTTGACCACTAAATCCACCAACTCCGGTGAAGTTGAGATAATGGACTCTACGCATGACTGTTAAATATTAACCTTGTCCAGAGACTAACTTCACCCTGAACCAGGTTGGCAGGAACCTCTATGGACAGAGGCCATAAACTAGAGGCCATAAACTAAGGGCCAAATGGCATCACACACACACACACACACACACACACACACAGGTTGCCCCCTCCTTTTCACGCCGATGTGCCACACTGATAAGAAAAGCCAGATGGCCAGGAAGCCTCAAATTCCTTTTTTTGGATCAAAGAATGTTTTTGCCTTATAAGCTGTTTTGTTGCTCTGTTTAATTAAAAAATCTTTAACAGGTACTTAGTAGTTCCCGTCAATTTTAAGTAGTTATTACCATGTCGTATTGTTAAGAAACTATGTTGAAGGAACCATAAAGAAAGTTAATTTGAAGTGCTGTTATTTTTCTCCTGATGCTCATTCACATAAGCTGCGTTTCGACCAAAGGAACTAGACCCCGGAACTAGGAACCTTTGGAGGAACTCACTGTTTTTCCACTGGAGGGACCAGAGTCTAAATGTAGGTCTTCATTTTACCCCCGAAAAACTCCCTGCTCAGGTGGTAGCACTTTTGAAAGTACCGGTACTTTGGGGGGGTGGCGCTTGCCTGAATGGGCGAGTAGAGGCTACTGGCTTTAATTGGAGAATGTCCAGTGTCTTTCTATAACTGCTCGTCTCTTTTCCACCTTTGTTTGCAAACCAATAAATCACAATCAACAGTCAAAAAATAGCCACACAAGTCTCGCCGATGTCCGTCTGAGATCGTATGTTGGCATTAAATATATAGCAGCCAGCTTGCAGCGGTGTGTTTACGCTAAATACTGGGTCCTAAGTTGTTGTTTTAAGTTTTCATCCGTCAGGAGGTTTTTACACAGAGCCGAAGTCGGTCTTCTCCTCTCCAAAACAAACGGAACAGCTGATTACAGCAGGTAATAAAGCTCGATAAACATCACGTTCTTCGCAGGTGGACACGTGAGTGCAGCAGCTGATCTACAGCTTTTGTTGGCTGGAAATGTTTTAATAACCTTCCAAAATGTCACAATTTTATTTTTGTGTTGCTCTCTCTGTGCTGGAGTTATTTTTGCATGGAGCGTTCCTCTCTCTCAGGGCGGAGTTGTGGCCTGTGCCTCTGGTGCTTTGGTGATCGTCCCAGCTGCAGACAATCTGCAATCGGCACACCTGTTTCCCGTGGCTATCAGCTCAGGCTCTTATACCCTGCCTTCTGCTCTCGTCCCCGCTGGATTATTAAGTCATGTTTGTAGGTGAAACTACCTTGTGGTTATACCAGCCTCCTGTAGACCTGGCTTTCAAAGAGAAAGCGAAAGCATCTGACAGCAACTGCCTCAGAGACCTGAAATGGCACAGCAAGGAATTCAGAGGGACCGAGTAAAGTTCAGCTGTTCCATCTGTCTGGATGTACTGAATGATCCGGTGACTACTCCCTGTGGACACAGCTACTGCATGAACTGTATTAAAACCCACTGGGATGAAGAGGAGGAGAAGAGAATCCACAGCTGTCCTCAGTGTAGGCAGACCTTCACACCGAGGCCTGTCCTGCTGAAAAACACCATGTTAGCAGATTTAGTGGAGGAACTGAAGAAGACTGGACTCCAAGCTGCTCCTGCTGATCACTGCTATGCTGGACCTGAAGATGTGGCCTGTGATCTCTGCACTGGGAGAAAACTGAAAGCCCTCAAGTCCTGTCTGGTCTCTTACTGTGAGAAACACCTCCAGCCTCACTTTGAATCTCCTGCCTTTGAGAAACACAAGCTGGTGGAGCCCCTCAAGAAGCTCCAGGAGAACATCTGCTCTCGTCATGATGAGGTGATGAAGATGCTCTGCCGTACTGATCAGCAGAGTATCTGTTATCTCTGCACTGTGGATGAACATAAAGGCCACGACACAGTCTCAGCTGCAGCAGAAAGGACTGAGAGGCAGAGAGAGCTCGAGGTGAGTCGACAAAACATCCAGCAGAGAATCCAGGACAGAGAGAAAGATGTGAAGGTGCTTCAGCAGGAGGTGGAGGCTATCAATGGCTCTGCTGATGAAGCAGTGGAGGACAGTGAGAAGATCTTCACCGAGCTGATCCGTCTCATGGAGAAAAGACGCTCTGATGTGAAGCAGCAGGTCAGATCCCAGCAGGAAACTGAAGTGAGTCGAGTCAAAGAGCTTCAGGAGAAGCTGGAGCAGGAGATCACTGAGCTGAAGAGGAAAGACGCTGAGCTGAAGCAGCTCTCACACACAGAGGATCACAACCAGTTTCTACACAACTGCCCCTCAGTGTCAGCACTCAGTGAATCTACAGACTCATCCAGCATCAAGAAACGTCCTCTGCGCTACTTTGAGGATGTGACAGCGTCTGTGTCAGAAGTCAGAGACAAACTACAGGACGCTCTGAGTGAGAAATGGACAGACATCTCACTGACAGGGAGAAAAGTGGATGTTTTACTGTCAAAGCCACAACCAGAGCCCAAGACCAGAGCTGAGTTCTTAAAATATTCACGTGAAATCACACTGGATCCAAACACAGCACATACATATCTGTTATTATCTGAGGGGAACAGAAAGGCAACATTAATTAAAAACAGTCTTATTCTCGTCACCCAGACAGATTTACTGGATGGTTGCAGGTCCTGAGTAGAGAGAGTCTGACTGGACGTTGTTACTGGGAGGTGGAGTGGAGAGAGGGAGGAGTTTATATAGCAGTCGCATACGAGAATATCTGCAGAGCAGGGAGGTCGAATGAATGTGGATTTGGATACAATAACAAATCTTGGGCGTTAGATTGTCACAACAACAGTTGTAAGTTTTGGTACAATAATGTCCAAACTCCCGTCTCAGGTCCTCGGTCCTCCAGAGTAGGAGTGTACCTGGATCACAGAGCAGGTATTCTGTCCTTCTACAGCGTCTCTGAAACCATGACTCTCCTCCACAGAGTCCAGACAACATTCACTCAGCCTCTCTATGCTGGACTTGCACTTTACTCTTCTTGTGGAAACACTGCTGAGTTCTGTAAACTGAAATAGTCAGATAAGGCACAGAGGGTTAAATTCTGTTTTAATCCTTAAACTTGTTTTGTCTTCATGTTCGTTGCTGAGAGCTGATTGTTTGGCATTTATTCACTGCACAGAGATCACCTGTCAGTCAAACATTATGGGGGGTACTTTAAGAGATAAGATTTACCTTTCTTAATCCCAACAGGGGAAATTCAGTTTGGCACAGCAGAACAGAGGAATGTAGAAGAACAAAATACAACAAAAGTAGAATAGGTAACATTTCACATAGATGTTTGAATGTATACACACTTTGACATCTTCTTGTTAGTTGCTGTGTAAATGTTTGTGTTTCTTTAGGTGGAGCTCCTTCCTGTGTCTGTTTAGCCATGGAGGCTATCACTGCTCATGATGATGAAGCAGTGAAAGACATTAAGAAGATCTTCACTGAGCTGATCCATCTCATGGAGAAAAGAAGCTCTGATGTGAGCATTTGTTCAGAAGTCAGAGACAAACTACAGGACGCTCTGAGTGAGAAATGGACAGACATCTCACTGACAGGGAGAAAATGGATGTTTTACTGCCACAACCAGAGCCCAAGACCAGAGCTGAGCTCTTAAAATATTCACATGAAATCAGACTGGATCCACACAGCACACACATATCTGTTATTATCTGAGAGGAACAGAAAAGCAACATTAATGAAAGAAGAACTGTCATATTCTAGAGACCCAGGCAGATTCAGTTTGTATAGGCAGGTCCTGAGTAGAGAGAGTTTGACTGTTATCGGGAGGTGGAGTGAAGAAGTAAATGTACAGAAGAGGGATACTGGCAGAGCATGGAATTCAAATAAATATGCATTTGGATACAATGACAAGCCCTGGGCATTAGATTGTGTCAACAACTATTTAGATTGTGTCAACAACTATTATGAATTTAGACATACTGATGTCATAACTCCAGTCTCAGGTCCTCAGTCCTCCAGAGTAGGAGTACATGGATCAGAGTGCAGGTAGGCTATCATTTTTATTCCCTAAAGGTACATTTGTCTAAAAAGTACCCTGTAAGGTACGGAAATGGTCCTTGTGTGACATCTAGTGGTGAGGGTTAGGTGCCTGAGAAAGTACAAAAGATCTATGAAAGGTCTATGAGATAGCAGAGAGTTGCGAGTCAAGAAATCAGGTTTCTTTAGATAGATATATTAAGAAATGATATTTACTTAATTATTAACTAAAACCATATGTTATTGTGAATATTATTTTTACTTGTTCATTAAACAACAGCCATATCAAGTAAAGAGTGCTACATGATGTCTCATACTCTTGCAATACATTATTTTACTGTAATGTATGCATTGTAAGGTGAGGATCAAGGCTCCTCTTGCTTTGCTTAATTAGATAAACATGCGAATATGCATGCAAAATGTCTGTTTATAATTTTTTGAAATACAACATACATAGACTTTTTAAAAGTTGCCATACAATTATGTTTTCTGCTCTCTGTTTAATTTAAAAGGTGCAATACTTAACTTTTAGCCTGGATAAATGTGACATATTTTCAGACACTACTTAAGAGTTTGACTTGAAAAATCCATGTAAATGAGCATTTGTTTCCATTTGGATCATTGCTTGCTCCTTAAATGGAGTCTTGAAGATATAATATGTAATATTTACGCATTAAAATGTCTAAAAACGACTGAATGATGAACACTGAAGTAATCCTAACAAGGTGTAGCTGACTGAAATGAAGGCAATGATGGTGAAGACAACAGCTTCCATGAGCCCACACTACTTCGTGACACCATTGCAAGTCTTTTGTCATTACTCACTGTTGTAATACGTATATCAAACAAACAATAGTATTTTAAAGATTCAGGATTGATGTTGAGGAAAAGTGTATTTTACAATAAAGAACCTGAAACCATTTGTCAATTATTTCATGTTTGTTTAGGAACCACATTATTTTGGTTAGATTTAGAATATTTCTTTAGGAAGTTGACTGGTTCAGCTATTTATGAAAAAAAAAATTTTTTTTAATGATAAAATTGAAATTGATTGTAAAGTCATAGGCTATATATTTTGAACCTCTTACATTAACTTACGCAAATGATCTAAAAAGAAACCACAAATACAACATTTCAAAATAGAAATCAAACATTATATTGAAGCATTATATAGTCTGAAGAATAGGCTAAAGCAATTAAACAGTAAAACTGTTAAAGAATTAAATATTTTTCTTTAATGCCTTTGTTTCTTGTTGTGATACAACGTATCTTTTTGTGTAGGCTACTTTTGTTTTGGCTTAAGATTTTCGTATGGGATGAATAAGATTCAATAAAAACAACAGTTATACTCTCTGTCAGACAAGAGCATTTTATAAAAACACAATATAATCTTTAGGCTATGTTGTTAACTGTGAATGGTGATGTAGAAATATTTGTGTAGTTACGGAATTTAAAACTTCTACATTACGGGCGTAGTTACACGGAACTCCATCGTGCAGCCAAGGCTGTTCCTTCAACAAGCCAGCATCGACGCTCACTCGGCACTGGAGCGTTTAATAACCCACTACCTCTCCGCGCTCAGTGGTTCTGATGGAATTCAATGTGGCGGACCTCCCGCGTGAACGCGCAGATGGAGTGGAAGTAGGTAGAGGAGGGAGTAGCAAGTAGGCCTACTTTCGGAAAAGCCCCTAGCAGCAGGAAAGTTTAAGTATCCCCTTTATTTACAGCGGAATGGTTTTTAATATAGTTATTTTGTTCCTTTTATTTTCTAAATTTAAAAAAAAGTTATACTACAAATGTTATAATTATTATCATGAATGAGGGAAGCATGTTTTTCTCTCTTCATAATCCATACAAACTCAGAGTAAAGCGTCGTTATAGTAGCCTACTCTCGCTACATGGCATGCAAATTTACATCTAAAAAATATAGGGTTGTCCCTTTAATCATCCCGGGTATCAGGTGCAGTAAGACGGATTCCACCACTAGAGTTCTCCCTCCGGTTCACCAGCTCTGCTCGGTTGTGTTGGCGCTGTCTGTGTTTACCTCCCAGCCCAGCGCTGCTTTACTGTGGCCAGCTGGTAGTAAACCGCCATCCACAGCCTCAACTAGCCCGAAAAATACTAATGTAAGCTGCCTCGCCTTCAATCCTTCGCGGATTTCCTGCAGCGCTGTGTGTTAGTGACACTGTAGCAAAGGTGAGGTTGATTTTTATTCTTACGAAAACGACATACGCTCAATGACAACACTGCGGCTAGCCAGCCAGCCAGCAACTACAGGCGCTAGCACCGTTAGCTTAGCCGTAGCTGCCATTGCTATCCCGTGATGGAGGATACTGAACATGGCGCCCTCCAAAACAAACGAGTATGTAAGCTAGTTAGCCTACTGTGTTTTGCTGTTTTGTGACGACGGGTGGAGCTTCACGTGTACTCGCAGTATCACTAACGTGTCGCTTTGACTGCGAATCGTGTCGAGGTTCGCTGACAAATTGACTAATTAGCTTAGGTTTACCAACCGACAAGCTAAAGTTAGCTACGTGACAATTTAGTAGCATCGCTAACAAAAATTAACTCCCCACGACAGCCTGCTTGCCAGCTAACCATGGATTGTACGTGCTTGTTTTGGGGTTGTATGCTATCGCTCAATATATAAGCAGCATACATTGGCTGGTTTAAGTTATTTAGAATAAGTTAACTTACATCACTCCTTTGTCTTGGCAAGCATTGGTTTTGGACCTTTGCTAGCCTGCTAGTAGTAGCTATACTCAGCTATGCCCGTGGCCTTCCACGGTTAACGCTACCTCTTTGTTGGCAAATCCACGAGTGGTGTTTAGTATGCCATTTAATTGTGAGGTCTGTTGTTGAGTTTTAAATAACAGTGTGATAATCCGGATCTTCTTTCACAGAACGGCGCATGTCAGTGTGGTTGATATTAGCTGGCTAACGGTGGACGGCAGATGCTAAAATCTATTGACAGCCCTAACTTACATCCAAACATGTGTGACAGAGTTTATTTTCTTTATCATAACTAACAGGTATGATTGTTGTGGGGTTAAGTAAGGAAAGGAGCTGTCCGGTTTTCTTAAAAGAATAACAACAACGCTATGTAGTCTCTTTATTTGTCTTAGAGGAACCACAAAACCCTCTCAACCTGTGTTGGCTGTCTTTTAATTAGCTCCAGTTTCGCACACCTTGCCTAATTGATTGGGGAGCACGTTGGCGTGCATAACCGCCCTCCTGTCAGCATGTAGTGTGAGCTCTCTGGAGACAGAGGTGCAGGCTGACAGCAGTGCGCCAGGCAGAGGTGGCCTTGTGGTGTACATGCCAGCCCAGCTGAAGCATATGGAGGAGGGAGAGCAGGAGTGGCCATGCTGCCTTGGCATCAAGGTGCAGGTGGCTCTCGTTCACACCTATTGCACTTTACACATAATCGGGGAGCTCATATTACTCACTGTCACCTTACAGCTCCCATTCCCTCTTTCTCCTTCAGCTGTGTTGTGATGCTGTAAAGTCTGCAAAACTACCTGCTTATAATCTCGAGGTTGATTTCCCCCTCACTGTTGCTCTCTCATCCAAGAGTGCTATGATATTTCAAGCCAAGATGAGTGAAAAATGTTGTTCCACCATGCCTCATTGTTCAGTGTAGCATAATGTGCACCCTAAAGTAAATGTCAGAATATTTACACACTGCTGGAAAAAAATGTTTCTAGTGTGTCTTTGTTAGCAAGTAGTCATACCACGACCAACAAGAATACCAATTCTGCTTTTGGGGCAGACACTGCAGAACTTTCTAAAGTGCCATGGATGTCAAAATCTTTACTGTGCTTACGGAGATGATAATATCACACACTACCTCAGCCTAAGAAACCACCAGTCTGACTAAAACATAAACTAGACTGTATATTTTGCCTGTTTGCTGAGAGTGACCACATGCTCTGTGTTGATTTCCGCTTGGGTGATTTCCTTATTTGCTCTGGAGACCACATTTGTAGATTTTTCTCACATGTTTTTCTTAACCCTAAACCACAGTTCATGGTCTCACGAGAAAAGTGTGAATAGGAACATTCTCTCTCAATGTCTGTCATAGCCTTCTTGTACCATAAAGCGCACTAAAGCCAAGACTCCTCCTTCATAGAAAAATGCTCTGAGCGTTATTATGGTTAGCTTTTGGCTGAGATTTATGAAAGTGACATCTTTAGTTTCACGGATGGTTAAGAGGAGGACCGCATAAAATTGGATTTTAATTCCTTAAGATATTCGGAGAAGGCCAGGCCTGTGCACCACATTAAAGACGCAAAGCAGCTGTATTCAGAACCTTTGAAGCTATCTAAGACTTGTCCTTGTCAGATTCCCTCTGACATGTTCTGAGCATCTATCACCAGCAGTATTTGTTGTGATGTCCTCATGGCATGGAGGGACATGGTCTGAGGTATTAAGAATGTCTTTTTAATGACAGCAAGGCATAATATACATATTTGATGTAATTTGTGCTTGTCAGGAGGAATAAGGAAGACATAAGAGATTCAAATAAATGTTGCCTGGATAGGAGAGAGGAGACGGTGAGCATAATATTAAATTTATCTCTGCAACACAAAGGTGTTTGCAGCTTTAGTTTGACACATCGAACACCTGGCCTGTGAAGAGTGATGATCAAGGTCACAACAAATATTTCTTGGACTTGTCATTGCTTCAAAGCTACACGTGCCATTTCCCAACAAGTTTAGTTCAAAGCATCTGAAACTATTGTGATTGCCTTTACTTCTGAAATAAAATACCTCAATACCTCAATAACATGTCAAATATTTTGTGAAGGAGTCTGCTTAAAAATGATTCAGTTGTTGCTCAGTTTAAAAATGATAAACTCAAAGGATGTGTTAAGTATCCACTTGACATTCAGTCAGTAAGAAAGACACATAGCAATGTTAATTACAACTAAATTCCACTTATTCCATTCTGTCACCCGACCTTACCCATATTCCCTGTGTGTTGTTTACTCATATTTGTATGATACTGAGAAATATTACAAAGTTTGTGTTTTAAAGTATAATGACTCTTCTCTAAATGTAAGTTAAGTCATCCATCCACATTTTAATGGTTTCTTCCACTATGTGAGTATTTTTATTTATTTATTTTAGCCATGGAAAAAATACACCTAGGCCTAGAGCTGAATTAGGATGACGTTGGAAGGAGTTTTTGTTTTGGGTAAGCCATCCGCAGCAAGTGTGGTCAGACAGTAACCAGTTGTAGGGGTGGGTGGGTATTGTTAGGATTATACTTTTAGCTTATCCATACTAGGGCTGTATGATTATGGCCAAAATGACAATCACGTTTATTTTGATCTATATTGAGATCACGATTATTTATTGATTTTTAGGGATAACATATTTTTATTGCATTTTCAGCTACTTTCACATCCATGTTGTGCTGCATTTCTGCTAAAGTCTAAAAACAAGACTGGTCCTTAAAGTGCATAATTTCGTAGAAGCAAAATATAGGCTAAATAACATTTTTACGACATGACATGTTTAGATTTTGTTGATCTGGTAATCAGTGCTTGCTTTTTGGGCTTTTCTATCATTAAGTTGGCTATGTAGATAAATGGTTCTTTTTTTTGTCTGTTTTATTTTGAAAATCGACCCAGATTCTCTCTGCTGTTCTGTCTGACTTCCTGCCCAGTTCTATGTGCTCTGTGCACAATTGTGGGAAGCTAAAATCGTAATCGCGATCAATATTCAATTAATTGTACAGCCCTAATCTAATCGGCTGTGTTCTTTATAAAGGCTTTTAGTGTTTTTTTTTATTTTTTTATTACTATGTAATTATTTTTTTAGTTATCATTTTCAAAAAAGAATATATTCAGAACAGGTTTAAAATTCATTTATATTTGAAACATAACTACATTTTAGGGCTGTGCAATTAATCAAATTTTAATCACAATTTTAGCTTCCAAAACAAGTTAATTGAATTAAAATGATTATTGTGCAGCATGCTGTTTAGCAACAACACTCGTTTTGTCTTGCGTTATAAATCAAGCGCACCATTTCGTTTACAGCGCCGCCCCTATGTAAAAGTCACTATTCCCTCTCAGCCAGGCTGTGATGTTTTTCAGCTCGAACCACCATGACGGGTTATAACTGCTACGACCTGCTAGTCTCCGTTATTAACTTGAGCCTATGGCATTTTACACTGCAGAAAAGTAGTCTAGCGGCCAGCTGACCTTCTTTCTACTCGTAGCTTAACAATTTACATATTATTTATGCTTTTAGTAAAGCAGGTGTGTTAAACCTTGCTTTACCTGGTTCATGCTTGTAAAATATTCACCGTATCCCCGTCTGTATTAGTGGAATTATACTTTTCTCACATCAGTTTAAGTAGGCTAACTGCATCTCCTGACTGGACACCATGGTTGAATTTCACCGTTGTAGCGTAACGATTTGTCGTCAACTCGAGTATTTTGTGCACACACACTAGGTTCCACCGGCTATGGCCCCCCCGCCCCCCAGCAAAAAATATCTCACATTTTCACATTATACCACCCTGTGAAAGCAGGTTTTAATTACCACAAATTCTTATCATTGTTTTAAAGTATGCTTTGCACCTGCCTCAGAATTCTCTTCTCCCTACACTCTGACACACTCACACATACCTACATGTCAGGTAAACACCCCCGGCTTGCCCTGCCTCTCTCTGTCACTCTCTCTCCCCCTGTCTGCTCCATTTTCTCCATCAGCAGTATGTTTTATAGTCACCTAAATGACCGAGAACTCGTCTTTTTCCGTATATTTTCACCCGTGATCTGTTATGACAGCAGGGGAGCCGCACTAATGACTTGGCTTACTAATGACGCAGCCTATCAAACAACTGAAACCAACATCTGAACTGTGTGTTCCCTGCTGCTTTACCTGGTCCGTCCGGGAAAAATCCACTGCGACTTGTGACGTAAGTTAATAGTCTACCATTTTTTAACGAGTGAAGTCTGCGCGAGAACACATGCAAGACGACTGCTGCCTCCCTCGTCCATGCACGCACGAGCACCTGATCCCGATGTTGCATTGTAGACATCGTCCGATGGAAATTTTGCAGACATCGCCCAACCCTAACACACACACACACACACACACACACACAGGAGCTTGTCTATGGCGACACCATGCAGTCCCCTCCAAAAGTATTGGAACAGTAAGGCAAATTCCTTTGTTTTTGTTGTTCACTGAAGACATTTGGGTTTAAGATCAAAAGATGAGTATGAGACAAGAGTTCAGAATTTCAGCTCTCATTTCCTGGTATTCACATCTAGATGTGTTAAACAACTCAGGACATACCACCCTATGTTGGAACCCAGCCATTTTTCAAGTGAGCAAAACTATTGGAACGTGATTGCCAGATGTTTCTTGTTGCCCAGGTGTTGTCTTTTAGGTTGATTGGTTGATCCAAACATTAAATAGCTCTGCATGACTAGTCTAAGTTTTCATCCTTGGTTCAAACCTATAAAGACTGCATTTCCTGTTAAAGAGGTTAAACCAACATGAAGACCAGAGAGCTGTCTATGGGAGAAAAGCAAGCCATTGTCAAGCTGAGAAAAGAAGGAAAATTGACCAGAGCCATTGGGCATAGCAAGCACAACAATTTGGAATGTCCTGAAAAAGAAAGAAACTACTGGTGTACTGAGCAACAGACGACGAACAGGTCGGCCAAGGAAAACAACCGTAGTTGATGACAGAAATATCGTGAGAACTGTGAAGAAACCCCCAAAACATCAGTAAGTGACAACAGCAATGACCTCCACAGTGCAGGGTGAAGGTATCACAATCCATTGTTGGAAGAAGACTCAGAGAGCAGAAATATAGAGGCCACACCACAAGATGCAAACCACTCATCAGCAGCAAGAATCGGAAGGCCAGATTGAAATTTGCAAAGAAGTACAGAGATGAGCCGCAAAAGTTCTGGATCACAATCTTATGGACTGATGAGACCAAGATTAGCTAAGTGATGGAAAGGCCAAAGTGTGGAGAAAGAAAGGAATGCTTATGATCTGAAGCATACAATCTCATCTGTGAAGCATGGTGGAGGTCATGTCATGTCATGGCTTGGGCGTGCATGGCTGCTTCTGGAACAGGCTCATTAATATTTATCGATGATGTAACTGATGATGGTCGCAGCAGAATGAATTCAGAAGTGGACAGAAACATTTTGTCTGCCAATTTACGGAGAAATGCATTGAAACTAATCGAGAGGAAGTTTATCATGCAGCAGGACAATGAGCCAAAGCACACTGCCAACAAAACAAAGGACTTCATCAGGGGGAAAAGTTGAAGGTTTTAGACTAGCCAAGTCAATCAGCTGACCTTAACCCAGTAGAGCTGCATTTCACCTCCTTAAGAGGAGACTGAAGGGAGAAACACCCCGAAACAAACAAGAACTGAAAGAAGCTGCGCTAAAAGCCTGGAATAGCATCACAAATGAAGAATGCAACAGTTTGGTGATTTCGATGGGTCGCAGGCTTGAGACAGTTATTGCAAGCAAGGGTTCTGCCACCAAATATTAAATGTTATTTACTTTAAGATTATTTGTTCCTTTACTTTTGCTCACCTAAGAATGCTGTGGTCTAATATAAACAGTGTGACACATCTAGATGTGAATACCAGGAAATGAGAGATGAAATTCTGAATACTTGTCTCATCTTTTGATCTTAAACCCAAATGTCTTCAGTGAACAACAAAAACAAAGGAATTTGCCTGTAAGGATATATATCCATAATACCGCCCACTGTGCAACACTAGTAGTTTTGGGGGGGAATTACATTTAGGAGGCCGTGGGTAGCCAGTGGAGATCACCGAGAGATGGAGTGACATGAGTCCTTTTGGATCGGTTTGAAAACTAGACATGGTGCTGTGGTCTGAACCATTTGTAGGGGTTTTGCTGCACAAGCTGGGAGACGTGCTGGGAGGGCATTGCAATAGTCGAGGTGAGAAATAACAAAGTCCTTATGGGCAAGTCATGCCACTCGGCAGCCATCTTGGCATCACCTTCGGGCAGCTATTTCGTACTAACAAGACCAGGCACCCATCTGAATGAATGGGGAGAGAGCCTGAACTGCACTTTTATTGGTCCCTGGGACATCAAAACGACATGAATAGAATCACCAGTAAAGTCTAATAAAAGTCGCTGAAAAAGTTTGACAACTTTGCCCCAAAATGATCCCGACCGGTTATACAAAAAAACAGACCCTCATGTCAATGGAACCACACGAGTGGCTGAAATATGTTTCCCACTTTGGATGTTAAAAGCAGACGATTGGCTTTCTAGCGGGAGGGGGATGATAACGGCCATCTTTCCCCATAGAGTAGAGCGGTATCAGTATAATGAGGTACACAGTTATAATTTATTAGACAATACCGTTTATACCGATATAGAGTGATGTTGAGTTAATTAGCAATGTTTCCGTAAAGTCCTGCCAGCGTTTGCTCCTCTCTCTCAGCCCCGTCCCTCCCTCTGCACCAGTCTATGGTCTGCACGCAGCAGTCTACTCTCAAACTCACTAACAACATGGAGGCAGTGAGAGGTGAGAGTGAAGAGAACTGAAAGAGGCAGATTCAATAAGTGAGTGACACTTAAAGAAGGAGGAGAATCAAGTATAATTAAATGGTGAAATAACAAACAAACTACTACAAATAGTAAAAACATGCCCTGCTTAAGTACGCCATTGCTTTCGGACAATCGTTTGGTGGACTGTGGGGTGCGTGCAGTCGATGTTGACTACTAGCTATGTACAGTGCAGCGGTGCTCGAGAGAGAGAGAGAGAGAGAGCAAGCGAGGGGGGGTACTGAGCAAATATATGCACTGCGTGCAGCTCTGCGATCTAATTCGATTTTAAATGGACCTAGTACAAAAAATAGAAAATTAATATGTGGCGGTCAGCGTTGATATTATGGCGGGCCGCCACAAATAAATCAGTGTATGGGTAACACTGTATTAGCTTAACAAGCATGCTGTGGTTGAGTAAAACAACACTTGCGAACAAAGCAGGTAGAAAGTTTCTTCTTTCTATTACGCTTTCTACTTTTTACTCATCAACTGAAGAAAAACATTACCTTCATTACCAACCGCAGAGGATGGGACAGAGAAGCTAGCATGGCCATGAATGACATGCCTAAGTACATGATTTGTAAACAAGAGAACAGATTTACACATGGCTCTTTTTTTTTTCTCAGCTGACCCCAGGGGGCTCCGTATTTATGAGAAGTGTAGAAAAGTTTTCGGTTCCTTATGAATCTGTTGCAGGACAAGGTGCCGCCCACCTGATCATACTTAATGGTCAGTAATGTCTTTAAAGACAGTCAGATGTCATTCGTAAGGTTCTGCACAGTCTAGTCTTTGTGTTCACTTGTCGTCTTTTGTTTCCCACAGTTGTGATGAATAAGGAAATCATGTCACGCGTGGTGAAGAAGAGGCAGGCGGACCCCAAGGTGGTTCAGTATGTGTGGGCGGCCATTGAGGTTATCCGCAACCAGAAACAAATTGCAAACATGGACAGGATCTCCAAGTAAGTTCACCACAGATACGATGATGTGTATCTTTCATGGTGTGTCTGTACGATCCATTACAGTCCTTTCACATCATTCTGTTAAAGGATACTTTAAAGGGTTACCTAAATGACCCAAATCATGCAGATAGCTCTGATTTTATCTGCTGTCCCTTGAGTTTTAATTAACCTGTCCAGTACAGATGAGGTCAATGGGATTAGAAGAGTGAGAGAGTTAATAGACTTCATTATGAGTAAATGGCATGTGCCTTTGCCCACTTACCCGTGAGGATGTGCATTTTTGAGAATTAGAGGTGAAAATGTAATGTCCTTTTGCAAAGAATTTGTCTGGAAGGGATCCTCAACCTGTAAAAGACTTCAATAACCCTCAAACTTCTCAACCAGAAACCTGTTTTTGAGCCGCCAGTTCATGGTTTGGCCTTCACTAACAGCTGACCATTCAAAGGTTTCAGATGATTCAAATCAGCATGGTGGCGACTGAGAAGAGAAAACTTACTTTTTACTTAATTTAATTAAAATTCTGTTCTCAGGGCTATGAGTGAAGGCAGCTGAATAACCCACAAATACATTTAGTTTTTCTTGTAATTGTGTAGGGCTGCATATAACTATTTTCATTGTCAGCCTGTTGATTAGTTTTTTATTTAGTTTATAAAATGACAGGAAGTAGTGGGGAAAAACATCCTTGAGCCCAGATTATTCCCCAGACTTTAGAGTACAAACAATATATTAAATTTACATTGATACAAAACAAAGAAAAGCAGTGAAAACTCAAGATTGAGAAGCTGGAACCATCATCTTTGTTTGATAAACAGCTTAACAAATCATTGGTTGCCTTTTGGCTTATTTGTCTGTTCCAATGGACAAAATAGGTTCTGTACATGGGGGGGAAGCTGGTGAAGGATTGTTTAATCGACCCGTAGTCACACAGAAATTATTTTCAGTACTGATACTTTTTTCATTTAATCGATTATTCGATTTCTCTGTTAAATGTTATTAAAATACTTCTCGGAGCCCAAATTGAAGTCTTCAAATTGCTTTTTTTGTCCAACCAGCCTTCCAAAAAGATTCAAAAAGGGAAAGTCACATTGTTCAAACTGGCTGCTCAGTTCCTTTCCTTTCAGTCGGCGGATGGAGCAGAGACTAAATGAAACACTTAACACATCTCACACGGCAAGTTGGCGAGCACCTTGGAGCTGGCTGCTTGCCAAATGAATACTGGCGGCGAGCGGCTGTTGTCATGGCAACAGTACGCAGCGGCATGCAACGGATAGCCCCTGCTCTCCCGCACAACCACCCCCTCCACACACACCTCCCCCCCATCCAGTCCCACTGTGGCTTAATTTCACCAAGCAAGCTTTGTGGCTAAGAGGGTGATTACTTTGGTTTTGTGGGAATAGAGGAGACTGAAGTCAGCGAGACAGGGGCAAATAATTAACTGCCCTCTCACAGAAATGTAATCTCCTCGTAAGGCAGGGTCATCACCACAGCAGCCAGGCTGCACAAAATCAATTCGTTAATCGTTTACAAAGCTAACTACTAATTTACCAAATCTGGTATGTGTTTAACCAGCTGTAAAATGTATGGAATTTTTGAGTCTTGACGTAGGCTCTTTTCCTATGATATTTTTCTTTAACATTTTATAGTCAAATCAGTTAATAAACACCTAATCACTCACAACATACTACAAAATAACTCCGTACAGCATCCATAAAAATGAACCACAAGGAGAGACTGACTTCACCTCACAGACATACTATAGGCCTGCCCGTTGTAACTCGGGTATAAATACAGACTCTCGCCTGATTCCCCACTGACATATTCTGTTCATTGGCTTTCCGCCACACTAGAGGATACATGACCTTGCTCAGAGAGGTTCACTGCCAGTCAGCAGGCAGCTGCAGGAACCAACCAGGTTGTTATTTGAATCTTATGTGCTCTCGAACTGGAAAATGTGGGAGTGTTAGAGGAGGAAATAGATGAGAAAGACTGTCTCTGCCTGTAATTTGAAACCACATGTATCTCTAATCTGTTTCTTGAGTAGTGAAAACCTAATTTATGGAGCGTTGGGGTAATGTTGGTGGAAAATTACAAATCTTAGAGGTAAATAATTTTAAGACAGTAGAAAAACTGTGTGTAATGTACAGTTATTAGAGCAGGTTTAAAGGGTGTTATGGGTCTTGGCTTCACCTGTTAAACTTTCAATTTTATGACGGCAGCCCACATCCAAGAAGTTGTCTGCCAAGGTCTACTACCTACCTATTAGGATTTTAAATGTTTATGTTTGGCTTCCATGGAAAAGTGACTACCATCAGCTAGGGATGCAGCGATGAACTGATTTCACTATTAAGCGCGCTGTGGCTCAGGAGGTAGAGCGGGTTGGCTGTTAATTGGAAGGTCGTGCATGTCGAAGTGTCCTTGGGCAAGATACTGAACCCCGATTTGCCCCTGGCGGCTGTTCCGCCAGTGTATGAATGAGTGTGAATGTTAGTTTCCGTTTGAGCACTTAGGCTCAGTGTATGAATGTGTATGACTGGTGAATGCAGATGTAGTGTAAAAGCGCTTTGAGTGGTCGAAAAGACTAGAAAGGCGCTATACAAGTACAGAGCATTTACATTTAAATCGTCACGGTTAAATAATCCAGACTGGTTCTAGAGTGTATCTGTTGCACGGGACGAAGACAAAGTTACGCAAGCGGGGCACCAGCTTAAAGTGCTGTTCTTATCAGAGACATGGAGGCAGTGTGGGAGCATTTCAGGTACACCAAATACTGAACTGAATATGACGGATCACCTGTTCAAAAACTGGCTGTTAAAAGTTTGCTGCTAAAGGAGCCTACCTACATCAAATCTGATGCAGCCCCTGCGGGATAACCACCCAGGTAAAGGAAATACATAACAACTGAATTAAATAACGTGGCAAGTTGGTAGAGAATTAAATATAAACGTGTCACTTACAATCAATGCCGTAGCGGTGAGAGTCGAGCTTTCAGTGCAACGTAAACAACCAAAGCAGCATGTAAGCTTTCAGACCCACCGCAACCACAGCACCGCTGCTTTATGAGGCCCATTGTTTTCAATGGCTTGTGCCACGCCAGGGCGGTTTGTTGCTGCATCGAGCACGCCGTGGTCAAAGTTCAACATAGCTGAACCCAGCTTCCAGCACAGCGCAAATTGCTTCCTATCTGAAAGGGCATTTAGTCCAAGAACTTCAGTCACCGAACATTTAACGTTACATCCTGTTGCCTCCTCCCGTCTGTGTTGGAGAAATGTTTGGCTTTGTATGTTAAAAGGTGTAAAACGCTAACATAACATCAGGAGCTTATAAACTTCCAGGACCAATCAACTGCATTTCAGTTATTAATAACACTGTCTGAGCGATCATTTTTACTAAAACTTTGAACAAACAAACCAAAATAATAGACATGGTTTTCTAAGGCCACCTCTAAAATTGGATGACGATTACTAAAATAATTTTTTTTAAATATGCGTGGATGAGAGTTGATGACAATAACAGTTCAGTTTATTCCCCTCTTTAATAACAATTTTCCCTGGAAAATGAATAAAGTTAAAATTCGTCTTATATTAATAATAATTCTTAAATATTATAGATGGCACAGCTGCCATTGCACATTGCTCAATTACTTCTCAACCTCCACCTGCCCAGGTACCTGAGCCGTGTGTTTGGCATGCACCCTAAGGAGACTGCCAGACAGCTGAGCTTGGCCGTTAAGGACGGCCTGGTGGTGGAGACCCTGACTGTCGGCTGCAAAGGCTCCAAGGCCGGCATCGAGCAGGAGGGATACTGGCTGCCCGGGGATGAGATGGTAAGTTTGTCAGGTTCCTAACACCAAAAACAAGCAAATTGATCCTTTTTTTATTTGAGGTATTTATCTGGTGTGTAATCACTATAACAACAACAATAATGAGTGTATAACAATAGAATTCTGTTGGTGCCTCTGTGTTCACATTGTGAGCAACACGTTTTAAGAAATCACTGGATGTCCAACATTTCCCAAAAAGCTGAATGTTGAAGTAAACTAAAGTTTAATAAATAAATAACTTTTTGCTTTCACGAGCCTCTAAAGGCATACTGATGGGCCTTTTTTATTATGTAGTTTTAGCTGTCAAGTGCAAAATGAACAAGACATTTAATTCTAGCCAGTCAAGAATTGACCATTCTTAATGAGAACACTAAGGCTGCAACTAATGCTTATTTCATTATCAGTTAACCTGCTTATAATTGGTTTGATTGATCTATTTATAACTTGGTCTAATGAAATGTCAGAAAGTGATGAAAAGATGCATCACAGTTTCCAAGAGCCCAAATTTCTTTTTTTTGACGAACAGTCCAAAACCCAAAATTGTTTAGTTTGCCAGAAAAGGGAAAAGCAGAAAGTTCTGACATTTGTTGAGCAGGAACCAGAGAAAGTTTTAGGGTGAAAATATTACTCAAATGTAAATCAGTCATTAAACTAAAACTTAAACACTTCTAAACTTAACTGCAAATTAATTTAGCATAATTAAGTAATTGCTTTATAAAAGTTGTAATAAGTCTCTCAAAGCAACACCTGTAGCATGTGTCAATATCAATTTTTTATTTTATTAATAGATTTAAATTTTTTTTGGTTAAGTTTCCTGATTCCAGATTACTGCTCCAGTTTATAACTGAGATATAAAAATACAAAAAATACAATACATAAAAATAGATACAAAAACCCCCTAAATGCAGTAAATATTGTCTATTAATGGTATGCGGTGCATCCTTAAAAAAATCCTCTCCACCTAGGTAACTTGACACATTTGCAGTGAAGTTACCGCAGGAGCCCTACAGATAGTGTCAGGATAAAGCCATCCACCTGTCAAGTTGCTCACAGTGTTAACAGAGTCACAGCACGCAGACATTAAATGGAGCAAACATTATGTTACAGTGATCAAGGAGGATGAAAAAGTACTCTAAGAAACAAGAGCCAAACAGGAGATGTAGTGATATTCTGGCCAAATCAATGGCTTCATATTTAGTTCTGTGTGTGTGTATATGAAATGTGCAAACAACTGTTAAACATGTCAAACCACACACAACGTTCACTTTATTTTTTAATAGTCTCTATCATGTTTCGACAGCCCACTGCTATGTAGTGTTGTAATATTAATATTTTATGGTCCTTGTTTTTATCTTCCGTTATTTCCCTTGTTAGTTGTGAGGAACAGTTGAGTGTAGCGGTGTTGTCACTTTTTCTAATGCAAAGAGCATTTAATGGATTACCGTGCAAGTGGCATTAACATGTATTTAGTGGCTGCTCTAATCCCAGTAGTTTTTGCACCAGGGTACTAACACTCTGGCAGAATGTATTATGCATTACCATTAAACTACATGAGCACCCTTTGTGATTTGTGAGCAAGAAATTTCATGCAGGAAAATGAAAATAACTGCTCTATTTGTATAAGACTAGTAATAATCTGATTGGAAACTAATGCCGTTTTTCCATTACCAGTACCAGCTCAACTCGCCTCGCCTCACCTCGATTCTACTCGACTCAGTTTTGGCCCGCCGTCCTCCGTTTTCCATTGCAGATAGCACCCCTCAGTGTAGCTGGTCATCATAGCAACGCCACGAATAACTGCTGCTACGTAATGTTCAATGTGACACACGCAACCTACAAAGAGCTGTCTCTTATTTGAAATCTACAGAGTTAATTCCTCACCTTAAAACTTCTCAGAAGTGGATTTAGTGATGAAATGACATGAAAATTGTAAAATATAAAACTTTCTGCTGCTGGCCTCTGTCCGCAATGATGATTCAGTGAATAGTGATGATTCTATCTGGCCAATCAGTAGCCTGCTGTGTTTTCAACCTCGACGGAGGTGATACGAAAAAAAGTAGCAGGTACAGGTACAACTTTTCCACAATGGAAAACCAAAAAAGGCGAGGAGAGTCGAGGCGAGTTGGTACCATTCGGTGGAAAAGGGGCTAAAGCTTCTTGTCTTAGTTCTAATGTAAACTAGTCAGCCCCTTTTTTTTTTTGAAAATTTGCACATGTAGAAATCATGTTTATGTTTACTCAAGGTACATTTTGTAGATGAAACCTTTGCATCGAAGGTTATTTGGTGTGATTGCAGGTCTGTAGAAACTGAACAGAAGCATGGGAGATTGGTGAATGTAACTGTTTTGGAGTCTGTCTGTACTGTGTGCTGTCATTACAAAATTACATGATTGAAGAAAAATCTGTTGGTCTCACAAGGCATGACTCTGTTGTCCTGCGGAGCCCAGGTGATTTTAGTAGCAGGTCTTTTAAACACTACTCTCTGAATCACTTGCAACCACAGGAGCCGAAAGCCGAGGGAAGCAAGGTAAGGGCTGCATTGTTATTTTCAAATTCAGGATTTGTTCTTCATTTGATCACTTCATTTTCCCCCCTCTCAACTAACATCATTCTGTGAGAAATCAGTTCTGCCACATGCAGTGCAGTCAGGGATTTGAATGAATCTTTTTATGCAGGTTGCAGAAAAACAGCGTAGTGGATTCTGGTTAATGCAAAAGGTGCATGCTGTATTAAAATTATAAGGGAAGCCTTCAATGCCAGCGGTGAGAAATTCAGATTCATGCACAATGTAATGCTTGTGATTGAGTCTGCTCGCTGCACTTTTTAAATAATTATTGCACAAGGTGAAAGCCAAAAGCATATCAGGCTTCAATTTGGAAATTGCCCTGCATGCTGGCCTTCAGTATGAAACACTGCCAGAAGCTACTTGCTGTCATTGTACTGTAAAAAGCTTCATGAAAGTCCATTGCAGCGCTGTGTCGACGTGGCCAAATTTCTTGCGGAAGTGATCCGTGATCTTGATGAAATACCTGCTCGCTACTTATCTACAGATGTGCCGTTGCTTGATTTAAAAACACTCACTCAGTCCTTGGCATTGAGCCACTGCCAACCAGTGTCAAATATAAAGTGTAAATTACAGCTTAAACAGTAATCAGGTTTTGCTGAATTGAATCATATTTTAATGTGAGATGACAAGCAATGTTAGCATAGCCGCAGGTTGGTAGCAAGCATCTGTGCGTTTGTAGTACTTTGGTCTTGGTAGTTGTAGTTCTCCTCAGAGGGGGTGTGTTCTGCTGTGTTCTTAACTTCTGTCTGGCATGCTTATGTCCTTTTTTTCTTCTTCATTTTTAATTGATGAAACACGGTGGAGGCAGGGAGAGGGGAGGTTGTGCTTTTTAGTTTTCTCAATGCCTGCTGCCAGTAACACAGCCGACTGGTTCTTTCAGGTTAGCAGTCACTCAGTGGACAGAGTTTGGATGTGAGAAGCACTGTAAAGCAGATTCTAAATGGAGGCAGTTCTCCCTCCACAGGTGCCTGGATTCAATCCAGCTGGCATGTGCTGGATCCTTGTGTTGACCTCAGGAATATTTACTTCTCAAACAGATAACCGCACATTTACACACTGATCATACCATTTAAAAAGTCTAATTCTTGAAAACAACTTTTAAATGCACCGCCTTAAGTCAGATTGGATTAAATCCAGGTTTACCTTTTATCCTGATTTCTCCATATTTAAGGCTGAATTCCATTTTTAAAAAACAGTTGGATGCTTTATTGATAGTTTGGCGATTAAACTGGTTTGAATCTGTGCACTTGTGCATGATAATGAAGATGATATGATGTGTTGATACACTTAGACAGTAACGACATATACACTGTAAAAGAACGCGAATACACGTTATTTCATTTAAGTTAGATTATTTTGACAGAGTTTAGTGAATTTCCTTGTGCGAACAGTGTATTCATCTTTATACCCTCCTCAATGATTTAGCTTTCTTTTTGAGACTTTTAATGCTTTACAAGCTTCTAAATGGGTGAAGCTCTCAGATTTGTCTTAATTGTGTGATGTTATTGAGGTCCACTTTGTTTGAAACAAAGATGAACTATGCTAACATCAAACAATTTATACACGGTAAATGCTATTATTGAATGTGTGTGGCCATCGTGCATCAGGATCTGGGTTGCTTTGCATCTCGGTTACACAGTTTCCTGGAGGATATCCTGAAAAAGGAACGGGTGATATGATGATACATGCCACAAGACAATGAGTAAATACATTTGATGTGCTGTCAGATATTTTACCGTACTGTTTTTATACTGAGGTGTATTTTCATTTAACATCATAGGCAGTGTTCCAAATCACTGAGCAGGACTACTTTATAGAAATATTGAAGTTGATATGAAATTAATGTGACTAAGTATTTTGATTTGTCAGGTATTTCATTTGCTAAATAAGCCAAAACAGTGATGTTTTGTTCTTTAATTTTGTAAAATTAAATTACAATATAGATGGATATTTTAAATAACAATTGCTTCTACATTAATAGAGATTTTTATCCATATTGTCCACCGCTACCATCAAGTGGTATGTAGCATCAGTGCTTTGTCGTAATACACAGAAAAGATTGGATATAGAGGGGGAAAAAAGTGTAAATACACATTTGTTAAATTGATTTCCACACCACCTTAACTTTCTTTACCGTGTTACTTCTGTTGGTAGAACTATATTTTTAAGCCCAATGTGATTATGGCTCACATGATCGAAATTCACTCTTACAAGGAATTTTTTGCTAAAATGCAGACTAAGGGCGTACTCACAGGAGGCCTGGTTGCCTTGTACCATGCTCTCCACTCCCCCGCTGGCCTGCGCTCACACTGCGCCTAACAATCCGAGCCAGAACACGTTTACGTCATCACTCAGTCGGTGCTTCCCATACATTTATTTGTTTGTGGCGGCCCGCCACAGTATCAATGCCGACCTCCACATATTGATTGGTGATTTTTTAAAAATGTATTTATTTTTTACTAGGCCTATTTAAAATGGTAGTTGATTGCAGAGTGCTGCACATTGGGGTTGGGCAATGACTGCAAAATTTCCATCAGACGATCGAACGCGGGGTTAGCAGACTTCACTAGGTAAAAAAAAAAAAGTAGGCTATTAACAACACACAGGGTGCAGACAGACGGTGTTTGACAGGCTGCGTCATTAATAAGCCGACGTGCCGCTCACCTGCTGCCGTGATAACGGATCGCGGGAGGAAATATACGGAAAAAAGACGTTCTCAGTCTTTTAGGCCACTTTATAAAACATACTGCTGATGGAGAAAATGGAGCAGACGAGGGGAGAGAGGGACAGAGAGAGGCGGGGCAAGCCGGGGTGTTTACCTGAGGTGTAGGTGTGTGTCAGAGTGTGGGGAGAAGAGAATGCTGTTGAAAGAATTCTGTTGCTGAGGAGGGGTTTACAATCACGACACCGGCTCAACGTTGTGATGTATGTCAGCCATCGGCGGTCTGCCCAACCCTACTCCCACGTATATACGCGTCTCTCTGCCTGTCTCTTTGTCATGAACACCTCTGCACACAAATCTGTCCAATGCGACTGTCAATATCATCTTTAAAAAAAAAAAATAGTTATTAGCAAACATGTAAGCAGAGCTATGTAAAAGTTAGATAACAGCTGGGTTGTGGACGTAAGCACTCTGCATATAGCTGGAAGTCAATTTCAACTGTCAGTCTGGGAAACACTGCACTCTTTTGGGGGGGAAAGCACTCTCTCTCTCACACGGCACAGTAGAGTAGGTGTCAGGGTTCCGTGCTCGGGCATGGTTAGCAATCACACTAGATGCGTACTGTGCCAGAGTCCAGCTTAACAAGGAGCGATCTCACTGGTCAAACGAACCGGTTAAACGTGCTCGCGCACGTGTGAATACACCCTAAGTTACGGTGAAGTGCATTTATGTGGATCTTAAGTATCTGTCAGACTACAAGTGAAGCAGTTTACTTCTGAAAGAGGCAGGAGGTGGAGAGGAACCCTGGAGTTGTTTTGTGCAGGTCATTAGAAGGCATGCTAACCCTGCTGCTCTGCCTGGCTTGGCTCTCTGGCGTGTCCCAGCTTGACACCGACAGTGCAGAGCAGTTAACCAGAGTAAGAAAGCAGCGGGAAGATGGCTAAAGGTGGCCAAGCCTCTGGCTGCCTCAACTCCTCCTTTATCACTATTCAAGCCCCTGCCTTTGTTTGCAGCTTTTAGTCAAGGCCCATTTCTCCCTCCAAAAAGCGCAGAGGTATTTCACAGATGTTTAGAGAAGTCTCTGATTTGAACACCAAAACATGTTAACTCATTCACCTGCTGCATTTGAGGGCTTAAATATTCAACTCCCAGTTTTATCAGAAAATCTTACATTTGCATGGAAAAATATTCTTATGTTTTGCTATTGTTACATCATTGTCTTTTGCCTCAGTGGTACTCAAACATTATGTCGCTGTTATAATATCTGTTTTGCTTGGGCCCAATTCTATCCACGCTCCTGCCGAAACTCACTTTGCTGGATCCACAGACACGGCAGCCTTTTGAAGTCAGCTACTTGTCTTTCATCAGATAGTCCAACAACAGTGAAGTGCCTCTTGATATTCGACAGAACTCAAGGACCATTTCTATATTGGCAAGTGTTTGTGTGGGTGAAGAGATGACTCTGTGGATGGATTATCAGAGTACATTCACACCTAGATGGGCTTTAATTGTGAACCCTGGAGAAATTTCCCTCCTTCAGATCTGTTCACTTGGTAATGTGTGAACACAGCAGTTTCACTAAATGTTCACTTGTTCCCAGATGAACCCAGGGAGTAAGAATGTGATCTAGCCATTATCACTCCTACATACTGTATTTCATTATGTAGGAGGTTCAGTATGTACATTTGCTGCCACAAGTATGTGTTTAAAAAACAGAAAATGCAACAATCCAAAAACCTAGCTGATTATACTGACTCATGTTTGTTTGTACGGGAAGAAAATTTAGTCTGCTCGTGAATACAAAGTACAGCAAAGAGGATCTTCAATAAGTTTTTCCTGATGCTATTTCTGCTAAATTGTATCCTAAATATTTAGTCTCTTTTAGGACTGAGTGATTTGAGGAAAAAAGCTAATTGCGATTTTTCTGCTAGATATTGCAATTATGATTCAATTTGAGATCTTATGTTTTAAGTGAAAACAGAGCAGATCGTGGCCATTTTTGTCAATGCTTGTGCTGAAACCAGAAAAAAAAGTGCTTCAGTGCGTCCCAGAAGCAGCTCTTCGTTCTCTGCTTTACTCTGCAGAGAATAATAGTCTACTTTTTAATGGAAGCTTCATTAAGTGGCAGACACAGAAACTGCATAGAAAATCCAGTTGATTGTCAACATAAAACACCCAGTGCAGACTCCTGTATATCAAATATCAACACTAAACACAGTTAAAACAGACAAAAAAATAAACAATTTAACTATTTAGCCTACTTAACCATGGTAGAAGAACGAAAGGACAACTGAACAAATCTACAAAATCTGAACAAGTCAGCAAAATCCGGCAGGCAAAACACTCTTATTCTGAAATGTTCCATGGGGGCTATGGACCCATGCAGAGTACAAAACCGGTTGGGTAGTAGAAGCACACAAAATGACAAATTAACAACACGTCAACCACATGCGGCAGGCTAAACTCTCCTCTGCTACTTCCAGTGCGAGTTGACGCCGGGCTGATGACGGCCTACAACGCAGAGCAGCCGCCGTCTGTGTCTGTTCGGCTGACACCATTACCCCACACAATTTCCTTTGTTTCATTTGTTGTTGTAAAATGTACACGCCCTGTGCCGGCTCTGATTGGTGAGTAGGACTGTAACAGGAAGCGCATGGCGCTTGTGATTGGCGCTAGTCTGTCACACGAGGATCCCAGTGGAATGACTTTTTAATGACACAACTCTTGGAAACGGGTCAGATACGCTGTATAACTAACCTGCATATTTAATAGCTGTCTTCACGATTAGCTAATCGCATTCTTTCAAATCGCAGTTTCGATTTGAAAACGGTGAATAGTTATGTGCTAGTCTTATTTGTTTAGGAATTTTTGACAATAGGAGGATAATGTCCAATAAATTAATTGATTTATCACGTTTGACATTATCGGCTTTAAATGGTAAATGTGCCCTTCTTAGCGCTTTATACGTCATGTCACATTTACCACATTCACACACTGACGGCAGAGGCTGCTATGCAAGGTGCCAACTGCTCATCAGAAACAGAAGCTAATCCATTCACATACGCTCACAATTTGGGATTCTCTGTCTTGCCCAAGGACAAGCGGCTCAGCCTTACTCAGCTATACACGCTATATTTCTTGCGGATGGTAAGACGTTAAGAAATAATTGAGTATCCGGAGAGGTTGTAGATTATCCTGTAAAAGAGCCCCGAAGGAGCCCTGGATTTCAGAGTGTGGAGTGCTTCCTCCTGGCAGGCCCTGGCAGTGTGAATGTCAGAGCTGTCTTCACTCCTTTTGTCCTCATGACTATTTATGGTTGTGTTTGAGCTCGTTTCACCCCTACCCTTCCCTCCAGTACAAGTTGGTTTAAATCTGCATGTGTGTAAGACAGAAGAACGTGCTGCAGTGTGCATTCTTGTTTCATTCTTCTGTGTAAAGATTCATCATGGTTAATTAGGATAATGCATTCCCAGTAAGATGTTCTTCATCAGCCAAACAGACTTCCTCAGAAAGTTCTGAGCATTACTGCAATAATAAGCTAAATCTAATGTGCGTCCTCCAGCTCAAACCCAACCTCCAGCACATGAACATAGAGAGATCAAGAGAGAGACTTCAGTGTTGGTTTTTTTCCCCCTAGTTTTTAATGAGCGGCACTCAGTCACGACTCTCCTGCTCTCCCCTACTGAGTCGGTCCAGACTGTGAGTGGGAGGAGTTGGACTCTTGACAGGTTGATGAGTAGCATTTTTAGCAGTTCATACATCCCGTCTCTGTGCCCTTCACTTGAACCCCTTAATGAAAATTAGTGTAAAACAGGATTACTGCAACAAATGTGAATTAAATAAGTTGTCATTTTTGCCACTCTCTCATCCATTCAGTGCCTTCCAGCCACAAACACTCCAGACTTTACATGAAGTTATCACAGAATAAAGGCAGGTTTTGATGTTGTTTTTATGATTAACATCACGACAGGGAGGCGGGTATGGTTATTGCTTTAAATTTTAGTACGATAGCCACGTTTTGGTGCAATATGGTTTTATGATAAAATCACTTAACAGAAGAAGCCACAGTTCTAAATGTTGTCAAGAACTTCGCCTTAAGAAAGTAGTCTGAAAATTGACATTGTTTGTTGAAATCAGGAACTATCTCAATTAAGATAAAAAAGAAAACCAAACTACGAATCTGACTAAGAATTCAGTGCTAGTGTTTGGTACAGTTTTTGATATTTGGTGCTTCAGACACACTTGCCGTCTGTACCACAAGTATTGAGGTTTGATGATCCAGCCGTCGGCAAGCCAGTAATTACCCAAAGAGGTACCAGACATTTCATTTGAATACACAAAACACTGTTTGGTTTTAGCTAAGTGTAAAGTGAAGATGTATTAAAGCAAAGTGATAAGAAACAAGTGTTTGCAAAGAAAAAGCAAAATGAAATGAATTTTATATAGGTGAGATAAAACCTTCATTTACAGTGGTTCGAGCCTGTATGTAGTACTGTTTGTAGGACTACATTTACTGCTACATAGCAGATGGATTGTGGGTATTGGTCAGTGAAATCCACCTTCTTCCCTGTGGCAGTCGTATTACTACTTAATTATTAAAATAAGTAGTAAATAATTTTAATTGAAAGGATTTATTCAATCTTCTTTTAATCAAAGCAGTGTTTGGCAATAATACATTTCCACATATTCACACTTAGAGGTAACATAGTATAACAGGTTTTCTTTGGTTGCTATTGGCACCCAGCAGCTCCACAAGAAAAAAGGCTAGTCTCTTGCTGAAAAGCTAAAAACATTTTTATGGAAGAGAAGATTAATTATTTTTCCACCCACATCTTCTTAGCCGATTCACAATTGTTGACCTTTTGGCACAATGCTGTGAACTCCCTGCTGTCACCACCTGCTGTTGCTAAGGCTAGTGTGTCTAAATTAGCTTTACAAAAATCACATCCGTTTCTTTACCCCACCTTCATGGAATACTGTTACACACAGTATATTACAGTATTCACATTCAGGAGGAAAGTTGGAAAGGAATTAAATATTTAGAATTTTCCCATGGACTGTGTAAAAGTTGTTTTTAAATATTAAAATTGCATTTAGAGTGCTTTTGTGTAGAATTTCAATGAAATAGTGTATTTTGAAGTTGCTGGTGAAAAACACTTGAAGTTGCTGGTGAAAAACACTGAGTGTGTGCCTAGATATAACAATGCTACCGGAACTCAGTCACCCTAGCTGGGATTTATTAACCCACATTTTCTATGTGGTACCGGGATTTAGTGCATTTAGAAACCTTAGAAATGAAGAAAAGTAGGAACATTTTTGTATATCTTGCAGCCACTTTCACAGGGTGCTAACCGATGTTCTTTATGTGTAGCTTTAAAGTAGCCTGGTACTTTTAACTTTTAAATCATCATAAATCTGTAAAACTGAGAGCTAGTTTTAATTAAGGATGGAGGATGAAGAAGGTTGTTTCCTCCCCTGCTGTGGTTGGCGGGTTGGAGGGGGGGGTCACCCAAACTTGTGCTCTGCTGTGTCTTTCGTACAGGAGTGGGAGGCAGAGAGCCACGACTGGTACTGCTTCGAGTGTCACCTACCGGGCGACATCCTCACGTGTGACAACTGCTTCCGGGTTTACCATCTCAAGTGTCTGTCGGAGGAGTTCAAACCCAGAGATGGAGGATCCCACTGGCAGTGTGTCGCCTGCAGGGTAGGTGGTCAGACTTGGAATTGTACGTACTTAAATGGCTATATTATTTCTATTTTTACTGACTAACTGCGGCCCACTGCCTGATGTTAAATGGCCTGAGGTGCATTTTTAAAAATAAACTAGAATATAACTTGAGCTTATGTCTGACACATTGCACCATATATTGCACATCCTACTTTAAATACTAGGTATTGCTGTAATCTTGAACAACTATTTGACCTACAGTGATTGATTACTAGTCGATTAAAACATTTATCTCAATTGAATAAACCTGGCGGAACCAAAAAGACGGCGAGTGACTTCTGAAGATTTCAGAATTTGGCTCGTGACTTTGTTTATTTTTCTGTCCACAATCAAAAGTTTGGCCACCTCTGATTAATGTTATGTTGGAGGACGTTGCATTTCTGTCATGGACCATTATATATTTTAAAGTGAAGTGCGTCTGTGTATTACAGAATTTGAATTGCAGAACCTGCTGTGATTCTAAACTTTCCCTTTCTTTTCTGTTTCAGGGCAGTAAAAAGAAGAACCTGAACAAACAGGAGATGAGTAAATACCTGCGCTTCATCGTCCAGCGTATGAAGGAGAGGGTGAGAACAACCATAAGATATTTCTACCTATTACCTTTGCTGTTATCCACTTTCAACTCAAACTCAAATCAAACCTCCCTATGGCTACACAGCTGATGGTTGTCCATCATGTCGTTCGCGTACATGGGGATGTTGTTCAGCATGCCTTCCTAACAAGCTTTTACCCAGCTTAAAAACAACCATGCTGTTTTCAAACTCACCCTGAGGCGTTTATTAAGGTTTAGATGTGGTCTAAATTTATGATTTGAAGTCTTTTAATCGGTTTCTGCTCTTATCGAATACCGTGGCTCTTATTTCTTGATGAAGATATGTATTATGTATAGTATGTTTATCTATTATTAACAAAAACCACCTTTATTTTCAGCAGATTTAGGTTGTATTCTGCCGCTCGCAATGTGAATGTTTGCTGTTTTCCGCTTGGTTTTACTAGAGTTGGACTAGTTTTAATGATGCATTATTCTGACGCTGCAAGAAGTTTCGGTCATATCAGGTGAATTTCCTTCATTGCATAAAAAGCCAGTGATTCCGTGCAGTGAATACAAATTGCTGTATCACTTAGCCATGCTTTAGACGACTCGCACTGGGCCTTATTCTTTTATGCCACAGTTACGGCACAAGTTTGTTTACATTGTGTCTTGGTGCCCCTGGTGGCTCAGCTGTCACTCAGACAGGAGCTTGGAAGCTAAAGGAGCGTTTTTGAAATATCAAAGATTTGCTTATCATTCTTTAAATAACTCTAATTGACATCACTTTTTTGGAAAAAGATTAAAGAAAAAGAAAATTAAGACTTGAATGTCTTATTTCTACACTTTTTTAATTTTTTATATTCCACTGGTGTAACAACCCACAATAACCCTCACTCCTCCATTAATAAACACCCTCCTCTTTTGTCCATTATGTCCCAACCTGCTTACTCATTTCCTGTATCCCTTCTTCAATCTCCCCCTCCCCCCTTTCCCTCACTCTAACCTGTACTCTATGAAAGTTATGTTAAATCTCATTACTTTTCCTCCACATCTCTTGTTCTCTGCTTCTGCCTCCCTGCATCCCTCCTTCATCCCACTGCTCTTTGTAATAATGGTATTAAATCTCATCATTTACCCTCAATGTGGTCTTTATCTCTTCAGGCCTCTCATGTGTCCCTGTTCATTACTCCGTCTCTTCCCTCGATCACCCCCCCCACCCCCTCTCTATAAAGTGGTATTAAATCATTATACCTCTTCTACCTTGCAGGCAGTGGACCTGAACAAGAAAGGCAAAGACACTAAACATCCCATGTACAAACGTCTGATCCACACTGCACTGGACGTCTCAAACATACAGGAGGTAACAATCATGCCCAGTGCCATTCTATGAAACTTTCTTTTTACCTTTAGTTTGTAAGCTTTTGTTCTTAACACGTATGCAAATCCCCACAGACTGTTGGACTGAAACGCCCCCCCTCTTCCCCCATGACTTCCATGTGGATTAATTGGTGTTAATTCACTATGGACATGTGATAATGATGATCAACTTTATTGGCAATTTTTATGCATGTGGAATTCCTCTGCATTTAACCCACTCTAATTAGGAGCAGTGGGCAGCCGTTGTGCAGCGCCCGAGGACCTAGTCCCTATGGTCTGAGCTAACGCCGCTCTGTCAAATCCCAATGAAATAATAAAAGTGTTAAGTCACACTGAATCTAAAACTGTGTATCATGCCCATTTTTTCAGATTGAACTGAGTTATGACTAGAAGGAGTAAGAAGTTTTATGCAAATTGCTGCAGTTGGGCTGCTAAGGCTTTTTGAAGTCCCTCAGTTGTCTCTGTGACTTTTGTGCCACTGCTGCAGCTGCTGACCGTGTTCACAAGTGGGCCAAACCACAACAACTAACTTCCTGTTGTTGTTCTCACTTGTCCCTTTTACCTCATGCAGTATATTTGCCTTTAAAAACGTCCAGTTCATGATTTTATGTAGAGATACATTTATTGCGATTTAGATTTTAGGTCCAGTCTCTACCAGACACAATGGAGCACTGTCCAGACCTGGGTGGGTGTTAGTATTAGTGTTAATAAGTACACTGCCCTCTCCTGGACCTTTCGCATGTCGGTCACCAAACACACTCACACCCAGCATGTGAATAGACCTCTTTGTTCTCGCTCTCGCTCTCTCTCTCTTTCTCTCTCTTTCTCTTTCTCTTTCTCTCTCTTTCTCTCTCTCTTTCTCTCTGTTCTCTCTCTCTCTGTCAGAACCTGTCTGAAGGAAAATATAAAAGCTTCGAGGAGTTCAAAGCAGACGCTCAGCTGATTGTTCACAACACCGCCATCTTGTATGGAGGTAGGTTTTTAAAAATAAATCAAGAACAGTCTGATCATAGAAAAAGTAAACCAGATGATAAACTGCACATTCAGTACTTTGATTCTCTGCTACATATACTTTTCAGCCAAAATAAAAAGTATTATGGAATTATTATTATTATGTTGAATGAATGAAATATTAGATATTAATAATAATAATTAATGAGAACATAAACTTCATTAAAATGAACTTGTGATTTAAGGGGGATCTTTCCCTGTTTTTGTTTGTTGCAGTTCACAGCGACCAGGCAGAGATCGCACGCCTGCTGTTCAGTGACACATGCCATGAGGTACCATTGCTTGAGGGCTTTTTTCCCCACAGTTCAGAGCAGTGAGACGTATCTTTAGTTTAGTGCTTAGGTTAAAAGCTTATTAGCATATGTGTCCTTGATTTTTCTTTAATTTTTGTTGTTCAGATTTGTTCAAAAAGTTCACTTAAGTTCAACATTTCTTTTGTTCCTCTCTTCCCGTATCTGTTCTCTTCCAGTTAAATGAGTTGTTGCTGTGTAAGAACTGTTTCTACTTGTCGAACGCCCGTCCAGACAACTGGTTCTGTTATCCCTGTGTGAGTATAAGCACCTCACCTGCTCCAGCTGGCTGAACTACAGCTTCTTTGGGACCAAACCGTATTTCGGAACTGATGCAGGAACACACAGTTTTATCAGCGATGTTTTTTGTTTCTTTAACATCAGATGCATTACTTTTATACAACTATTTAATATTATTGCCAGCAGTTGTAAGATGCAATAATATTATTGTAATTAATTGATACACCTCTCCCTCTTCAATCCATTTAATTTAATGAAACAACTCATATTTCAAGAGGAGTGGTTTGATCTGAGAGATGGCTGGGATCTGAGCGTGGCAAATGTGACTCTTTCATGGCAGGTGTATTTGCCCAGCCAACGTCACTGTTAGTTTAACTGCTCTGGGAGACTGCTACTGACAATTATTTAATTTTTGTCTGACAATTTTACTCTAAAAGGATTGATTTAACAAAGAATAATATAGGGATTAATTGATATAAATCAATGTATATACAAGTAACGCACATAAGATAAGATATACCTTTATGACCTCCAGATGTATGCATAGTTCAGTCAAACCACCACAAATGAATCTAGTGTGGCTGAGTGTCGCTTGTTGGAAATATTAGGTTTCTTTTTGTGTGTGTTGCCTCCACAGAGCCCTAGCCATGACTTGGTGTGGGCCAAGATGAAAGGATTTGGTTACTGGCCAGCCAAAGTGCTTCAGAGAGAGGACAACCAGGTGGACGTACGCTTCTTTGGCCACCAGCACCAGAGGTTAGCACAGCTCGTGTCCTTATTACTTTGATATCTTTATTTTTGAATTATTTATGATTCTTCAGAACACTTCTCCCAGGTGAACACACTATTTCTAAAGCAACTTTATGCTTCAGATTCAAGCTTATTATAGTGAAAGAAAAAGTCCACTTTCTTAATTTCAAAACTAAAACTAAACTTAAATTTCATTCAGGTCATCCAAAACTAACTGAAACACTATTAAAATACATTGAAGCCAATTAAAACGCAGTGTCTTTGTAAATCTCGACCATTGTTTTCCTTCTCTTCCCCAGAGCGTGGATCCCTGCAGACAACATCCAGGACATCAAGGTGAGCGTCCAGCAGCTGCAGGTGAAGCGCAGTAACGGTTGGAAGAAGGCGTGCGAGGAACTGGAGCTTTATCAGCGCTTTCTGAGGGAAGGTCGCTTCTGGAAAACAAAGATGGAGGAAAGCAGCATGCCTGCTTCTCTTCAGCTTCTCCAGCAAAACCAGAGCCAACGGCAGCAACAGCAGCAACAGGAGGGCAGCGGGAGGACGGACAGGCTGGAGCGGACAGACGAAGCCGAGTCCAGCATCTCCTCCACCAGCAATGAGCAGGTCCGACATGTAAGTGGGGTCAGTTCAGTTAATGCCCACTTTTTTAAAATCTTTTTCAAATTTACTGTACAAACTTTACTGTTTTACATAAGATTTTAGTTTAAATGCAACCCATACGGCAGTATTAAACTACTCCTGTAAGAAGCTGATAGGTGTGTTCTGTCAGAGATGTAATATCAATCAATTTAATTCATGCAATGTTTAACACTGCTTCCTGAAAAGAAGTGCTGGATGTCCAAGTCTTCTTTTTACTACTTAAAACTGGCTAAACTCAGTAGAGCAGTCAATACTTCATGTGGTGGGTTTATAATGAAGGCCTTACTACTGTCTTCACATTAAGACGCATTTATTATGAAATGCCTGCAGGAAATGTTTACAAATTATCATTAGCTGACTGCGGTACATGACTGGAGAAGAACAGATGCTGTTGAGCTCCTGCCGTGACAACGTGCTGGTAAATAGTTATAAGCCATTTTATGCACAGAGGATTCCTGTGGCACTGCTAGGCCTGTCATGATTACTACTATATTACTTTTGTAATCAGGTCTTCACTCTGGTCTGATCCAGAAGCTGCAGCCTGCAGAGTTATAACACAGACCTAAGGCAAGGGAGCAGACTCCACATTTGACTTTAAGGCTCTTAAGCACTGAATGTCTCCAGCTAAAGCCCCACCTGACTCTGGTATTCTGACACTGGCAGGCGAAACAGCCTTGCTGAGAACCTCAGACATCTTTTGATATGAGTCTCTAAACATCTTTCAGTGTTGGGTTTTTCCTGAGGATGCTTTTTGTGTGCTGCTTGTGAGTGGGTTAATGTGAAATACATTGATAAATACAACAATTGGTGCCATCTGGTGGCTGAAGTACACATTGTCAGTCAGACAATGGTCTAACGTGGTATGTGCATTTACTAGTATTCAGAGTGTTCAGCTGAAAACTTTATTTTATTATTTTATTTTATTATTAATTATTCATGAGTCACCCTTAATTATCATGATGAACACATCAGAGCAAAGTAGATGAACAATAGCAAAGTAGAAATAATAAGGCTTTGGGGAGAATTATTTTATTTTAAAAGTTACCTGGTGCCTTTACAAAGACACAGATGTAATAAACAACCGGCAGTAAATGAATAATAAAAAACTGTTTGCTGAAACTTTTAGTTTGTTTATATTCCCATCTTAGTCTCTATGCCATGGTAGACAGTATTTATTATTTCAAGTAGCTCTGTGGTAAATCTAAATGATAAAAGTATAAAATAAATAAATAAAATATGAATTCATAAAGAGCTTTAATATTTCGTATTGAGCCAAATGCTGCAATTCCTCTATATCTTAATTTTTTTATATTTAATCTTGAATTTGCTCTAGTGGTCCAAGACTTTTGGCACTCTACCACATCTTTCAGAAATACAGATGGTTAAAAGCTTTTGTAACTGTTGTTTTTAAATTATAAATGTATAATAATAATAATAAATGTATAAATTTATATATAATAAGCTTTCAGCTTTCCTCCTTAATACTAAATGCTTTTTCGGTGTATATTGGAGCAACAGTGGAAAGACCAAGAGACTTAATATTTTACCAGATGTTTGTTTTATAACATGTTGTTCTTTTTCCCCTTTCCCAGCTCAAAGGCAGCCAGGAGCCCAAAGCTAAGAAAAGCCGTCGTTCTCAAATGGTCGAGCCCAAAGAAGAAGCCAGTGTAAGTTAGACTGTTATCACACTAAAATGATCTACTAACAAAGGCGCCCGGCCGATAAATTGGCGAGCGGATACGTTAACTGATACTAGCTTGTTGCTGATATATATCGTATATATCGTACAATACAAGATATTACAGATACTTTTTAGGTTTTTATATGTTCTCGCTTCACATGATGTTTCATGTGATAATGTCAAATTAAATAAAATGAATATAATGCCAAAAAGATTGGACTCAAAAAAACATTGTCAGCTGAGCTAAAATCTTGGTCTCTTTGGAGGATTGTGATGATACTAAAAAGACCAAATAGCACTGGTGTTGAACAAAATGTGGTGAAGTTTCAGGGCAGTGTTGAGATAAACAATATGTTACCAAATGGGCCATTAACATACAAATATTATGTTACCCGGAAGCTCATGTGCTGCATCTCCAAAAAGTTGAATATTCATTTTCTGTAATTTAATTCAGAAAGTGAAACTTTCATGAATTTTAGAATCATTACACATGTATTGAAATATTTCTAGAAATGAAAACTCAAGTATCTCAAAACTTTTAGAATAAAGAATTTATAATACAGAAATGTCGATCTTTTTAACTAAAAACAGCTGCACAGGTTTCCCGAGCCTTTAATCTCAATGTGGTTCTGATGCTAACTTTGTCACGATATTCAAATTTTTGAGGTGCAAATAGTATCCAGGGTATCCACAGGTTTTGAAAAGTCTTAAAAAACATGTAATTCAGTTTCTTTAAAAAGAGCATAAGAACGTATTAAAAGGTGTTAAATTTAATTTACAGAAAAGTCTCAAATATTGTCTCTTGCCTGCTGCAGGCAGGGATGTTAATTTGAACTTTTTAGTTTGTAAATCTGATTCTTGGCTGTCGGGAGACGTTAAACATTGAAAACATAACAGTTGGATTGTTGTGACAGTGGAGACTGCTTCAGCCAGCACCATTAGACCAGAAGCAAACACTATCACTACTGCTAGCTACAGTTGCTAGGAAGCTTATCACCTCACAATGACCACGAGTCACTTTTAGCAGAAACTTGAATGAATTAATAATTTTTTTATTGGTTAATACATTCATCCATTTTATGTCACTTATATCATTAGGAATTGTTGTTATAAACTGCTGGGAAGTTCTGAAAACATTTGGTGTAATAAATAATTCTAGTCCACATCATCGCTACTGATGTTCCTTTAAACTTTTTATTAAAGTTTTTGGCTGGTTTGGACTGGGAAATGGGTATTAAATGGTATTTTAACACCCTTCCTCTCCTCTCTTCCAGGACCCGGAGCCAGAGATGGAGGCGGTCAGCTCCAGCCAGGAGATCCCAGTGTCCTCGGCGCCCCAGCAGCCCGAGAAGCTGTCGGTGTCCACGCAGACCAAAAAGGCCAACGGAGGGTCGCCACGCACACTGCACCGCGGCACCCAGACCAACAGTGACGGCGCCTGCCAGAACATGTGCCACGAGAAGTACACCAAGGTCTTCAATGACGTCAAAGAGATGATGAAGGCCGACAACAAGAGGGAGACGGAGCGGGTCGTCAGAGAGGCTTTGGAGAAGGTGGGTTTGTGTTCGATGGTTGGTGGTCTTTGAGAACTTTGAGAGATTGAGCATGCGTTGGACTCCAAACCTGATTTGTGTCCCATCTTTGTGTCTCTTTCCTTTCAGCTCCGTGCGGAGATGGAGGAGGAAAAGCGTCAGGCGGTGACTAAAGCGGTGGCTGGAGCTCAGGCGGAGATGGAGAGGAAGTGTAAGCAGGTGAAAGAGAAGTGTAAAGAGGAGCTGGTGGAGGAGGTGAAGAAGCTGGTGGCCCAAAACAAACAGCTCATCTCCCAGACCAAGAAGAAGCAGTGGGTGAGTTCTGGACAGATGAGCTGTCTGTTACAGTTTGTTTTTAACTGAACAAGATGAAGTCGTGACATTTATTTTCCACTCTGTAGTTCAGTCTGTCTAAAGTTTGAATGTTTGTTTTATTAAGCTGAAACCAGTGTCTTGTTTTTTCTTGTGACCGTTTCCGGCTTTGTTGGTTTCCTAAAATCATATTTTATACTAGGGCTGGGCGGTATGTCAGTATAATTTCAAAAGAAATATGAAATTAGACAATACCGTTAATACCGATATAGTTTGATGTTGAGTTAATTAATAGGTTTCCAGCATTTGGTCCTCTCTCTCTCCCTCACCTCGCAGCCCCGTCCCTCCCTCTGCGCCTGCTCACAAACTCTCTAACAACATTTAGGCAGACTCGGTGCCGGTCGACCTTGCTGAAGACCTGGCTTGTAAAAAGGAAAAAAAAAAAAAAACAGTTCAGTCAGTGGTTCCCACACATACACTTTGGCGGTGTGCTCAGGTTAGGCGACACATTGTAGCAATTATCCGAGAAACGGTTATTAAGTTGCGACACGCTGGATATTTTACAAGCACAGACCAGGTAAAGCTGTCAGATGTCATTCATTGTCGCTAGTGTGGCATGTCCTCACGGGTAGAGAAACACACGGAGCTTCAGCACACACAGTGACAAGAGTTTGGATCGCACAATTTGTCAGGACCCGTCCTGCTCTCCTTCTGATTAACTAGTAATCCTTAACTAGGTACTGTGCATGTGCAACTCGCAACAAAGATCAAAAAGAAGTGAGATGCTTCACTCTGCAGCTAAAACGGACAGGGTGAAAAGAGGAGCTGCAGAAATGTACAGTATAACGAAAATATGGTGTTTTTAAAAAATGAAACCATGTGAACCTGTTCTAGTACAACCTCTAAACCTGAAAATGAGCATAATATGACCACTTTAGAATATTGCCGAAATAAACTCAAAATTACCATTACAGAGTTTGGAAACAGTCCCTGAGGGTTAAATGAGTCAGACAGGGTGCAATGGTTCACAATAAAGTCGTGCCCAAAAGTGAATTAGGTTTTATACAGCTGATATTTATTAATTAAAAATCGAGCATGATGCCAAAAATGATGCTTGATTGTATTTTACTAATTTGTGGTGAAAGTAGATGAGTTTGTGTAGTGTATGTGTGACAGTATTTGTGAGGTGTAACACAGCAGCTCAAGATATAGTGTAATTTACAGTTTTCAGTGTACACACATACTGTTTACAGTAATTAGAAAAATTGTGTTACTGTCAGTATTTACTTAATTTGAAGTGTTAGAACAGATCTGATGCTGTCTGTGCTGTAGCTGACCTCTCTCTTGAATTTACATGTTTTTGGTTTTTCTTTAGTGTTGCAACGGAGTTAGTTTATCTTGTTGTCTGTGCTGATACTTGACTTTGTTCTCTCTTCTTCTAGTGCTAAATAAAAGAAAGGCGTTAGTGACTCGTTTGTCTTGTTTTCAGTGTTATAACTGTGAGGAGGAGGCCATGTACCACTGCTGCTGGAACACCTCGTACTGCTCCATCAAGTGTCAGCAGGAGCACTGGCACGCCGACCACAAACGAACCTGCCGCAGGAAGAGATGAACAAGCCCTGCCCCTTCTGACCTTTCACAGCACGCCGTTGGCTCTCACCCTCTCCTCCTCCTGTCAGTCAGTGTCTACAACACACACACACACACACACACACACACACACACACACGCCTCCCGCCTCCTTCTCTACTTGCCTTTCTGAAAACTTTGTGGACCCGATGTTTTCTGCGTGAAAAGAGCAATTTGATCTCTTTTAAATTTTATTTTTTGTTTCTATTATTTAATATACCCATTGTATTGATTTTTCTTTCTATATTTTTTTTATATTTTTCCTCTGAATCGTGAACAGATTGCTTGAGAGCATGGCTCGAATGCAGAGTTATGGTATGATTTTTTTATTTTTTATTTTTTTCCTTTGTGTGTTTCTTTCGATTTTTGTTTTTTTCTTTACTGAAGTGCTAATTTTGAGCTTGTGTCAGAGAATGTGTTATTTAAGTGTTTAGTAACAGATGAGCATTAACTGAATACATTTTATTACCTGAATTTTTAAAAAGCAAATCACTTTTCTTACTGTAAATGCAACAAATACACACGCCGATCTTACAAAAGAAATCAAACATTCACCGTATGTACCATCGCGGCATTGAACTAGCTCTGATTTCATAGAGAAAATGTTTTAAAAAAACAACAAAAAACTGCATAACATCTTAAATAGTGGACGACATGGCTCACAGACGTTAATATATATTTTATTTTATGGAACTCTTGCGGTGGATGGCACTTTTATCATTTCTACCATTGGGAACAGGGTCATGAGGTTGGCCTTAAAAGGCACCAACAAAATAAATCTTCCATTTATTATTATTATTATAATCGTGCACATTTTTGGGGTCTTTTTTTCTTAAATAGACTGTAATTTTTATGAGTAAAAAAGAAATATCAAGTTTTTAATTTGTTCCGAATTGGAGAAATGTATAGCAATCTTTACTGAGCTGGATCTTAGAGAGGTTCCATCATTTGACAGTTTTTCCACTTTTTTGCACACTTCGTTTTCTTAACAACCCAAATGCTTGTAATATTGCCAAAAACATTTTGTTGAACCTACCTGAGAAGATTTTGTGAGACCTCCCTCCCCTGCGCCCTCCTAAAACCTAAACAATTATGTATATTTTTCCAAGCTTCGTTAGTGTCATTTTTACAGTGATGTGACACTCGAAAGTCATTCTCTTCTTTTCGATATTTTTTTTTAAGCTGAAGTGAGTCAAGTAGCTATGAGACTTTTTCACTGCTCATGTTGTAGTTGGTGGTCAGTGCCTGTTTCTCTTCTTTTCTCATCCTCTTACTCCGAGTAAGGCTACATGCATGTTGATAGTTTGCCTTTTTTAAAATAATTATGGTAAAATAAAAATAAATAGAAGAGAAGACAAGACGCTCACTGGTGTCTAATAAGCAGTGACGACGGATGGACCAATATAAAACATTATGCAAATGTGAATGATCAAATTAATCTGTTCTATACTTTTTTCTGCGCTGGATGTCGAGTGTCAATGGTGTATAAATATGGTGCTTGGAATCTTTTTTTTCTTCTTCAAGGGGCAATAAAATTGCCAGCTTTTGCTTTTCTTTGAGGAGTGTGACACTTTTAAAGTTTGTTGACTGTTTCCTCAGTTATGAAGATTGACTGAACGGAGGAAAAGAATTCAGTTACTCTGTACAGACACATCACTTTCTACACACAGATTGCTGTTTAACAGTTTGTGCTTCTGTTAACATGTGACAAATAAAATACCGTAAATTCTCACATAGTGGGCAGGACCTTTTTATTCACCTCACGGATGGAGCAAGACAGGCTTTATATCTAACTCCCTTTATTTCATCCTGTTGCGTGTTTAAGCCCCGCTGCTTCTTGAAAGTAGGTTTTGTTTCCTAATGTCTGGTGGGGTGGTGATGGCCCAGTGGATAAGTGCATGCCTTTGGTGTGAGGGACCCAGGTTCAAGTCCCCACTGTCACACATCCTGAGCAAGATACTTAACCCCTCGTTGCTCCTGACATGGACAGCAATTGTAAGTCGGACAGCAATTGTAAGTCGCTTTGGATAAAAGCATTAGCTAAATGAAAAAATGTAATGTGCACTAGAGGACTTTCAAATCTTAATAGAATAAAAAAATGAGGGATACCCCAGACATAACGACAAAATTAACCCATTTTTTATATTTTAATCTTGACACACAAACCAGACAATTCATTTGAGACGCAGGACCACACACTGAGCCTTTATGCTAAACGGTTTCAGGGACGGTGGTGGTTCCAGGGACTTGGGATCTCCCAGAAACTCACGTGATCAAATGTGACTTCAAACAGAAACAAACATGGAGGCAGACTGTCGTTGTCAGCTAGTTGCACTTGTATGTTGTAAGTTTTGCACAGAAGAAGGAAAAACAGAGATTAAAACTGTGGATGAACTCAAAGGCTGAGAAGAGGGAATCAGCAGGTTTATCTTATAGCGTGAGCAAATACACAACACACTGGTGATGCTTCCTGGTCAGCTCGCTCACATTATCTGTTCAAAACCATACTTACCTGAAAGGCCTTTTTATTCTGAAATATGTACAGGAAGTTTGGAGTTGCGTAAACAACAGCCTGAAGCAATGTTTTTCTTATCGTCAGCAAATCCCATCAGAAAAGGACCAAAACCAACAACGTGTTAGTCGGTCTCTCCAATACTTTGACTTGCTGTCTGTGGCTCTCAGCTCCACACATTGGTTCCTACTAAAGACATGGATCTTAAAACAACAACTCACAGGCATAAAGTTGAATTTTTTGAAAAGACTCAGTCATTTCCTAAAACAGCAGCTCATGGTAGTTTTTAGCTACTCAACCGAGTAAAAAGTGTATTTGTGAGGCACTATTTTCAGCGGCGGATGAATCCACGTGTGGTGCTCTAGTGAGTATTTGGGGCAGTGGGAAGGTGTATGTGGGACTGAACATGTTAGTGCAGCAGTGAGGCTGACTCGTGTTTTAATAGTTTTTAACAGTAGAGCTCTGTAGAGGATAAACAGGCTTTGATACACAGATAATACTTGTTAGTAGATACATTCAGTGTTGGTTTGGGTCTTTTATTGGGATTTCATGACCATAAGAGAAACTTACTATTGTATAAGAACAAACAACATGATTATTATTGTTTGAAAAGAGTCGACCATTAGAGAATTTACGGTAACTGTTGTTCCAGTCTTTTCACTCACTCGTCTCCGAGTCTCTTTGTAAACTCATTTAAGTGTATCACTTTAAGATGTAACATGTTATTGTACAGTTCAGCTACTGTTTGACCCCTCTCTTCTTATCCAGTGTGTGTTAGGATTTTTAGTTCCCCCGCTCACGTTCATTTCTGGAAAGAGTTGTTTAATGTTCTGTTGTGTTTTCTCACAGTTCTCCTCTGCAGGCTAATAAGGTCAAACATGCCGTCATCTTCTCTTTTTTTTTTTTTTAAATCATCATTGCACTACATGTAAATAAAATGTCATTTTGTCAATATCACCTCCCTCATATTATATATACATTGTAAATGAATTCACAAATATTAGACATTTCTTCTCCTGTGTTCACAGCGATCCTGATGACTGTTCTAGTTTTGTACAATGTACAACTGTTATATCAGCTCCGGCTTCTGTTGTTACCATGGCGCTCTGAAGTTGTCATTTTCAACATGTGTGTTTCTGGTTTGGTTCTTTGCTTTGGCTTTTTTTTTAAACTCAGTGACAGCTGCACTGCACATTCAACATATCTGAATATTTCAATGTGTTTTTAACATTGTGTCAAAAACCACAACTAATAAATGCATGTTCTCCCAAACCGACACACTTGTTGAAGGTGACGCATATTTTATGTTACACGTTTTCTTTGACTGTTTTTATATTCGTCCATCCGGCCGTAAAGTTTCAGTGTGAAAAGGTGTTTTTATTGTTGTCCCCCCCCCCCTGATGTCGAAATTTTTTTAATGTCATTCCACTTTTTATCAGTTTTTTTTTGTTTTTTAAACTGCATGAGTAAAGGTGTGCGCATCTCCGGCTCCTTTTCTTGTTTTTCTCATGTAAGAAAAGACACAGCTGCACTCCCTCAGAGTAATGCAATATGACAATGATGTTTTTTTTTTATTTTCTGGAACTTCAGTTCAGCTAAATCACATCTTTGAAGCCGTTTTCAGCTTGAAAAAGTGAGTAAATCAATCAGATTGTCGCCCATAACCACACTTTTAACTGTTCTTATTCCAGAGTATTTTAGTACATAATACTATGGGAGTACTAGATGAAATCCTGCTTGGACTTGCAAAGTATTTATGTACTTCTAACTGGAATACAGCCAGCGTAAAGTTTCCTTTGTTCTCTCCTCCTGTGGGTCATCTGTTCTGTCCATATGTAAACTATTAATTGTGGTTTAACATTTCCAATGTCCTGACTTTTTTATGCTTTAGCTAGCAATATGTATATAAATATATTCTATGTGCTAACATGGAGGAAATAAATGTATCAACAAGTTCCTGTTTCTGTTGTTTTAAGTTTAGTTTAATTTCAGCTGAAATATGTCTAATAATAATAATTTTAACTAATACGTAACTTTAATAATGTACAACTGCAGTGGACAGTAAAATGTGAACACTTGTCATTTTAAGGGTCTGTTCACCCAAATAGCAACAAAAAAAAAATCAATTCTCTCATTTTATCCTTGCAGATGGTTTTATTGGTCCAGATTCTTAAAAATATTCCAATTGAATTTTGTTTGTTTGGTCATAATCTTGAAAAAATAAAGATTTAACAGTAACATCTCTTTCAAGAAGCAATATTCCAGTTACTCTGATCATTGAATGAAACTTCTTTCTATTGAAGAATTACAGTAGTTCCTATAAACACTTGATAGCTGTAACTAGGACTGTTTCTGGAAAGACTGCTGAAGTTTTTCAATCTCAAAGATAGATGTCTCGAAACCTAGGTGAAGGAAAAACCAAAACTATCTTCCTGACAAGGCATCTGTGCAAATAACAAGGTAACTTTATTATTAGTTTTTGACAACTGCATATCCCATCAGCCTTAGCCATTGTGAAACTTTTCATGGGAGTTATTGACGAGAAGAAATTACCCAAACCAACAGAGTGATGAATCTGCCCTGCATTTACTCCTGTTTGAGTAACATTTGCTTAACACCACAGTGACCTGCTGTTTTAGGAGCTCACTGGAGCCTTTGTCAAAAATGAAACTATCGATTTTTTTAGAAGATTTGTCATCATTAGGAACCAATAGGCTTAAAGCTGAGAGCAACAGAGTAAGGAGACAAACCAACACATTGTCAACAAAGACAAAAGCCAATGAGAAATATGTTATTCTTTAAAAGTTCAAAATGTAAAATATTTACAAAGATGAAAGTTTAGCATTTATGCTTGATAATTTACCTGAACCTCAATCGTTTTAGCTTGAATATGGTTTAAGTGTTCATTGACTTTTTCTATTACCACAATAGTTTGATCAGTAATGGACTGACTCCATTGTTCCAGCTCTAAGCAACAACAAATGTTCAGCTTATTTCACTAGTTTTTTCCCTTTTGTAAATTACAAGTTTTGTTCACAAATGTGTTACAATTTGTTGACAATTTGTGGCATTTTCCATCGGGGACATTTTGGGAACTCAATATAAAATATTTGTAATATTAAATTACAATGCTATACAGTATGTGTTGATTGCCAAAAGACAAAGTAGGACACCCCTTAAATGAAAATGCATTACACTTTTTAAACATTATTTCAGACCCATGTGTTCTGTTTGCTAAAACCTGCATAACCTAATAATCATAAATAAATAAATTCCAACATCCCACGTTTTGTCAAAATTGTTGAAATATTTATTTAATTGAAAGACTATGTCAACTCAAATAAGACATTTTTTAAAACCTTAAAAAAAACATACTGGGGGACGTACATTTTGCTGATAAAAAGAGAAACAAACAGTGAAGAAAGTGCTTTTTTTTCCTTTTCAAAAACCCTCTTGTGTTGAAACTAGAACATTATCTGCCAAGAAGCTTCAACCTCAAATCACGTTTCACTGACTGAACGTCGTATTCCATTGACCTCTCCACAGCTCCTTAATGAGTTAAAGGGTCTCTGGTAAAATGCCGTCAGCTTCTGCTTCCTGTTTCAGTCTTTATTCCTGTCGTGACATCACTGTATGAGCCCTGATTGATCGTCCCATGTAAAAATATGAAGGACTTCTGACTCTGATATTTACAATAGTAGCGGCAGCTCGCCTACCTGCCATTTTCAGGACACTCAAAGGTATTGATGAGGATTCACCTTTTCCCAGCCGGAGGTGTTAAAAGAAAATAATCCAGTACTGCTGTTGGTCTGTTTTGAATTAAGGAGTTTCATTCTAGTAAGGACAGTTGGAAAAATTATAGAGAAATTAAACTCTAATCCAATTTATTAGATTTAAATGTCAGAAAACACGTTTGTTCCCTGATAAAACATGTTATATGAAGAGTTCTGATGCACTGATCCACTTAAAACAAACTTGTTCTCTACAATGTTCCCCCTCGTCACCACTAGAGGTCAGCAAAGCTGAATAAATGACATTCACATTTTCTTATCGCCTTAAAACCCTTAAACTTGACTCAGGCTAAAGTTTGTTTTACTGTAAAAACTGTCAGGATATTATACATTTCCAGATCCAATTTATAACAAATTAAATAAAAATCTGAATGAAGCGAGGTCTTACTGCTGCCCTCCACAAGGGAGAGGAAAGGGGACAAATTATACAATTTTAGGTGTATTATTCAATAAAGCACTTGCTATGAAAAACATTGAGTGCACCAATTACACATTTGAGGTAATTATTCATAATTTAAGGAATTACTTATCCTAATGCCTCTATTAGATTAAGTCAGTAAAGGTTTGACCTTTTTTCTCCAAACTGGACATTTTGCTTCAGAACTCTTCACATGGAAGCTGGAATAAAACTCTTCAAAGCTTCACTTATAATCTTCCAGCTGACTGACTGAAACATTTCAGACCAACGTGCAGATTAAAAGCCTCCTGTGTCAAACTGCTGAACCCTTTACTCATCTTTTAATATAATCTATAATCATATAGTTCTATTTTCCATAATATGCTTGTTGCGAGTGTGTTTCACTCAAGATAATACAATGCTTTTTTGTTTTTTATATTAGCAAATATTCAAGAGCAAAACATTCTTGAACGTCTCGTCATATACTTCTAAAAGAGAAACAAAATAAATTAAATCGGTTTCTTTTTGTACATACTTACATGATATGAATTTGTGTGTTCTGTTCGAAGCAAAGTTTGTACGCAAAAATAAACAGAGTTAAAGGCTGCAGCTGTTTATGAAGTTTATGACAATTAGCACACTGATTTCCCGCTGAGATGGGACGGACGGTTTAGAAAATAATGCTAAATAAAAAAGAACAGCAAGCTAACAAAACAAACTTGTAGTACCTCATCATAAAATTGAAGGACAGCTGCGATTCGCCTCTTCAGACCCCACCCTCTATCAAAACATAGCTCACTCTTTTGTTATGGTTGACATCGTAAAAACGTAAAATAGCATTTTTTGCCACGGTTTGTTTTTGTGTAAATATCCTTTTCAAAAAATAGCCTAAACTTTTTCGAGAACATGTTAAAAAACAATGACAAAAAAAAAAAAAAACAACACACAAAAAACAAGCGACTTCAGCAAATAACGTTACTTAACAGGAAAGCAGAGTGAGCCACACGCAATTTAAAAGCACAAATCTTTGCTACGTTAACGATTGTCCTGTACCGGCCCCGGCCCCGGCCGCACAATTGCCACTTTCCGGGAAACAATCGGCACAAATGGGGACTTGGTTGCTCTGGATTGGGGCGGCTGCACTTCCTCTCAGGCTGAGTACAGCTGTACAGGCTGAGCCTCCTCGTTGATTTTGGGAGCTGGCTGGCAGAAGTACATAGCCTGGGAGTAAGTGCTGCCAGAGAGACAAAATTCAGGGCAAAAAAAGTCAACTATTTCTCCCCTAGTGCCTAAAACTCGGCCTCTTGACTCCGGTTTTATTGTTTTTAGTCAGGAGCAGACTGTCTTTGCTTCATCCACCTCCATATTGGCCAATGGGGGGCGCTACATGTTGTAGGCCACGTAGATGGGGTCCAACTGGTCGGCCAGGAAGCCGTCGCGCAGGTGCATGCGCTGCTTCTCACCGCGGGAATTGATGGGGATGACGCCGATGTCCACCACCACCACCACGCCCACGATCAGGTAGTGCTCCTCCAGCACCACGTTGGTGACCAGAGGGACCAGATCCAGGGCCTCCTGCTCTGAGCCGTCCAGCTCCACCACCACCACCAGCAGGTTGGTCCACGTGAACACCGCGCTGGAGGCACGGAAGAAGAAGAAGAAGGGTTTTTGTCATAATTGAGCCCAAAATCCCTCAATTTCCAGCAGCAGTTCAACTAAATAGCACTGATTTTTGGCAATTTTGTAGTTATGAAGTGAGTTATGTTGTGACATTTAAGGTAATGTTTCATAACTGTAGGCCTGTAACTAAAATAAATTCTGAAATCTATGGCGTCAGAATGCCTTTTCTAAATCTGATCTAAATTGTTTTCTCTCTGGTGTTTATGACTTAAGAACAGGTGGAAGGAAAAAAAACAGACAAGCATTCATGCTCACATCCTCACCTACCACACCAGGTTTGCATTGAAACAAGCACATGCTGGTGGCTCGAGGATCCATCCTCCTCAGGTCTTATGCAAATTTTAAATATGGAAAGGACTGCAGAAATCTACACTTGGCCGAGGTTGAAATGTTGGTTTAGTAATACAAAAAATAATAATAGGAGTGGGGGCGTCAAATAATCCGGTGACTATGTAACAGCATTCCTTGTTTCAAGTCCAGACAATGACTCTTGTTGCAGATCAGCCCCCCTGCTATCTCTGTAGTAGCAACTAAAAACACCACGGGGTACTGGTGCCCCATTGTTTATGTAAATACACATAAAGAGGATGATCACCTTTTAGAAATGTGCTTAAAACTTGTGTCACAGGATTAGAAATTGGTGAAACTATCAGTTTTGTTGTAGTACTGAAGTCATGTTCAGCCTCTCAGTCCTGGCTCCTGGTGGGTCGTGTTAGCTTGCTGTTGTTGCTCACCACTCTGTGATGCTCTTGTGCGTCCTGATGACGGAGGTCTCGATGTCGATGGGGTGGTAACGCATCCCTCTCAGCTCCATGGCTTCCTCCAGAGCACCGACCACGTACAGGGCATCATGGCGCTCTACACACACACAAACTTTGTTTTCTGACAATAACTTCATGACAGATTTACTCTGAGGGGAATCTCAAGTGTCTTTTGTTAGGAAATGTTTCTATATCTCTATCTATCTCTCTATATATCTCTATAGATAGAGATAGATATGGTGAATAAAACAGATCGATAAATGTCTGTTAATAAATCATCTAATAAAGAATACTACTAGAAAGTGTGTTGTGCTGCCATTTTGGACAGAACATTCAACACATCCTGGTTAAAGGGCAAATAATAAAATAAAGCATAGACAGAATCTGCCTGCTCTGAAGTTAAGACCATCCAGTGGTTACAGGTGTAGTTTAGTCACCTCTTGTGTATCTGGTGTCTTTAAACCTGGAAATCTAACAGGTTCTACCTGCACAGGTTAAAGTCCTCCTCACAGTGATTTATGGGTATTAAAGATTCTGTTCACTGCAATCAAAAATCATGAACTGGGTTGGTTTAGGAGTCTTAATGGCCGTATCTTTATAATCATCAGTTCAGTCCCCTCATGGAAAAAATTCATGTAGATTTTTGAAACCTAACAATGATATTGTTGGATTCAAGCAACTAATTTTCTCACAATAGTCTTATATATACATATATATATATATATAATATACAGCATTCAGCATTTCATCCATCAGCTGATGCTGTGATTCCTCCAAGGCCGGCAGCCCTGAAGCTGTTTATTTAACAAACTGCCCACATCATTTTGCTCATGTCCTCACCTCCGCTGGCGTCGGTCAGTTCGGTCCTGCGGAGGAAGCCCAGGTATCCGGTTCGAGCCCAGATTGTTTGCGTGTCTCCGAAGCTGAGTCTGGAGTTGAAATGGTCCGACTGCAGCGCCTCGTCTCCGTAGACGGTGAAGTAGCCGCTGGCGTTGTGGCTGCTGTGCACCCAGATCTACAAACAAACGACAACAGCTGTTAACAGCAGGTGGAGCTGTCGTTCTCTTTTAGTTCTGCTTTTATGCGTTTGCTGGCTCAAATGCTTAAAAAGGGGAAACTCCTATAAAAAGCACATGCTGGGAAGACAATAAAGCTGCTGCAACAACTGATTATACTTTCAATTAGTCAATGACTTGCGTCTATAAAATGTCCCATCCCAAGTTCCCAGAGCCCGTCTTCCACTGCTTGTTTAGTTTCATTTTTAACAATATAAGATCATCTGAGAAACGGGGACCAACAAATGTTTGGCAAATACTGATTTAATAAACTCCTTAAAGTGATTACCGGATGATTAAAATCGTTTGAAATGTTGTCATCCACAAAGTCAATAAATGCTGAATCCAACATATGGTTTAAGCGTAGTACAAAAACAGAGTATATTAAACTCAGTTTGCCCACATTAATGTCAGATATCAAGGTTTCAGGTAGGGAGGTATCTTCTCCTCTGACAGGAAGAGGTGAGTCCAAACTAAACAGAGAAGTACAAAACTTTCTTCCAAACGAATGGCCGCTCTGTTAGAAACAAAGCTTCCTGCTGTGGCCTCACAGTCGGCTGTCTTTAGTTTGGGTAAAAAGGGATTTCTAGTTGAAAGTCAGACAAACCTCGCCCAGATGCGACTCTCCCATTGGTCCCTTGGTTTCTGGGTTGGCGATGATGATTCGGACACCCGGCAGTATCTGTTCAGAAACCAGAGACAAAACATTAACGCCAACATTTAAAAGATTTAAGCATTTGAACTACAGGGAGTGAAAAAAAAAGTTACCTTCCCAGACTCCATCAGTGGCAGGCTGTGTGGCGACCCCCTCTCCACTAGTCTGACCCTGCGGAGATGCAGCATTACAAAAATTAACAAATAATACATGTGTTAACTACACTATCTTTAAACAACATTAAAATAAAAATAATCTTTAAACAACATTAACACAGATTCAAGGAAACAAGATTTATTCATTTTTTTCGATTTAGTTTTTGCATTTTTTAACCCTGTGGTTCAAAAAGGACATGGAGGAACAAATGTGTAAAATTGGTTAATTAACCATATAGTTGTTCTCCTTATGTAATAAAATGTTTGATATTTCCCTGTTTGCAGTTTTGGAGGATTTGAGTTCCATATTAAACATTATAAGCACAAGAGCACGTTGACAGGCTGCTGCAGGGAACAAACATGGGAAATTTTAGAATCTCTGTTGCCGTACATCTCTGCGAGAGAGTTGATCTGCAAATTCGTCATTCGAGATAAAATAACGGATGTTGGGCAAAAACAATAATTATACTTTTGTCCTAACAACTAAAAATAAAAAAAATGAGTTGGTCAAATTATAAACCAGAAACACAGAGCGCCTCTGGTAAAAACAGACCAGCTTAAATCAACAGTGATTACATGTAATCATGCACACTGACAGTTATATTTATACACAGCAGGACTGAGCAGCCTCGCTGCTTCATGTACTGTGACTTGTCTGGAGGAAAATGACAGCAGACGCAGGCTGAAGGCCATAATGATCTGCTGGATCACAGAACAGGAAACTGAAGTTTCCCAGACACACTGGGAAGCCTTTGCGACTGGTGACAGCTCCCAACATGTTTAAATGTACATTTTACAGTTTCAACTAGGAGCTGAGAAGTGGTCTCGAGATTATGTCCTTTAATCCCACCAGACCACCTTGTCAGGAGATATTTGAATACATTTAAGTCTAGCTTGTCATCCCCGGAGGTATTGTCCATCTCTGCTGCCTGGAAACTGACAGTGTCTCACCACCTTAAGACATGAAATCTGACACTAATGTTGGGCCCTCGCAGCGATTTTCAACTCTCCGGTTGGTTCATAAAGTCAGACTTCTCCCGTGAAAGCCAAAACTCTGGCACAAGAAATTCTGGAGACTCCCGAGCTGCTATTTATGGTGTCACCCAGCATGAAATGTGACTCAGACTGGGTTTGATGGGTTTTAAGTGCATCTTTCTCAAACTAGAAGTGTTTCAGGGGAAGTGAGGGTGACAGTCGGGGCGTCAAGCTGACATGCCTGAAATTGTCACTGTGTTGAAGAAACTTTTAGCTGCTCATTATATTCAAACTTTTTACAATCCAGCCAGGAGCGATGGTTCACAAGCCGTGCATTAGAATAAGGATCTTCACTGAGCGCTTTATTTATTCTGGAGTGTTTGCTGAGCTGCATGTTCTCATTCACAAACACCCTGCTGCTTCACGGAAACTTCACCACATTCACACTGAAGCTGCCCAGTGGAGGCTGGACTGAGATCCCACAGGAGCAAATGCAAAATGTTGTGGGTACAGGATATATTTAATGTGAGAGTGAGAGGATGGAAACTGATTCACTGTTGGGAGGAAATTTCACATGAGAAAATACAGGAGGATGTTGTTACTGAGCGTACCCAAGCACATACAAAAATATTAATTAAGCAATTTAATAAGGCTTGTTTTCAGTTCTTCTAAAAGTGGCTTGTTAGACACTTAAATTATTTATTCCTGTAGTTTCCTATAATTTCCTAGAAAAAAAGTTGAATATAAATGTATGTAAATTTATAGGAAGGTTCCAGGAAAACAATGTCATTTTGTAGTAATTACAGGGGAAATGGAAGCCGCGTTCAGCTGAATTATTTCCAATTTACTAACCCTATGCTTACATTTAACACAGCAGTGTGCTTACATTAGCATGTTAACATAAATGTGAATAGCTATTGAATGTTATTATGCTGAAATGTGCATACTGGCATGCTAAGACCCATATACTAACATTTTAACATGTTAGCTAACATTAGCATGTATTTCATTAACAATAACAAGTTAATGCTGGGCCCTTTTTTAACAATCTATGCGCACAGCACGAGGCGCGAGGGGCTGCTGCATTTAGGGTGTGTCCGAAACCACTTCTGCTAGTTAAACAGCAGAAAGAATGGTTCAAAATGGTTGTACTGAATTAGTCATGGGTTTGTTTTGGGTGTAACATGCAATAAACCAGTGTGTCATCTCCCATTGCCTATAAAAGCCAGGTTTGTTTCTACCTTGGTACATTGCTATTATAATAGCGGAGAAATGGTAGTATAAAAACCATAATAAAATATAAATAAATAAATCAGTGTGACGCAGAGTCCAGCATGACAGACTCAAATAGAAACTAACATTCACACATTTCAAGCGCAATTCGGGGTTCAGTATCTTGCCCAAGGACTCTTCGACGTGCAGCCTGGGGGAGCCGGGGATTGAACCGTCGACCTTAATAAATAACACTCAACCTGCTCTACCTCCTGAGCTACAGCCGCCCAGTGGAGCGTATGAATTACACTGCAGACTGGAGTCTCTATGAAATGTCTGGATCCTCACTGCGCTGCATTATTATAAACTATGATAAGCTGGTCACGGGTCACATCTCTGGCTTCAAGGTGATTTCGGTATGAGTGTGTTCTTTAATGATAGAGAGGCTGCTGTCGGTGCATCCTGACCCATCCTGTCCGAGTGTCTGGAGATTTGCTGTGCCTCGTGCGTAAAGGCGCACAGTGTGTCTCTTTATGGGAAGCCTCTTACTATCAGAATAATGAGCCCTATAAACAGCAGGGAAATACTGCACCATTGACTTTAGACCTGTTTTTTTTGGTCAATGGTGCTATCGCTTTCTGCTGCCTCAAGATAGAAATGCGCCTAACCACACCCCATTTTACACCCACCACTCCCATAGCGCACAGATGGGCACATGTGCATTTGCTATTCAAACGACGTGGGCGCTGGACAGGAAAATGACAACTGTGTCAGTTGGAAGCTAGCAATGACACTGCTGTGCTTTGTGCCACTCTGCGCCTGATGCATGATAAGGCCTGCCGTGTTAAAGTCAGCATTAATCTCGAAGTGGAGCTGTGGCTGACAGTAACTTGGTTATTAGGCTTAGAGGTATTCTGCAATTTTGACCTGTCGGTGGCGCTAGATTAAAAATCAAGAGATTACCAACGTCATTTGGAATCACCTGCTGTGAACCATTTATGTCTGTAAACAGTTTCAAGAAAGTTGTTGAGATATTTTAGTCTGGACCAACACAACCATCCCAAAACTAAAGGTGAAGAATAATGTTTGCTGTGAATGTTGGAAGGTTCTGGGCGGGGATCTTGTACAACATCTAGTAGTGTGTTTACAGCCGAATAAGTTAAGACAAGATGTGTGGTTTGTTTAACTCACCTGTCATGCCGTAGCGCTCTCATATCAACATACACAGTCGTGGGGTCGGGTCCTGAGGTGCCCTGAGAAACACGGCAAACACTGTAGGGTCACACAATGTCCTTTCGTACAATTACTACCATTGTACAACTGCATGACAAAAACCTCTACTACTACTACTACTACTACTGCTAATACTTCTACTACTACCAGGCCACTGTGGATGCTACTGCTCGTGCATTAGTGTTCACAGAGACAAGCTTTTCCTTCACAGCAGAGGTAAAAGCTTTGGGTTTGAGAGCAAAGACGGGATCCCACAAAACCTCGACAACATGATGGGGAGAACAATGTGGGAGCCACAGCAGTGGGAGGGTTTCAGAAGGAAATCAGCAAAACAAAACACAGATTAGAATACAAACAAAGATATCTCAGCATAAAACATCTAAAATTAGATGTTCATGCAAACAAAAGTCAGAAAAAGAGGGAAGAAAAGAGGGGAAAGTGATGCCAGCCAAGCCGGGGAAAAAAAAAGATGACTGAGAGTGATGATGACATATTTGGGTGATTACATCCTGGTACATAAAAATGTTTTAGTGGCAAAGCCTGTAAAAATATACACAAATATAAAATCTATGAAGAATGTTGCAGATATGATTTGGCCTCCGTCGGGCCAACGTAGCTCGTAGATGTCAGCTAAATGTCTTAGTTCTGTGTTGACTGCTGTGCTCCGACATGTGAGTGAGAGTTAATGTTGTGAAGCAAAACCAAGACAGAGAAAAAGCAGAGAAAAGGACCCCCGTTCCGACCTCTCTCTTCCTCCACCACCTTTTCTCTCTCAGAGGTGATTCAGGGCAAAAACCTTTGCAGGGGGAAACTGTACACAGAGCGCACCACTGGACACACAGCGGCATGCTGGGAGTCAGAAGCCCACACTCAAGAGAACAAAATGGCAGATAACGTCTTCTCCACAAGGGAGGTAAATAGATTAGTTTGAAACTCCACCAGAAGAAGAATATTTAGCGACAACTGGACGAATGGTGGAGAAGTGGTTTGAGAAGTTTCCGTGGGCTTTTGAAACCTTTAAACCCCGTTTTACAGGTAATGGCTCTGAGTCACCATTGGAATCCATTGTAAGTGCCCGGTCACAACAGAAATGGACAACTACAAAAATAATTTTGACGTGCTTGCAGGTGGTGCTGAAAGTTTACGACCATAGCCTGCCAATATACCTTCCAGTCAGCAGTCAAAGTTTAATTTAAAATACAATTTAAAATTAGATGGTACAACACAGATCATATGATCGCTACTTTGGTTTTTGTACCCTTTGGCACTCCGTTTCCTGGAAGCATCAAACTCCTATAACATTGTAGGAATCTACACAGCAGAACCAGGAACAACAGCTTTTTTATTACACACATTCTCCTTCCTTGTCAAAACCTGGCACCTACATTTCCCACAATGCAACTGAACCACAGACAGTTTGTTCAGAGATTGGGGTGTGTTCCGCGAGTAGCGGCTCATGTAGCCTGCAGCAGAGATGAGGAGCGGGCTACAGAGGAAGCTGACTTCTTTCTCTCCACAGCCACAGGTTTTTCTAACTTACAGTCTTCAACCCCAACTGACTCAAGGGACTTGAGGACATTATCTTCACACAGCTCCCTCTAGAGACACCAAAGGCTTTATATAACCTTTTTAAAAAAAACCTATGCAGAAATACACCCCAACACCTGCAAACAGACTGTTTAAAATCAGTGGAGTTCCTCTATAAGATGTTTTGGTTTAAACTGGTCAGTGGTGCAGATTTACATGTCAGAAAACATTTACTTCACCTCTGTGGGCAAACCCACACAGTGCAGAGACTCCACTAAAATCTGTTGATTTTGGTCCTAATTTCATCATAAATGCTCACGTGAGCATGACGTTTGTAAATCCAAGCTGACTACAGCTGCTGTCGTCATTTCTCAGACACCTTTCAACCCTGCAGTGGGTACTGGAAACTCAAAATCCAGATTTTCAGAGGGGCAATCCTTAAAAACTTTGATCTACAGCCAGCTGATGAGTGATGTGCTGACAAGCAGTGGGGTGGAGATGGTGGTGGTCGGGGGGAATGATGGTGGTTCCCTACCTGGTCGGCAAGCTTTCCCAGCCTGTGAGGCTACAGCAGCAAAGGGGGCGGAGGAGGAGGAGGAGGAGGAGGAGGAGGAGGAGGAGGAGAAGGACGTAAGGAGGGAGGGCGGGCGGAGACAAAACCAAGTATGAGATTTGTGGACGGGGTTATGATTAAAACAAGGAAGGAGGAGGGAAGCAAGAAAAATGTCAAAATGGAAAACTCAAAGAAACAAAAGAAGCAGTCAGGACTGAAAAACTTTATCAGCCAAATGTTAGTTTTGTCTTTTAAAGCTGCTAGAAATTGTTTTGTTAATTAAGGTCCCGGAGTTGTCATTCAATATATTGTGTAATATTAGTGGTTTAGCTGTAATATTAGTGTATATTGACTCTGTTAATTCAAGTTATGAGCCATGCAGTTAGAAATCACTGTTCTGTACAACAACATACTGCTTATTAAATTATGGCAAAATGTATAATATGGCAAAATTCTTTATAGGCTTGAATTTGCATAGTATCTTACCATCTAGAAAATGGTCAGCAATGTTTTCATGTAATAAAAACTTGGAAAAGTTCAGTAGAAGTATCTAGAGCAGATCACAAAAGTTTCTTTTATTCCATTCAAGAAAGCAATGGGGAAACTTTGTGACACTGACATATGAACTTGGGGAATAGCCTGATTTAACCCACTTAAGGTAGCAAATCATAGCTGAAATGTAAGAGCAACGATCTGCTTGAGATGGAAGGATGACGCTGAACACGAGCGACTGACAGAGGAAAAGCTGAATGTCACGCACCCTGGACATATACTGTATCTCTGCACTGGAGGCATGAGATACTGATGTCCACTTGTTCGTCTGACTCTGGATAAGAAAGCAAGCTATTTCTTGTATCTTGTAAACTCCATAATGTACTCGACAACAAAAGGGAAACTACAAAGAACTGGATGCACAGGTATAAACACAATCACAAACTCATTTATAAGCTCAGCAGTTAAGTAAAGCTAATGCTAACTTCTGCAAAAAAAAACAAAAAAACAAGCAGCTATGGGCAACATCCGCTGACATCTCCCTCGCCATCAAGAACAAAAGCAGCAAGTTTCTCAAATGTGAACGCACAATTTCAATAGTGTATCCAGCCACAATCTCACACCATGACCCGGAACAAAGAGGTGAAAGTCTGACTGACCTGCAGGCAGATTGCCAGGTTGACCCTGCAGCCGAAGGAGGTGCTGACGGCTCGAGGGTGGAGTCCCAGGTCCTTAAAGAGTTTGGAGAAGGACTGCGTCAGGGCTGTCCTGGGACGCTCCTCTGCTACAACCACACAGGTCCTCACCCGAGACAAGTCCAATCCTCGAGACTGAAGGGGTAAGGAGGACGCAGAATGAGAAGTTGTTGTGTGTGTTTGGTGACATTTAGCATCAGTGATCCACTCCCTTTCATCTTTGCATGACACTTTCATTTGTTTCCTTTCAGATAATTGTTTCTGAGCCTCAATAGGTTTCTTGTCAGTTCAATTCATAAAATGTCAAGCCTACAATACAAATTCTCCTCGAGACAGTGCGCCTCCTTTACCTTCAGAGAGTCTGTCTGCAGGCCGAGGCCTTTGGTGCAGAGCTCCATGACGCTGTAGGAGCAGAAAGTGTCACGGACTTTGTACTGACTGACGGCCGACAGCCAGAGTGCGGGGTTCACCTCCAGCTCGGATGGAGGGATCAGGATGGACTGGTGACCTGAGTACACACTGCAGAGAGAAACCAGAGCGAGAGTGTAGAGTAATTTTGTTGTGGTATTGATGGAAATTATTCTTCCAAACAACCCCGAGTTTTATTGACTTTCACTGTGACTAATGGATTATTATTTGTGATGTTTCTGTTATTCACATACACACCAAGTGTAAACCCATACAGCCCTCTAATAAAGAACCAGAATCCTCTGTAGCGTCTTCTAGTGTACTCTAATAGATACACCACAGTGATTACAGACTCCACAGCCCGTGACATTTATTAAGAGATCCTAAACACCGTCACAAAATGGATATGTGAAGGGTACAGTTAAGATCCTCTTCAAAACGTTGCCTGCCTTTACCCCATCTTCTGCATCTACCGTCCCTGACTGGACAGGACTTTTAACATTTGGATTCTGTTTGTTTATCTGACCTGCAAAGGCACCAGAGGACGAAGCCCAGGCCGCAGTACGGGTCCAGGCAGATGGCGACCTCTCTGGACGGGTAAAGCTCACACTGCAGCTTGATGGAGCGGCAGAAGGCACTGGTGGCTGTGTGAGACATCTAAACAGCAGACAGGCATGAGCCACTCAGTAGAGGTACCGGCATTAATACACTTATCCAGTCCGAAAATCAATATTTTCTTTAAGAAAATGTACATATCCTGCATGCAGTAGATCCATTTTCAACTTCTTAAAACACAATTAGGTTACTAGTGTCAGGAAACTGCCATTTCTAACAGCCATAGCAAACAAATGGGTATATTCTTATTGTTCTATGTAATTTTTTAAAGCAGAAATGAAAACACAAACAGAAAACATTGTTTCTTCACACAAACGAAGGACCTCCCTCCCTGGTGGAGCTAAAAATGATTAATTACCAGAAATATGTCCACAGTGCACTGAGTAGCGTAACAAAATTTCAGATATGAAGCCTCTGGTGCAGCATTGACCAGATGAACTGACCGCCTTGTTGCGTTTCAACACCAGCGCTGCCCGATGCAGTGTTAATATTCCAGCATTGACTGATTTGCTCATTAAGCTGCCATTGTTTCCTCCTGCCCTGCTTTTCTTTTTGGCTGATTAGTGTGTGTTTCTCAAAGTGTTCATTAATCAGGCTTTTGTGGTTGTGATTGTAATGCACTGACAGAACAAATATTTTGGGGCATACAGGGTATGATACAATGACTCGAAAAGTAGAATAATTTTACATTTGCCTGTTTAAAAGATCCCTCCATGCAACAAGTGAGGTTTCAACTGTCCCGTAATGTAAAACGTAGCTGTGAGAGGTCACCAGTGATGTAACGCTGATCATGGTGATTACTTTCTCCGATCTCCGATCTGGTTGGGGGAAAATAAGTTGATTCAAAGCTGTTTATTTCTTATGTTGCATTCCTGACAGGAACCCTGGTGTTCTCTGCTATGGCTTTAAAAGCACTCCATCCATTCCATCCATTAGCTATACCAGCTTATCCTTCAGAGGGTTGCGGGGGACCAGAGCTGATCTCAGCTGACAGCCCACAACAGAAGCACCAGAAGGAAACCCACAGGGAAAAAGTGCAAGGCCCCAGAAGTAGAAGAAGAACTTATTGAATAGAAACTGTCTAAAACTATTAGCCTCCAATTTGATTCTCACTACACTGTTACTAAAAGGTCAAGATAAATTTGTCGAGCTGATGTCGCAGGTATCGGCATATATGTCGGTCGACAAGTAACAGTAGCAGTTAGGGATTCAGAAAGTGTTGCCATTACATTGAGTTTACAAGTTTATTTGACAGTTAATAAGAGTTCCTGCTCAGTACTGCTGTCTCATGTACCAAACAATCGCTGGTTGAGATTTCTGGTTTTCCAAAAATCTCTTCTCAGCCTGGGCTGTTTTACATAACACACCCTCGTCAGGTAGGCTACAACATGGCTATACTAATCTAATCTAATTCTGTCTACATTTTATGGATTTACCCAGTGGTCTCATTCTGAAGGGTTTATAGTAGAATACCAGCGACTAATGAATCAGCTTACAATCCAGTTCCAACATAAAAAGCAGGCAAAAGGAGTGTCGAGAGCTGATTTACACTGACAAGAGCTGAACAGATATTCCCATTTCCCTCATGTAGAACAGAGAAATGGATATTTTAACATTAGCTGAGATGTACAGACTCTTCTCTGTCTACAGACATCTTCACTCTTCTCTAATGTACAGTGTTATATCAGGTTGCTAAAGGTGAGACAAACAGCTGATAAAATGTCATCCTGGGAAAATGAACACATCACAGACAAAGTGCCATGACATGACGAGTCAGGACCCAATTAACTGAGGGGTCTCATTTTAAAATGATTATTATTTAATATTTTGTCAGCTGAGGGTTTACATTTCTTCAATCATTTTCAGAGAATAACAGACCTTTAAAACGTTGGTATTACCCTTTCTAACAAATCTTGTCAATTATACCTTAAAAACATGCCCACAAAATAATTTCTGATTCTGCTATTGTGTTTCTTTTTATTGTCTGGAAACAGATGAATCTTCTCTGTCTGCTCTCTGTGAGCATCTGTAAGCAGAGAAACATAAGGCTTCAACACGGATTAGAGACAGAACAAGAAAGGTCTAATTTAATAGAAGTTCACTTCAGTGGATTCAAACCCACGCACACACACACTTGTACCAGATGAATAGTGGCAGGAAAACAATGAGCTGAGTACAGGATGCAGGTTTGTTTTGCTGCAGCAGGAATCAATAGAAGCTTTAATCTTCAAAATGTCACCACCATGTAACTCCACACTCTACACTCTGCAAGGGTTATCTGAATATACAAAGAAACATGTCGGCACTCATGATGATGATGTGGGTGCCTCCTGGGCCACAATTACAGTATTATAGCTTTGACATTTTGACCTTTATTCAGTGTTAATCAAGCCAATCAGTCTTTTTCAAACATCAAAACATAAATGGGCTGATTTTCTCAAAATAGGACCAGTGATGATATTTCACTAACAATGTGACAAATATCCAGTCATATTTCTGCTCACTACTCAATATCTCCAGCAGAAACTGCAAGTTACGTTCTTGCAAATTCATTAGTATAAAGTCCGCACCTCCGGCCGTTACTCATTTGAGTTTGCTGCTCCTGGTGACTGGATCAAGTTCACACCTTCATTCTGTTACCCAGCTTTAATAACTCATTACAGGTATCTGATCACTGCACCTGCTTTTGAATTTGCATCTCTGGAACAGTACATAGGTCTCTGTATATTGTGATATCTGATACTGTTTTCCTGCACTAGCTGCTTCTATGCTTCTATGTTTTAAGGTCTTGTATCGACCTCCTGTCGCTGACTCATTGTAAATGAGAATTCTCAACTGACAGATGAAAAAATGAAAGACGACTTTAAAACAATAGCGGGGGGAAAACATGTTTATGTTTTGCCTAAAGATGGTGCTAAGCAATGATACAGAAAAATGTTCTTTGAGCTAAATGTTAATGTTACAATGCATGCTAATATTACAGTTAGAAAGTTAGCCTGCAGGCTTAGATGCCACATGCTAATGTATAACATGTAGCATTAAGAATGCTAAAGGGTAGGTGCTACATGTGAGCATGTTTATCCTATTCAATTCCTTCTGGGGAACATATATGCTAATGTTAGCAATATGAATATCTTAGCATATTAGCAAGTATGTTAGCACTATGCATTTTAAATTAGAACTACAGTAATTCCCAGTCTGGTGGTAAACAACCACAAGTCATAAACATGGGGACATTTCCCAAACAGTGTCAATACAACATTAATCTCAGTATTTAGCTGTAGCTGACAGGAAGGGCATCATTACATTCAGAATGAACACGAGAAGAAGAAGAATGAGAAACAATTAAATATTTAGCTTGTTGTCTACTTTGACAGCCATATATACAAAAAAGGAGAAAATTTGAATAGGACAATACAAAAGGGACACTGAAGTGTTAGTTAGTGCATATTTCAACTCGTTGGTGGTGCTAGATGAAAAGTCAGCGCATCAACACAGTCAAGATTTAACTAGAGAGGCTAAAAACGTGTGTGTGTGTGTTGTGTTACCTTGACTCCAGCGAGCATGCCAGTGGTGGAGACACTGAAGTCCAGGTAGGCCAGGGTGTCGGGGTTGGACGGTTTATACAGCAGAGGGGGTTTCTTCTTTGGCAAATCATCTAAAAAGGAAATCAACCTGTTCCCATCAGTGCTGCTTTAATATACAGCACATCCACAGCCATGCCTATTATTTGTTTGTTATTCTTTATTTCATTTCTTCTTATTCTTTTTCCACATTTGTCTCTATTTTTTGTTTTAATTGTTAAGGCACATCTGCACTCTACTTCTCACAGATCACCTGTCTATGTGGTGGTGCTCTCTGTCACAAGACATCTCTTTGAAACAGGGATTCAAACCGTGCAAGGGTTTGTAGAAACAGCATAGCATAGTCTTCCTCATTAGTAAGAGACTGACAAAGGCAATGTACAACATAACTGTTTATCAGAAATAATGCATGTGTGTGTGTACCTGTGTCCAGGACAGGGGGCCAGGTCCGGACATCCACGGCGGCCGAGGCTTCCTTCGACCTCAGCAGTTTACAGATGAGCTGTGTGGTCATCACACACACTGACCGGCTCACCTGCACGATACAGTGCAGACAAACTTGAATCTGATCAGACGCATCAGCAGGAACCAGTGAAGAAAACCCCACATTTCATCACACCATGTCCTCTCCAACAGTGTGGATAAGTAAGCCTCACTTTAAATCGCCCCCTGAAACCAAACTGCTCAATTCAACTGCTTGTGAGATTTATAGCAAAGTAACTGCAGCCCGTGCCCTCCTGCCTCCTGCCAGCTCGCTTTATTCTCTCGTTATTCACATTACATTTATTCTTTCACTTATTTTTCCAGAGCGCTGGCTAGTTTCCCAGCTTCTACAAGCTGTTGAATGCTTTGCCCCTTTTTATGAGTTAAACATGAGCGACTTCTATTTTTATGTGATTTCATCACTATGAGGCTGATTTGTAAAGAACTGTTTGACACAGGTGTTTCTACAAGGCAGGATCATCCACTTTAAATGGTGGCTGTGAGCTTAAATGTGTCTTAAAACAGAGAAAAGTAGAATAAGGATGATGATTAAACTGATTACACTATTTTGTTTCCCAGATGGCACTTGTGTGATGCGACACAGCATCAGTGTTACTTTGATGAATTTCCTTTGAATAAACTGTGTTGAGAAAACAAATCTATTTGTGGTGCACAAGATGATTTTTTCATTTGAAATTATTTTTGTGTGGGAGGATCTGCATCCTTTGTGTATAGTTTTGGTTTTTCTTAAAATTTCTGGTATTTCCATTCAGCTTTTTTGAAGCTCACATTCAGGATGAGAAATTAAAAAAGGTGATTATAAACTTACTTTTAGTTTTCTCTGCTGTGAATTTAGGATTTCTTACTCTCAAGCTCAGTGTGACATAGCGAGTGATTAGTTTCATTAATTATTCATTTGAACTGTTACAAAATGAGACAACAACAATACAGATACAGGTTTTTACCTCCACAATCATTTTGACAGTGGGCAGCGTGGTGGCGATGTTCTGTGGGTGAGGCGGTCGCACTGTGATCGGCACGCAACCGGCGTAAAGGCAGCCGTAAAACGCCACAATGAGGTCGATACCTAGAGGAGAGGGAGGAGGAGGGAGAAGGGAAGAGGAGGGAATTGTGTGAGGGGAAGGGAGGAGATGAAGAGGGAGGTACAAGGAGGGAGGAGAGAAGGTAAGATGATTGAAATAAGTGAAAACAAGAAAGACAAAGAAGAAGACAGATGGAGGAAGGAAGAAGAGGAAAAGTGAGGTGAGATGGGGAGAGGAGAAAAAGAGGGAAAGAGGATGGAGCATGTGACAGATGAAGAGGAGAAGGCAGGAAAGATAGGAAGATGGGAGGATGGGAAAGAGGAGGAAGGAAAAGAGAGGGACACAGAAATGCATGGGGGGGGGATGAAAGGGAGACAAGGAAAAGAAAGGCAAGAAAGAAAAAAGAACACACATTCACAGAGGTGAGGAGGTTAAGTATTGAGCGGCGGACTCTGGAGGCGATTAATTGAATGCTGCTTTAGGAGAATCTGGTCCTGTAAGGCTGCATCCGTCCTGCTGATGGACACGAGGCTCTGAGGGAAATTATAATTCTTTCCGTTCGCTTTAATTTTCCCCGCGGCGCTCTCTTCGATCTAACTGAAATGTCTTTGTCGTGCCCTTCCTCATTAAAAACAGACAGTTTGTCCTTGTTAACATGCCAGCACACAAGTTAAAGGATCATTACAAAGTTTTGGCATGTTATAGTCAATTTAGAATGAATCAGGTATTTTTCATAATACTGACCATTTTCCACAAAAGACTTTTACTATTTTACTTTCACTTCACAACAGAATGACAGCAAATCAATGTGAACTTATATCTTTCCGTATTTACAGAAACAAAAAACTGTAAAACAACACTATAATGATATAAAAACTATATGGAAAGCTTTGGAAACTGGGTTATATAAAGAGTATATGATTTGTAGTAAATATGCTAAAAATATAAAACTATTAATTATTAGAAAAAACACATAAAATATGGAAACGTTACATTATAAAACATACAAATCTAACATGAGACCTTACTGAAATATTATAATGTTCTATTAAAAGCATAACAAAACTTAATGTTTTAAGCAATCTGAACACTTGATTGCTGGTTAAGCAGGTCTGTTTAGAATGATAGCAGTGGACAGCAAATCATTTTTTATTGGTTTTACCTGATCAGGTCCAGCTCACAGTTGGTGTGAACCTTGTATGTACGATTCTCATTTATTGGAACTAATAGGCCCATACCATGAAAAACAGACCCACACCATAAGTTCACCTAATGTGTGTCCACATACTTTTAGTGCAATAATATGGGTTCAGAAAAGTTTCCAATGTTGTTTTACTGCCTTGTGAATATTCAGCTAGCAATGTTTTCTGGGTAGGATCTGCTTTTACTTTTGAATGAATTTCAAAGGTGTGTTTTTTCTCCAATTTGAAGCATTTTGGACGTAACGCCTTCACATCTGGTACTGTCACTATGAAACTGATGTCAACATGCAAAACATCAGGACACTGAGGTGCAGCTAGTGCTTACCTGGAGGGTAGACCAGTGCGACGTGGTCTCCGTCCTGTAGGTGGCCCCGTTCAGCCAGCATGCCGGCGATCTTCTCTGCCCTCTTATGCAACTGAACACAAGTCAGAGAGCTGGCTATAGTACCCTGGAGGAGGTCACACACACACACACACACACACACACACACACACACAGAAAGATGATTGACACATTCAATCAGCGGAGTGTATCAGCAGATGTCAAATCATATTTTCCGTTGCAGCATCTTGGTGCCGAACAGCTGTAAACAAACCAGTGGATCATATTGCCATTATGCAAACTAACAGAACCGTCATACAGAGTCACTTCACACACAATCGTATATACAAACTGCATAATAATAATAATAATAATGATGATAATAATAATGGATATTATTTTTCATGAACAAATCAATAAATCATTCTTTGTCTGCCATTCTGTCTTTTGCGTCATGCTGCACACACTAGACCATAAAGTGCTGTAACATAAAGCAAATGTTGCAACATAAGGTACATTTTTCTTGTTTATAACTCATAGTACAGTCACATAAACACGGAAAAACTGTACTTGAACTGTTAACTTTTCCAGACGTCAGGTCCAAAAACCATCAATATGTGTGTTGTGAGGTCTTACCCTGGAGTTGAGCAGTGTGTACAGGACGTGGTCTGGAGTGGTCTGGGCTCTCCACTGTAAAACCTCTGACAGGAAGAGGAACTAAAAGCACAAATACGGGAACAGTGAAATTGAGTGACGACAAACACACATATTTACAAATAAACACACGCACACACATCCATCCTAAACACATGAATAAGGCAACAAGGCAGCTAACACTCAGCGTTGTAAAACTGTAAAACATCAGAATTTAGTGGAGAATAGATACATTTCACTGATTTTAAGGAGTTTTAAGTATTTCTAAACTTGCAAACAGGAGAATGAATCCAAATGTATCCTATCTGAGCTTCTCCTGCAAAGAAAAACTTCATCAAACTGACAGAATACTTGGCAATTTCACCAATCACCACAGTTTGCCACATAAAATGAATCAGACTCTGAACCTTCATAAACAATTTCCTTGTAATTACGATGGGACAGACTTTGTTAAACCCTCAGGTAGCACTTTTCCCAAGGCTATATACTCAACTGGTTAAACTTCTCATCTTGTTTCAGCATTGTACAGCTGTACTCCAGGACCCTGTGACATCACTGTTACGTGTGGTTACAGGTACGACAGAGCACACTTCTGACCACACCCGACCACACCAGTCAGTGATGCTGGCTGCGGGGAGGTGAAATTTCAACTAGAGAGACGTTGCTTTTCAGTCCCTCTTTGAATACACAGAAACCGAAACATTACCACTGACCATTTTGTTTATGGATGTTAATGAGTAATAATAAAATGTGTAAATTACTGCGCCCAACACTGACTGTCAGTAAGTTAATATGGATGAAAGTAAGTGAGTAAGGTAAGGCAACAGGGCTTCCTACTAGCAGAGACAAGAGAAGAGAGATGGGAATTGGCTATGGGAGGAGAGAACAAATAAGAGAGTGAGTTTGTTTCTGGCCTCATAAATTTTTCAAGATTTGATGCAGAGGGGTGAATCGCAGGGAGTGTAATTCATGTTATGTTTTGCAACAGAAAGTCCGTTTTATTTGTGTGTGTGTGTGTGTGTGTGTGTGCTGCCAGCCTGTTTGAGGATTCAGCTGTCAGAGTCTTAACCTGCCAACCGCAAAGCAAATGGACCTCTGCTCTGCGCAACACAGCGTTCGTCACCTCTGGGAAGACTCTGGGCGCGCTTGATTTGTACTGCAAATTTCACTGACTGAAACGTCAGTGAATTATTATGCTAGAGGAGCTCAAATGTGAACCTTTGTTCCTCCAGCTGAGGGTTGAAATGAGCTTTTCTTATTTCACATTCATGCAGCTGCAGAACAAATAGAGTAAAGGTGACAGTGACGGTTTTCTGATCAACAGAACTAACGGGGGTTTGATACTTTGCTTAACAGTACTTTGGCAGATGTCATGACTCGAACGTAACCACGAAGCTGCCTTATGAAGAGTACGGTGTGTAATGGAATGACATGGGGGACATTACTAATTTAGGTATTCATATCATACATACTGATCTGTTTATGGGTTGCCTGTTCAAGATGTTTAACATCTTTCTTGGTACTTGGTACTAACAATATATATATAAAAACTCACCATGCTTCCTCCTTTCAAGTAAAAATATATCAGAATTAAGAGAACCGCTAAAACAAAATAAAGTAATACATTCTAAAATAATATAATTTAAGGCCCAGTCCTTGTTAAAGAAACAGACTTTTTACACAAGGTCTGTTAATAATGTCAATAAACTGAAAATTACTTTTCTTGTTTGGTAAAGTAATTAACTTCATTTTATGTACTAGTATTAGTATGTATGTACTGTAGTGGCTTATTTACCCATCTAGCAGATACAAGAGTCGTGTTTGTGTCCACCTGATGACTGTGAAGTTCACTCTGCTTTTAGCTCTGTTTTTGTCTCCTCCAACTCCTGAGAAAAATATTTGACCCTTCAGCTGCTTAATGTTCCACTTCTATCACCAGCTAGTCTCTAACTGTGTCTGACGGTTGTTTGGTGCTGGGTAGGTCGTGTCCAGCGGGTTTATCACATTTTACTTGCTGAAAAAAGAAACCATGATCCAAAATAGACTAAAATGCTGCATAGAGCTGAGGGGAACTGCAGAGTTTGGTGACAATCCTGTGGATTTGTCACAAAGGACACCTTTAAACCCTCCACATCCAGAAGGATGTTTAAAGTATAACAAGTGAAGTATTATGTCCATACTCTGTCTCATACTGTGATCACTGTACTGTGTGTTTCATATAAGCTGTCACCAGACTAATGCCTCATGATTGTTCATTTAAGAGATTCTGTCGTGTTGTGGTGTTCTCCTGCTGAAAACCTAACTCAGCTCCTCAACGGCCAAAGTTTCCTGTTTCACAGTTTGAACTCATGTAGTCGACACTCTCTCATTCACTCACCACCAGTTTCATGCATCGCATATCTCTCGGGGGGGATTTTAAGAAGGTTTTCTCCCCCCGATGAAAACATCACTCAGCTGCTAGTCAGCCCAACTCCGAGCTTTCATAAAACTTTCATAACAGCAAATGAAGGTCTGCTTCCTCTCCCGTTCCCTCAGTTTCCTCCCTCATACATTAACATTTAGGCGTTTATCTAAAATGCCCTAAAGCACCACGCCTGCACACATGTGAGCCACTGAGTCAGAAATAATCTCCTGTCAAACATGTGATGCACATCTTCCAAATGTAACAATTCAATCCTTCAAAACCTCCCCAAAAAATCTTACATATATAAAATCAACAGTCATGTCTTTAAAAGTCACAAACAGTAACTACCTGAGTCACCATCTACACACCTTTCAATGTCACATTTATTCATTTAGCTGACGCTTTTATCCAAAGCGACTTACAATTGCTTTATGTGTCAGAGGTCGCACATCTCTGGAGCAACGAGGGGTTAAGCGTCTTGCTTAGGGACACATTGGTGTCTCATAGTGGATTCGAACCTGCGTCTCTCACACCAAAGGCATGTGTCTTATCCAATGCGCCATGAGTTGGTGTCACTTGATACAGAGCCATTGCTATAATTCAGTGTTTAATTCGACAATTATGGTTTTGGAATGATTTTGTCAATCAAGCTCTTTGCCCTCTATTAACTTGAAAAATGGTTTCGATTTGGTGAAAAAACACATTTCTGACTTCTGCAGAAAATGCTAAAAGTCCTCCAGAAACCACAAAATGTGTTGCTCATCATTTCCGAAGTAACACATGGATGTGCCTATCAGCAGGACACATGACAAAGGACCCTAATAAAAAGGTTTCAGGTGGCTGCTTGCTGATCTGCCACTGCTGTGTTTAAGGTAAAATAATGAACATGTGTTAAGGAGGAGTGGCTTTGGACAGAGGCATGAAGGAGGAGGTGGGATTTTTCAGGTGGATACTTTAAAACCTAGGTGTCTCTTGCTAGTTCTCCAGTGTTACAGACGTGCTCAAATTTGTTGGTACCCTTACAGCTCATTGAAATAATGCTTCATTCCTCCTGAGAAGTGATGAAATTAAAAGCTATTTTATCATGTATACTTGCATGCCTTTGGTATGTCATAGAATAAAGCAAAGAAGCTGTGAAAAGAAATGAATTATTGCTTATTCTACAAAGATATTCTAAAATGGCCTGGACACATTTGTTGGTACCCCTTAGAAAAGATAATAAATAATTGGATTATAGTGATATTTCAAACTAATTAGTTTCTTTAATTAGTATCACACATGTCTCCAATCTTGTAATCAGTCATTCAGCCTATTTAAATGGAGAAAAGTAGTCACTGTGCTGTTTGGTATCATTGTGTGCACCACACTGAACATGGACCAGAGAAAGCAAAGGAGAGAGTAAAGAAAATAATAGACAAGCATGGTAAAGGTAAAGGCTACAAGACCATCTCCAAGCAGCTTGATGTTCCTGTGACAACAGTTGCAAATATTATTAAGAAGTTTAAGGTTCATGGAACTGTAGCCAACCTCCCTGGGCGCGGCCGCAAGAGGAAAATCGACCCCAGATTGAACAGAAGGATAGTGCGAATGGTAGAAAAAGAACCAAGGATAACTGCCAAAGAGATACAAGCTGAACTCCAAGGTGAAGGTACGTCAGTTTCTGATCGCACCATCCGTCGCTTTTTGAGCGAAAGTGGGCTCCATGGAAGACCCAGGAGGACTCCACTTCTGAAAGAAAAACAGAAAAAAGCCAGACTGGAAATTTGCTAAAATGCATATTGGCAAGCCACAATCCTTCTGGGAGAATGTCCTTTGGACAGATGAGTCAAAACTGGAGCTTTTTGGCAAGTCACATCAGCTCTATGTTCACAGACGAAAAAATGAAGCTTTCAAAGAAAAGAACATCATACCTACAGTGAAACATGGAGGAGGCTCGGTTATGTTTTGGGGCTGCTTTGCTGCGCCTGGCACAGGGTGCCTTGAATCTGTGCAGGGCACAATGAAATCTCAAGACTATCAAGACATTCTGGAGCGAAACGTACTGCCCAGTGTCAGAAAGCTCTGTCTCAGTCGCAGGTCATGGGTCCTCCAACAGGATAATGACCCAAAACACACAGCTAAAAGCACCCAAGAATGGATAAGAACAAAACGTTGGACTATTCTGAAGTGGCCTTCTATGAGTCCTGATCTGAATCCTATCGAACATCTATGGAAAGAGCTGAAACTTGCAGTCTGGAGAAGGCACCCATCAAACCTGAGACAGCTGGAGCAGTTTGCTCAGGAAGAGTGGGCCAAACTACCTATTAACAGGTGCAGAGGTGTCATTGAGAGCTACAGAAAACGTTTGATTGCAGTGATTGCCTCTAAAGGTTGTGCAACAAAATATTAGGTTAGCGGTCCCATCATTTTTGTCCATGCCATTTTCATTTGTTTTATTATTTACAATATTATGTTGAATAAACAATCAAAAGAAAAGTCTGATTTCTATTAAATGTTGAATAAACAATGGTGGATGCCAATTACTTTTGTCAGTTTCAAGTTATTTCAGAGAAAATTGTGCATTCTTCGTTTTTTGTGGAGGGGTACCAACAAATTTGAGCACGTCTGTACCTACCCCAGCTTTAACTGCTGGTAGAAAATGGGTTGAGAGGAGTCTCCCAGCGAAATTCACCCCGACCTCTTCCCTACAAACTTTTGTGGCACTCATGACATTGTCACACAATGCACACACCAAAGGTCCTTCTCAGGAAACAGTTGTTTTAGACATTCAAACAAACAAGAAATGCTGTCATTTTTCTTAAGAGAAAAAAATCGACCCTCACATACACTTACCCTCTCAGACATCATTATTCTGTCAGGTCTGATTTCCAAAAATGTCTTTCCAAACCTCCCCAGAAAAGAAGGAGTTTCCATGACAGCATTAATTCTGCATCTACATTATTTTGTGTGCATGTGGGTTTGAAATTGATCAGTCTTGATTGATTGATCATAACTGCTGGACATTGGTGAAACATGGCAGCTCTAAGAAGAAGTCATTGCTTCTTAATTCAAGATTCAACAATTAATTCAAGCAAGATTTGGGAATCTTTGCTTATTCTGAACTGATCTGTAACCAGAAATGACTGTTTAATAATAATAAAGTTTATCCTAGTTAAATATAACATACTATGTTTACATTTTTAAAATTTAAAACAAAATGTTTTAAAGCAGGATACTGCTTTATGCAAACAGCAGTTAGTAAAAGAAAATTTTCCACTAGCTAAACAATGTGTTTAAAAGTCAATGTGTAGCAGTGCAGGGCTCAGTGAACCTTCTCTGGATAAATAAGTGTTAAATCACATTTCATCCTACAAGATTACACTGATGCACACACACAGAACATTTCAATAAACACAGGAACTGCAAAGCAGCACCAACAGTCTGAAGAGTAACAGGAGCTCATTCACACAGAGGGCATGGTTTTCAGAGAGATGGACCTTGGAGGAGGTTATACAAACAGTAGTGGATGAATGAAGAGATAGATGAAGGAATTAACCAATGAGCTCGTGGACATTATGATGAGAAGCAGCAGCAGGGGCCAAAAGCAGACTAAGAGCAAGCAGAAATCTTAGAGCTCATCCTCCAAACCTGATTAACATTCAGCAGACAAACAGCAGAGGCAGATTTAGCATTTTCACACAACATCCCCAAATCACACATTTCATTTTGAATGAAGCGTACCCTTCTGACCTTGTGAAAAATAACAACATGGCCCTTGCCTTCCAGAGGAAATAAACCAAATTTACAATCATTCCCAAATCACAAACTCATTTTGCAGCACTGATCCACTGATTCATCTGCTGTGAAAAGTTGCCAAAAGTCAATTAAACTGCATTTCAACAAGGACGAGTAAACATATCACTCTGCACAAATGATGCAGCCCACGTCTGAGCTAACAATTACCAATATGATCATCCTGTTTAGATTTATAGTTATGGCATGAAGCCGCAGGACTATCAGTTTCATTTTAGTTTAATTTTGAAAATGGCAGAGCAGATTTGTCAGAGTTTGTGTCCAAATAAGTGATACTGAGGGTTTTTCCAAGATTTCCAAGGTTTGTACTCTCACAGCACAGCTGGTATACTGTGCAAATATAACATGTAACGTCATAATTTAAGCATCAGGCCCCTCAGTGTTCAAGCTAAATTTGATCCAGAAAAAGCAAAAGAGCAAAGATAAAACAGAGCTCAGATTCATCACTGCACACATTTTCCTTCAGGTTTCCTTCATCTTTAAATTGCCTTTACACAACGGCAGGAATGGTTTCCCAGGATGCTTCATCCTTCCCCTGCCTTCCTTTTTTATAGACGCCTGTATTGATCCTAATGTCAGTAAGATGTGATTTACTGTTCCACCCAGTGACAGCATGTAAATCAGCGCTGTGGGCTCATTTCTTGGGTTCAAATCGGTTCAACTTTTCTTTTTATCCAACTTTGGACACAGCAAAGCTAGCTGTTTCCAGTCTTTGTACTAAGCTAAGCTTTAACTGTCAAATAAAGGCAGGAATACACCCTAAATGCCTTTAAACAGACAGGGAGGCATCCTGGGTCAGACATTATGTTTGCTGTCACCTACTTGGTCTAACATGTGCTGGCCACATTGTATTTTGAGGGGCCAGAAGTTGCGGTTTTAAGGCAGCTTGGCAAGTTTCGTTTGGAAGATTTTGAAAACACCAGAATTAAAAAAGGTTTATCAACATCTGTTTGGTGACATCCAAACAAACAGCCAGACGAGCAGCAGTGAGGCTGATGGCACAGGCTGCCGCAGCCTCACAGTGTGCTGCAGTGGAGGTCGGGGTTGTTATTATTTGGGGCCTGTCTCTTCTCGTTAGAGTCTACAGAGTATGTGCAGCCGCTGGCTGCCTGACGCTGTAACTGATGACATTTTCAGGCGAGACAAGGGAGGAAAATCAGCTCTGTCAGTAACACAGACCGCATGTTGCTCTCGATCACTCCTGGTCTTGCTCTCTTAAATTCTTCTTTGTTTTCTCTTTATTTCCCTTTCCTCTTGTCCACATGCTCTCTCTCTTCATGTCTGCTGTTCTTATGACCTCTATTTCTTATTTTCATTCTGGTTCTCTGGTTTTATTTCTTCACAGACTTGCCTCTCCTGTCTCATTCTCTTTCATTGGCATAAATATAACATGAACAGAGCTGCCAAAGCATCTAATCACACCCCTGCTTTTGGTCTGTTGCCATCACCTCCTGGCATCAGACTTTCCTTTTTGCTTAACTTTGGTGATGAACCAAAGCAACACACAAAAGCTGCTTTGCTGCCTCAGATGATGATGTTATGATACGATGAATACTATAATAAAACCACAGCATAACAAACTGCAGGCCAAGTGACTGATAAGAGATGATTCAAACAAATGAATAAAAATGACGAGTATGAACAAACCATGATGGTGTGAAACATGAAATGGATCCAAAGGCCTCATTATATGTATGTGTGTGTGCATGTGTGTGATGACGATGATGATGATGATGATAATAATGATGGTGGTGGTGAAAACCAGCAGCCCTCCTCTCACACACACCTTCCTTGCCTGGTCATTGTCTTCAATCTGACCCAGATCCCTGCCGCTGGCCTGAGCAATCCTCTTCCCTGACACCAGATTCCCGACCATCACAGATGCAGGACCAATCTCTGAGGTTACAGATGAGGAGGAAGTAAACGGCGGGGGGGGGGAGACAAAGGGAAACAATATGTGAGATTAGAGAAGACAGCAAACCTTTGTTACTTACTTCAACAAAAGTTGTCTTACATAATTTAGGATTGTGCATAAGATGTCACCGGTAGTTTTAGTTTTGAGAAACTAACTGCATGTTTACCTATTATAAAGAAAGAAATTTCCCCAAGTTACATCAAACCCTTAAAATTAGCTTTACCCATCAGAAAAACTGCAGCCCTGTGGCTCCAACTCCAATGAGCTCCGAGGAATGTTTCCCACCCATATACTCCAGCACCATACCCTCACATAATCATTCTTCCTGTACCTGGCTGTTTCTGCCGGGGTTTGGGCAGGTTGGTGACGCAGGTGTGCGGACACATGAGCACGTTGCAGGGGTGCAGCGACCCCTCCAAGAAGAGCTGCTTGGTCTCTGACAGGTGGATGCCACCCAGGGGAGTCTTGGGCAGAGTGTTGGAGGGCACCAGAGCCAGGCAGTACACCCCCACCTGATGGATGCTGTCTATCGCCTGGAAAGTCGTTACGTGTTTAGAAAAACACTTTATTCATATTTTTAAGATGATGTCATTCCTGTTGAAAAGGTTGTTGGGGTGAGACAGCACAGTGCGAGGTGTAAGCATAAACCTTCAGTTAAGGGGATTATCTGAATAATGTGATGGCTTTAGTGGTTAGATTTTATATTCACACTTACTAGCACAGGTTAAGATCATCATTTAAGATTCACTGTTTTCCAGGAAATTAAAGTGTTAATTTCTGTGTCTTTAAGGACGTATGTGCAATTTCAAATTAAATGACAGAAGTTTTAACAAATGACGTGTGTGTGTGTGTGTGTGTTTGTAAATCTGCATGTGCATAGAAATCTAACAAAACAAGACCTCCTAAAAAGAAAAAGACAAAAACTATTTGACGACTGCCCTTTGAAACATTATATATAACTGTTAATCTATTTTCCTACTGTACAATTTGAACTATATATTTTCCATCAGATACAGCATTTTTCAATATTTTGACCAAAAACGAATGCTTAACAGCAGCCCAGAGGGCCCATCGCGCACATCTTTCCCCAGTGCTGTCACAAAATATTACACCACACTCTGTCATCTCAGCCTCGATCTAAATGCCGAGTTTGTCTATAGCCAGACAAACTAAATGGAAAAACAGCCAGGCAGTATCTGTGGTGGTAAAGGAATAAAGAGATTTGGTTTTATAGCAGCCGTAAAAATGCAGACGGCTTTTATAGTGTCACCGCAGTCGCCACGCCGGCTTAGGGAGATGTAGAGCTGGAGGTCGGACTGAGATTTTATCTGTTCATGCACAGTATGAATGTACAGCACAGTATCATACTGTATGTGTGTGTGAGTGTGAGAGAGAGTCTGACCAAAGAGCCAAAGAGACAGAAATGTGGTGTGAAAGAATGTGTGTGAGCTGTGTGTCTTTTTGAGGTGGCTGTTAAAATGTGGCTCTCTGGCGTGCATCCTAGGTGACCGTTTTCCTGAGCTGGGTTGTGTTAAAGGAGAAGGCTGGTGTTATTCAATAGTTTTCTTATAGTCAACAAATCCCATGAAAAGACCAAAACCAACAATGTGTTAGTACATCTCTCAATGCTTTCTATCTTCTCCACCCTGTCTGTGGCATTAAGCTAGTAACCCATTGGTTCCTACTAAAGATGTAAATCTTTAATAAACACCTCACAAACATATAGTTTCATTTAAAAAGACAAAATAAATAATTTCCTAAAGCAGCTGCTCACAGCAGTTTTTAGAAAATGTTACCCAAAGGTGCTACTGTAAGGCACTATCTTCAGTGGCGGATTAATCCACATGCGGTGCTCTAGTGAGTATTTGGGGCAGCGGGACGGAATATGTGGGACTTAAAGTACAGTGTGTGTTCATGGGGATAAAGGAACATGTGGCTCACTGATGTGTTTAAATAGTTTTTGAACACACAACGTACTTGTTAGTAATACGTCACTGTTCCCTTTTGTCTGTTATTTGCTGAGAAAATACAGACTGCTGCCAGACTCATGATTCAAGTTGTGCCTGTGTAGTTATTATAGCCATTAGTCTCTGATGTCTTTATACTGTGTGACTGGGTCTGTACTGTGTATATGCTGAGCGTAAAATGTGTGAATGCGTGTGTGTACCTGCAGAACTCGGCTCATCCACTGGAAGCTGTCTTCCTCTGTGGAGTCGGGCCGCTGCTCTGCCACGACCACAATCCTCTCATCATGAAGCACTGTGATGGAGAACACTGCTATCCTGAAACACAAACACACAGTGTCAACACGCTTCTTAGCTAGATAACATTATGAACTGGGGACACTTCGGTGGTTTATCAGCGTCACAGAACAGACAATCCAGGGAACAAAGGCTCCTCTTGGCTCTGCTGTCTCTGCAACAGTCTAACACACAGTGTATCCACACAATGGATGGTTGTGTGGATGGTTAATCCTCCATTATTCAGTCTGATGTAGCCTTCTTAGTCATTTTCGAGGCAGGGGTGTTAAATAAGCAGTCTATAGTTTACAAAGAACAATAGTCAATACTGAGAAATACTTTCGGTTTATACAAAAATAAGTGCTGGCCAGGTGTCCTGACGCAGGAGAACAATAGGAAAAACATTTCCAATACATGATATATGAGTTCTCTCCAACAATTATATTGTTTTGCTTAAGTAGACCTCAGAGAACAAATCACAATCTGGATTTACGGAGGAGCTAAGTTAGCTATCTTAAAGCTACCATTAGTCCTGCTCACACCGTGAGTCCAGTATTTTTCATGTTTCAAGAGAAACATGAGACATTTTAAATGAAGTGGTGGTACATGTACTCAATTTTAAAGAGGTGGTATTCTGCTCATTTTCTGGTTCCTATTTCCTATCCTATTTAGTGGTTGTCCCAGAACAGGTTTACATGGTTTCATTTTCAAAAAACACCATATTTTTGTCATACTGCACATTGCTGCAGCTCCTCTTTTCACCCTGTGTTGAAGGCTTCGTTTTAGCTATGGAGTGATGCATCTTGTCTCTAAATGATCTTTGTTGGGAGTTGCACATGCGCAGTTCCTAGTTAAGAACTACTAGCCAATCCGGTAAACACGGCTTCAGTTCAGCTGTATATTTCTTTACCAGCTTGGCAACATGGACTGGAGCGAGAGTTTCAGAGTGGTGAGTTATTAATCTGTAGCAAAAGTATCTTTCATCCATAAAGTTTTAACTGAGCTCTGTCTCTACATCACAGGAACATCTTTATGTCCACTGACTGCCTGGAGGGTAGCTAGTGTTTGGAAGGGAGAGGAGAGCTGTGTGCTGCAGCTCACTGTTTTTCCACCGCTGTTTTTGAGGGCGTGTCAGACTAGCTGTTTGGCGAGCGTTATATGAGGCACATTTAGCTTTCATCTCTGTGACGTCACATCAAGCTGTTTTCAGGCAGTTCAGAGCAGAGTTTTCTGTGGGAGATGGGAACTCCCTTTGGGCTGGACTTTGGGCTTTTTCACTTTGCAAACCTGTTACAGGCACAAAAAAGATATATAACTCCATAAAGGAGAGGGGAAAAGCCAAAAAGCAGAATACCACTTCGCACAATTAATCTTGAAGATACAAAACATGATCAGCTTATTGAATATGATGTATTGTAATAACTTAAACTATTCAGTGGTATAAAGTAGTGAAAAAGTAGCTCCATAGACCAACCACAACACTAAAACACTGGCTACACTTAAAATGCAAACATTTTTACTCTGAGCACAGCTATAAGAACAGAACAGCAGAGATATGGATCAAAAACAAACAGGACTAACGTTGCACCAACCACCTACCTGCCCCTGTAGACAAACTTCATGGGCTCCACGGCAAGCGCCGTCGCAACGATGTCGTCAGCATTGTGCCGACGCCCCCCGACCACCATCAGACCGTCCATCTTCCCTGCCACAAAGATCAGGCCCGCAGGTCCGATGAATCCCAGCAGGCCGGTCCTGGTGAAGGGAAACTCACTGATGGGAGCCCCGTTGTTGGACGTGGGGAAGACCTGGGTAGTTTTTTTTTAAGACAGAAGGTGATAAAAGGTTTATAATTAAACAGGAGAACCAAGTGATCATTTAACCAAACTATTCACACACTCACCTCAAAGGTGTTCTTGGTCATGCCGGACAGACCGTAGTACGAGGTTCCCGTGGCAACAGTACAAATGCACAACTCTCCAATCTCATCAGTTTTACAGAGCTGAGGAACACCTTCAGGCTTCACCACACACATCATAGCTACACACAGAGAGAACAGGGGAAGAACCGCTGTGATTTTAGGAATAAGTAATTATTACAATGTTAAGGATTTGAGTAATTTTACATGAAATTTCCTTTGTTAAATACCACAAAATAATTAGGAAATGAATGTTTTCAAGTTACTCGAGTAACTTGAGTAAAATGTACTCAAGTATCCAAATAAAAGGTTCTGCTTTCATGTTTTCAGATCAGTTGAAAAAAGGATTGATCAATTGACAAAAAGAGAAAATAGGAGAAGGGAAAAAAGAAAAGCAAAGCAAAAGAAAGAATTTAAGAAAGAAATAATGAGTGACAGGAGAACAGACATACAGTAAAAGTTTGGTACCGGTTGACAAAATTCTCAGTTTTTGTTGCATCACTTTGATTCATCAACATAAGTCAAGATTTTGGAATAATTTACCCAACAGCAGTCACATTTATCTTATGATGAATGAATGAATCTACAAAGTAACTCCAGTTAATGGATAAATAGCAGAAAGTACAAGCTTCTCGCTCTAAATAGTAGTGCAGGAAAAGTAGAAAGTCTTCCAAAAAACAAAATACTTAAGTCAAGAAACCAGAACCTCCAACTGTAGCTATGTTCAAAACCTTCTGGGAGTTATCATTTTGGGAGGTCCAGGTCCAGGTACAGTATTAGCACCTGCAACATCCGCCTCACCTCCGGGCATGACGGATCCGACATCCTGCAGCGTGAGGACAGACAGCTTCTCCTCTGAGTCGACCCGGATCACGCCATGACTCAGACCCTGCATGGACAGCACGCCACGACCAGGAGGGGTGCTGCCCTCTTCCACAGGTCTGCAGGAGGGATCAGATGACATGGAGGCTATTGGAGTGCTGTTTATCTTTGTGAGAATACATTTTCTATCCTGAGTGTGGACAGTTTATGGGAAGTGACAATATCTTGGATGGTAACCGAACATTTGTGGGAAGGTGAAAACAGTTTTGTAAAGGGAGAACATTCTCGCTAGGTGAGTTTTTGTTTTTTAAACTGAGGATATTATTGGAAAGTGAGGACATTTTTGGAAAGTTCAGAAACTTCTAGCTGTACTGTTATTGCAGCCTGCTGCATATCAACAAGGGTCCTCACAAGTACAGTTGTGGGCATGTGTGAGTCCTGTTTTTGTGAGTTTAAAAGCAGCTCTTTAATAAAATAAAGTCAGTTCATTACTACCACACCCGCTGAGGCAAAGTGCTATTTATTAGCCTGTGTGTGGGGCAAACACACACGCACACACACACACAACTTTGAAAACACACACACAGGGATTTTACAACATGGAACAAAAATTACAACGGAGGCGTGAAAGAAAGTCGCCCTGGTTTGACTGTAATGTGGATTTTAGATGTTGAACTACAGCGTGGACGATGAAAGAGGCAGAAAGTTCTAAGTTTAACATTTCAAAAGCCAGAAAACTGTAAAGGTTTAATGGGTTAAATTAAGAACAGGATATAGTGGAGGGAGAGTGAATATACTAATCTAACTCATTTACTGAGGAAAGTAATTAAACATATCACGTAAAATAACAGCAAAAATCATTTCAGTATCAAACTGTAAAATAAAGTGAAAAGTGGTTTGCAGGGGATAAGGACATAAAATACATTTTATGACGTGTTATAATGATTTTTGTTCCATCGATCCCTAATTATGGTGACAACCTGACCGTATATTAATTAAGTACATTTGGAATTGTACACTGAACTTCTCTACAGTCAAAGACAGATGATTTGGGTCTGTGTGTGTCTTGTGATGTTTAAAGTGTGCACCAATAAAAAGACACATGTTTTTGAGATGAAACATCCATCCAGTGTGTGTGTGTGTGTGTGTGTGTGTGTACGCACCTCCTTATAGCTACAGTCAGAGCCTCGGGGGAGCTGGCACAGGGACATATGACCTCCGGCTTTAAACCTTTAGACTGGAAGACGTTGAGGAAGGCGTCACAGGATGAGATCGACCCTGAGAGACACAATTAAAAAGTCAGCGCTTCAGTGAACGTGCACCGCAGCAGAAGGCACAGGGGAAACAGCTCAGTACAGCTATTCTTGATGTTATTACTGTAATTTAAGTTTTAGTTGGGATGAGCAGATTTTGTGGGCTTCCCAAATCTTTTTAGAACTTTGTCATAAAATGTTCAAATGTGAGGCTGTCATAGAGAACTTTCTGAAGTAATCTGGGTTTATTTCTTCTTTTTGAGCACTAGTGATGTTGGTAATTCTGACCCAAGGAGGTGGTTTCCACTGGGTATGGGGCAGAACTTAACTGTCCTGGGTTTTACCTCTTAGGCTTTGTTGCTTAACAGATGACACTGTATAGTTAGGATACTGTCTTAAAATTACAATAAAAATGACCGACAATCAAAGCTGAGACAATAAAGGACATGCTCTGTTTACATAAATATTCAAAAAAAAATTAAATACACTCCTCCACACACTCCTGAACCCAGACCAGTATCATTGGTGCTGGTCAAACTGGGTTGAATATCCATGGTCCTCAGAGGATGAACCCATTTGTTATTAATCAGTCTTGATAAGCTTTACTAAATCGCCATCCACAGTGCACCCTTTACATTTTTAGAGTGTGAGCTCTTACAGGGATTTGAACCGTCAGCCACAACCAGCATGCGCAGGGAGCTCAGGTTTACATCTCGCTGGTCCCGGTGGGCCACCAGAGCCCAGTGCATATCCCGCGACTTCACACACGCCACCTTGGCTACACAGAAAACACACACCAACATCCCACATAAATTTATACTCATTTAGTCACTAGAAACTCACATTATCATAAAATGGCTTAACACACAGCTTGTGATATTGCTTAAGTAGCTCCGTGGATTTCAGGATGTTAGCGGTCACACACAACAAATGGCAATTCATTGTAATAAAAATCTATTAACGTGACAAGAACCTTAAATGTTGCGATAGTGTTGTTGTCAATGTGGGTCTGAAATACTGTAGTTTGTCCTAAACACTTACATCACTTAAGAGTTTGTGTCTGCTTTATACACTCAGCGAGACCGTTTGATTTCTGTTCAACAGTTACGTCACATTTAATTCTCAGTGATTGGAAACATACAGTATAATAAAATCCAATTTACGACTCTGTGGCAGAGAGGAGAAAATTCATCTCTGAGCCATGTAATAAGTTTTTGGTGCTGTTGTATTGGATCATACTGAGTAACAATGTACTAAGAGGTGTTTCTAGTATTTGTTTGTAAATTGGGGTTATGAAAATATCAGAAACTCCTTTAAATAAAATAAAGTCCACAATCAAACCAAATCTGCTCAAAATCTGATCTGCTGGACATAAACCCAACATAAAATACAAAACGACAGAAAAAGAGGCTGAGCGACATTTCTCAGTTTGGGTTGATTTTGTTACCTTTGTACTGGCAGGCTTTTTGGATCCAGGACAGAGGGTTGACCTTCATGAGGGCGTAGGGAATACTGATGACATGCATCATATTCATTACACTCTGGCAGACAGAGGCAGAAGAAAAGACAGTGACGGATGCTGCAAGACAACTTGTTTTTGTACCTTTTGAAGTTGAAATTTGTATGACTTGTTTTAAAGATGGACAAATTCTGTTTCTATCAATATTTAACTCTACGCTTGCTAACTTTGGGATTCAAGTAGTTTTGATGACAGCATTAAAATAATTTTCTATGTGTGTCAGTTTAATTTGCTTTCATTTTCTCATTCATTGTTTGAAACGATGAAGCAGGACAGTGAAATGTTAAAGAGTGTTTTGCTTACTGTCAGGACAGCGTGCCACAGTCCTACATCCTTCTTGAAGTCTAATACATTCACTATGGTCTCAGCTGGACAGCGAGAGACAGACAGAGAGTGAGAAACAACACATAATTGTTGTACAATTCTACAGTTTCATTGTCTCAGAAATATTAAGAAAAGTATTCTGCACTCCTGACAGCCATCGGTGGTGGAAGGAACTTCAAAAGTGTAAATGTGCGTGTTACCTTCTGTGTATGAGCAGGACTGTGTGAGGGCCTGGCAGTGTGTGAGCATGGCTATCCTCATCACCGTCACACCGAGGACGCTGCCGTCCTTACAGGTCTTATACTGGACGGACAGAGACAGACAGTAAATGGGCAAGTGTACATAAGAGTAGTGGTCAACCGATATGTGTTTTTCAATGCAGATATCACAACCAAGAAAAATAACGTATAAGTCCATTATTCCCCGCACAGAACAATCTCATATAAATGTCATCTTAGCCAGTAACATGTTTAGATGGATTTTATTAAGAAATATAAGAAATAGAAAAATACATTAGGTTCTGATGTATATTTTAGAACGTGAGAGTGTTTAGTGAGTGGGGTACAGTTCAGTTCAGTGACGTCATTCAGCTACATTATTCTATACAGTATAACAATACATACATTTAACACAATATATATTTAACGCTAGCCAGTAATAACTTTAGATTAGATCTGCAGTCATTTAGGATGACACATTATATATACATAAATAAATGCCAGATATCAGCCTGTTTTATCGGTCTATCACTACTTACGGTGTGTCTCAAGCTCAGTGATTGTTTTGGTTTTTTGATTATTACTGAAATACATATGGGAAAAGGAGGACACAAAGAAAACACTGCTGACTGCAGTTTACAGTTAATGAGGTCCTCTTGTGATGGGGACAGCTCTGTAGCTTTGCTTTAATAAGGTTAAGCCAAACTGTTTTTTGGAATGGAATTTTTTAAACCCAATTGAAATGTCATTATTAGGAACAATATTAACATTGGACGTTAACACTGAAAAACCCTAGGATTGTTTTTTAATGGAATAAAAAAAATGTAATTTCAAATTTGTGAATCTAACTTTGTATTACCAATCCAGGCGACTTTCATGCTGTTTTCAAGTTTACAATTGTTATTGGTGTACTGTACATTGGCAGGGTTCTTATAAGTATAGGACAAGCAATCACACATTTCCATCATTATTTCATATTTTGTTGAGCCGTTAGCAACAGCCCACTTACATCTAAAACATTCAACACATCCAAACACAGGCGTCTGTGTTTGTAAGTAGACAGCTGCTAACAGCTTAATAAAAAGAAAAAAATGTGAGCAAAACGACTGAGAATGCCCACCCCTCTACCTATATGTGAATTCAGTGATCTTGTCTTTTGGCAGGTACATCCCTGAGAAACTTCAAGAGATAAAATATAATGATGACCTCTTTTGTTTCTGGTGGTGCCAGAGCTAAACTCCTGTTATGTGAAATTATACATTCATCTTGAGACATTGCGATAACAATATTAATATGTTGTTGAGTCCGAAAAACTAAAATGTGCTGCAGAGTCGACAGGAGATTCTTTCGAAAATAAGATCTCTGTCTGAAAAGTCTTTCTGACAAATATCTGCTGGCATGAAAACATAACCCATAACGGGCTGCTATTAAAGTTGTCAATCATGTTGAGACATCTTACAAAAAAATTTAAAGACTTTTATAAAAAAAAACAAAAAAAAACAAAGAGAAATTTCTTTGAGTCACAGTAATTTCATCTGTCTTGGCTGTCTGGGGCCTCTGTTACAAACAAAAGGTCGAACATTTTATCAATCACCCTTCTTCTTTCATCATTTTCCTTTCGGCCTTTTTTCAATCTTCGGTGCAATCAAGGAGACATTTCACCTTGCTGACGGTGTAATTACTGCCCGGGGGCTTAAAGGGACATCAAATTCAAATCAACCAGACGAGATAAATGCATTAACCGGCAGAGAAACAGTGAAACCGCCATTCGGCTGCAGTGTAATTCAAATCCTAAAGACATTGAGCACTGCTGATTTCCATTCATAAGGAAGGAATGCCTGGAACTACATGACTGGAAATGTGTTAGTGCTTGTGTTTGTATTAGTGTGTGGGTGTGTTTTACCTCGATGTAGGCAGTGTCCTGGTTAGCGTCTTTGATATGTGGGAACCAGTCTCGGGGAGGTTTGGAAAGGTGTTTGGATTCTGTGACGAACCACAGCACCTTGGGCCAGCCTGGACACACAGGGACACAAAACAAACATCCTAATGACTCCAATGTCTAGAAAAGATTCCTGCCATGACCCTGCCTGCTCCAATACTGTGGCCAGTTGTTGTATTTTGGGGTTCTGGGATATTTTTCAATATCAACATTCATGGTTGAAATTCACAGGCTAGTGCCAGGATTTGGTTTGGATTTAAGATCAGGGGTCTGATCAGATTTACCAAGTAATCCAAGTCTCAAGTTGGCTGAGGTTACATGAATCTATAAAGAGTTCTGACATTTATGACACACGAAATCCAGCCAGCTCCACCTTAGACAACCTAACATTACATTTATGCATTTGGCAGACGCTGTTATCTAAAGCGACTTACATTTGAGCTACAACATACAAGAATCAATAAAGAATCAATAGAGTAAGAGATCTACAAGTGACAATAAATACTTGTAAGAGCAGCAATAAATACTAGTAAGAGCTGTTAGCATGAATGGCATCAAGGGGGTAAATACCTAGGGAAAGAAGTAAGAGTTAACGAATAGTGCACTCAATTGAGAGAATTGTATGGAGCTTGGTAGGCTTGTTCCACCATCGTGGAGTTACAGCCCAACTGAGATTGCGTTGTGTGTAGGGATGGCAGAACCAGGCGGTATTCGTTGGAGGAGTGGCCGAGAAGGAACGTCAGGGTGGCTTACTGTGTAATTTAGGGCCTGATTTTTCTTATGTTGTGAAGAGCAAAGCGGAACGACCGAGAGACAGCAGCAACATGGTCCAAGAAGGACAGCTGGTCATCAATCACGACACCCAAGTTTCTCACCACCCTGGTTGGAGTGATGGTTGAGGAGTCAATCTGTAGTTTGATGTTATGGTGTATAGATTGCTAGGCTGGAATGACCAAGAGTTCAGTCTTAAAGGGATTTAGTTGAAGGTGGCAAGCCTTCATCCATGCAGATATGCCACAGAGGCGGTGGGGTCGTCTAGCGTGAAGGATAGGTAGAGTGTCATATCGTCTGCGTAGCAGTGGTAAGACAAGCCATGTAAGCGAGATATCTGTCCCAGCGAGGTGGTCCATTGTAAAAAAGAAAATGGACTTGCTTCACATTTAACATGACACCTGCAAACAAGCTGTCGTGGCTCGGTGTCTCCAGCAGCACCAAAGATGGTTCTGTTGGGAATAACTACTATGAAAAGAATAACTAATTGTGCTTGGATAAAAGACAAAACCATTGGATGTGTAATAGGGCATCTTATTTATTGAGCACTGTAGTACTTTTAGCACAGCTTTAAGAGTATGACACATGTATGACTGCAATTCACAGCACAAATTATTTGAGCTGTTGCAAATAAAACCTTTGAATCTTACAAGTTTTCTGGGTAAAATCTTTAAAATTCAAGTGGCATGCACAGAAAACGTGGATGTTTTGACAAAATAAAGCAATAGTGCAGAACAAATTACAAGGCTTCCATTTTATTCTTAAGAAGGCTTTCCATGTGGCATTTAAATTCAAATGTGTCTGTTGTTCTCATTAATAGGGAATTAAACTTTGTGTTGTTTCTGCAGTAAGTGGTTAATTTAGGTCAACATTGCCCAGTTTTACAAAGCATTAATTTGGCAGACTCTTTTGTCCAAAGCATCTTACCTTGGGAGGCATTTAGGGGTTCAGTGATTTATACAGCAGAACACGAGTGAATGTAAAATCCTGAGTATGTGAGGGCTGTTAATGTCTGAATTAATATTGCTGCTCCTTCCCAGGCAGTGAGACAGAAGAGACAATCAGCCATGTGAATGTGATGAGTCTAAAGCCTGCTGATCAATAAGCGGAGCACTCCACCTTAATAAGACACACACACACACACACACACACTCCTAAATCCATGCTGAGTGAGGAGCAGTAAAGCTGGCGGCATCATGTTGCTATTTATACATCCATTACTGAAAGCAAACAGTCGTTATTAATCACTAGGAGATTCTCTCTCTTTCTCTCTGTCACTCTCTGTGTTCACTGCTAATGTCTCCCTGTTCTCAATGCATCGGGTCTCCTTCCATCCATTCGCAATTCTGCTTCACGGATTCCCTCTCTTTCGGTTTCTCCTCTCCCTCTATGTCTCTCTATTCCCCTGCCCTCCATTACTCAGACTAGCTGTCTGCTGCCATCAGTCTGTCCATTCATCCTACTGAGAGAGACAGGAAAGCTGTGCTGAAGCAAGTGAGGCACGGCTATACATTGACCTTTGACCTCTGTACTCCAACTGTGTGTGTGTGTGTGTGTGTGTGTGTTTTGAGTATTCAGTGTGTTTGTCACATGTATTTACTGAGTTAGGGTGTATTATTACTGCCACGTAAAGTCATTATTAAAGTATTTCTGGTCCATTCTTTTTTGCCCATTTATCTTTAATTTTATCAAATTCTATGTATTTATGTAAATCATTTTGAATCACTTTTTTCAATTGTGTGTTGTTTCGATGGACTTTAATTCTTGGATGTTTAGTTGGAACATTTCTGCACTAGATGCTCCACTTCTGTACGCTCCAGATTTAGGGTTGGAAGCCCGTCATGTCTGATTTAGGCCACTTGATGATCCGTCTGCATCATTTTAATTTACATTTTGCACTTCTTTTATTCTTTAAAATATTCTGCCACACGGGTGTACTGTATACTGCTATTTTTTGAAAAGTAACACAGAGAAATGGCTGCAGCAGAAAAGTTGATCCACTTATTTTACAGTTATAACAACATTCTAAGGTTGGACTTAAGTATTTAGCTATGACAGCTGCCTGATAGTGATAATATGATTTGCATGAGGTGTCTTTGTTTCAGTTCATATGATGGTATTGACTGTATGGTATTTTTATAAGGGAAAAAGGAGTAGATTTTGGCAAGAATTCCCACAAATACTAGGATCTTGATTCTTGATATTTGATACTACTGTGTCTTTGAACACAGAAGTTGTCACTCCATGCCAGTATGTGTGATGATAGGCAGTGTGTGTGTGTGTGTGTGTGTGTGTGTGTGTGTGTGTGTGTGTGTGTGTGTGTGTGTGTGTGTGTGAGACCTTTGAACTGTGGGATCTCTCCAGTGGGACTCTTGGGTAACCCTTTATGGCAGGCGTCACTGGTCAGAGCCACTGTAACTCCACAGCTCCCCAACAGAAACCCGATCTGCTGACTGCCGGCATCCTGGAGAGAGACAGAGTGATCAAATGTGATTAATCAACTGGATTGGATCGTAATTCATCAATAACTGCTTCTTTGTCCTGCTCAGCTCCTCCGTTCTATGCAGATATGAAGTAGGAGTCGTTACCTTGCATGTCCAGGGATCTGAAAGTAAAAGTCCTGTTCATTTTCTCATAGAAGAGGTTGGGTGACCGACAGTTGCAGCACATTAAGGCTGACTGTGTTAGAAACTATCTTTAAAACCAAGTCAGTGGACATAAATATGTCAACTACAACTCCAACAATTCATTTCTATACAAAACATCCAATCACAGAGCCTAAAATTCTATTGTGTGCATCGGTGATAAAAACTGATAAAAATGTTTAAAACGATTCACGTTTCAGATGAAGTCAGCAAATACGGTGCAGTGTTTTGTACATTGAGTATATTTTTTTATTATTTTATGTGGAAAATCTGAAAGCGACTCATTTATAGTGCAAGGTGTAAACATACGATATTCCTTATCTGGTATATGTGTTACTGAAACAAGATTACACCAACATATGGATGACCACTTGATATGGTCAATATACCAGCAGGATCTACAAATACATGCTCATATGGCTAAAATCTAAAACAAAATGAGTGTAAGTAAGGAGATAGAACCTTCATTAACAGTATAAAATATGTTTTTGCTATAACAACAGATAATACATGTGGAAAACCAGTAATTCCCCGTTCTGTGTCAGTGTGGTTCAATGAGTCGTTCGCATATGAAACAAGGATGCATAGTTTAAGAAAAACTTTAGAGAAATTCTAAAGTTTAGGGTCTCAATATTTTTCATTTATTTATTTATGTACTTCTACATTTAATTTAATTAATTTATCTTTCTGTTATTTACAGTTTTTTAACTTTATTAATTAATTTCACATGAATTAATAAAAGATTGCAAAGAAAATGTATTAAAAAAAACTTCACAAGGCCACACTCCGACCTCCACTGACTCTGACGCACCCTTTGGCCCTCCTGAGTCCTTCCCAGGGGACGTTACAGTTCAGTGTGATAGCCAATCCAAACTATGACTCAAACAAACCTACAACAACAACAGCAGAGATGTTTCCTCAGAGACATTTGGCTCTGATTACTCCTCTGCAGAGCTCATTGTCCTCTGTACTGCACCATGATTCAAGCCACGGCGCCTTCTGATGACTCATGTTTTTAATACAATCCCCTGGTGAAGAATTAGCTCCATTGACTGGAGTGAATTAGCGCTGTTTGACTCTGCTGCGTGTCTTCTTTTCAACTCACTAATGCTGTTTGACATGAAGAAAAAGAAGAAATGGTCAAAAAACTTCTCTGACTGCCCGAGGTCCAACTAAAGCAACTGAAAACAGACAAGCCCTCCGTCACTTTCTCTCTTTCTCCATCTATCATGTTTGCTTAATTAGATAAACCATGTCATTTAGACAGCATGCTTTACGTTTTGTACAAAAGCTATTCTAATGCAAATTAGCCATGAACATAATGTTCAGTAGATAGGATTGGGTAGACCTAGAAAGATAAAACTTTGCACAAGTAAAGCAAGAATGTTGAATACCAGTTTATGGCCTAGGGACATTTGCACAATGCAACAAAACTAGCAGCAACAATTCCTTTTTTGTAAAGCTGATAAGGTTCAGGTCTGGTTGATGCAGCAACAGAGAGGAGATCATCAGACTCATCAGACTCTTTGCTCTGTCTTGAGTTTGAAAGACAGTCAATGGTACGTGTACTTTAACACACATACACCTAATTTCCTAACAAGTGGTTTGCTGTTTTACTATTGTTATTCATCGTTTTTTCTTCCTTAGTTTCTCTGTAAAAACAGCATGCATGGGCAGAACTCTTGTATTTGGAAGTATGCTTTGTATTGAGACTACTGTGACCACCAATACATTTACATCACTGAATTGTATAACACTGACATATGTTTTGCACAATCTAATTTATTTATATGAGGGGGGCAGAATATTAGAAAACGCCTCTCATTATAAAATCGGAATAAATTAACATCACATAATTTTGATAAGATACACATGACACATCTGTTCAAATGCCCACTGACACACAAACTGGTCTAAATACGTCAGTATTTGATTGAAGTTCTGCATCGTGAAAACTTACCTTCTTAGTCAGTGGTACTTCTATTGGCACAGGGACAACTTCGGCCAGCAGGCAGCCGTAAAAAGCCGTCATAAAGGCTGCAGGGTCGTTGTTTGGGAAGACCAGCGCCACCTAAAAGCAGAAGGAGACAGGAGAGACAAGTTAGAGTTGGGAGGTAAGAGAAGGTAAGAGATTACAGAGTTACAGAGCTTTGTTGTTTTTTACAGATGTGTGAGGAACGAAAAGAAGAACCATCACAGAGTGTGTCATTAAGCTGTCATTCCACCTCGAGACACCAGAACAGGGAGCTGCATCAGCATCATTAGGTTTCTATACTCATATATTCAGATTTCTGATTTAATTTGTCACCCATCTGTGCTAACACAGAGGCATTTTGTCGAGTTTGCCTACAGAGTGAAAAGTGGCAAAGAAGTCAAAAATCTAAATCTAAATAAAATGAAAAACTGTGTGTGTGTGTGTGTGTGTGTGTGTGTGTGTGTGTGTGTGTGTGTGTGTGTGTGTGTGTGTGTGTGTGTGTGAGAGATGCTAAAAGATGATCACTGATATGGACTGTCGCCAGAGAGCCAGACGTTCAGCAGAGCAGCCGATGGATCTTATCAGAGAAGAATAAAGCAAAATCTTTCGGGGGGCATCTGGTCAATGTCTCTCGCTTGCTCTCTTCAAATTCTTTTCCTCATAACTTCCTTTTTCCAATTTTGTTATGCTATTCAGTCAGTCTACCTACCAACCGTCACACTGTATACCTTCTCTTCAGTATCTCTCCCTCTCCTGGCTGAGTATCTCTTTGTTTATCCCCCTTCAGCATCTTCCTCTGTGTTTCAGCTCATTTCACTTCAGTTCAAACTGGTTTACTACCCACTGAAGTTAGGTTAAACTGCTGTTATAACAGCAGCAAATATGACAACAAACCTCTCAAAAATCAGAAGAAAACCAGAACAATAAAACTTTGAAAAGTACAAAGTGAAAGGCACAAAAATGAACCAATAATTAATTAATTAAAAATCTCCTTCTTTCACTTTCTGTATACATGAACTACACATTATCAGTGTATCTTTTCCCTACGGGCGGCTGAGGCTCAGCAGGTAGAACAGGTTTGCCACTGATCACAGAGTTGGTCGTTCAATCCCAAACTCCTCCTGTCCACATGTCAAAGCCTCTTTGGGCAAGACACTGAACACCAAATTGCTCCCGATGGTTACCCAGCACCCTGTAATGTAGCCAATTATCCTGCATGCAGGGTTTGGCACTGAGAACTGGGGAACCTGCTTTTTGTGTTAATGCACATACAGAGTGACAATGTGGAGATATGCTGGCAAAAAAAAAATTACAATTAGAAAAAGTACAAGAATGGAGCTTGTCCCCTCATCTTAAACATATTATTTCTCATCTTACACCCAGGACATGAACATAACAACCAGATGCAACATGGTTCTATAACGTCACAGCAGAGCCTTTATCTCCTGCTCGGCCATGTTGGATCCAGTTTGGCTTCAGCTGCATGTTGTGATGATAACGGTGAATCCCAGTAAGTGCTGCGTAATAGCTTCCATATACAGTACTGGACAGGAGGTGAGTGTGTGTGTGTGGTATGGGGTTGAAGCTATAAGCTAAGTGCACCTGAGTGAATGAGAGCGGTGTAATGACGCTTTAACAGGGCTAATGTTGACATGTGCAGGTCTCATTGGAGCCGTTCAGGTTTCATCTGTAGAGTAGAGTGGGGGGGGAAATGACTCTGTTACTGTGTGTGCATGAGGCTGCAGAGACTTAACAATGTCATACTGTATAAAACTGCAAAGGTAAGGCTCGTTGTTAAAGCTTTTAACCACCGAGGGGCAGACTGCTTTATTGATTTTCACCTGGTTTTTATGTCACTATGACCCTAAAATGCGTTGTGTGCTGAAGTAGTGTCAGTGTGAAGTGTTTTCAGCACACACTGATGTGTTAGTTATCTATTGCTGTTTCTCTCTCACCCATACCTCTCCCCATCTCTTTATTTTCTGTGCGGTTCCGGTCTCATGTCCTCTCCACTTTTCTCAGACTCAGATTACCAGCTTCATTGCAGCTAACATCCTCTCTTCTATCGATTTCTCGTATACCCATTTGGGTGTCCAGATTCACGCAAATATCAGATATGTTTGACATTAAATTAGCATCTAGCTTCTAACTATGCAGCCACTGTGCAGCCTGGAAAACAGAAACCAGGACCTCCTTGCTGTTAATCAACAATGCTAACTACTGACGCCTGCATAACAGCTGTCTGGGCATACTGTCCGGCTACAAAAAGTTACTTCACACCTTCTAGCCAAACAAAATTGAGAGAATTTTGCTTTATAGGCAAAGAAAGCAAAGGTTCTGCGGGGACTCCCCTTCTGCTTGGTGGCTGAGGTAAGATTACTAGTATTGTTGCAAGATTTTGTCCCATATTTTCATGACTGATGACTCTGTGCTACACTGGCGAAAATTCTAACGTGTAATTTTAAACCAATTTCATATTATCGAGTGGATGATAACGTAAGAGGCTGTCAAATCTTATGAAAAGCAATCACATGCACAAACCATTCCAGATTCCTCACCAGTCTCATTTCCCACAACTGTTGTGAGTTTGTTCTTCCACAAGGAATTACACAACCTCTAATGTATTTTCATAAAATAACAACTTCTTTCTCATCTCTTGGTGTTACTAAATCTCCTCAGCCTTCTAAACGCTCGCAGCAAAACTCATTTCTGTAATTCATCCTGCAGGACACTTTCCTCCTTCAAAAAAAACACTGTAATTTCTGTTTGTAATTTATTATATCTTCAGTAAAACAGTGAAAAAGACCAGTGTGTAATTCACCCCGAGTGGGAAGAAAAAGGATTTGTACAGTAATTAAAACACACACCCTTCAGGCTGATGTACATGAAATAAGCACACACACAGGCATCATGCCAGTCTTGATTTATCCATCCGTCTGGGAAATCGAGCTTAAAATATAGATGAAAGAGGGACAAGAAGAACCTTTTTCCACTTTATTATGATCGAGGAAAGGAAGGACGTAACATATGTCTCCATATTTAAAACATTGAGTAATGGCCATGTGATTTTTGGCCAGTACCCAAGAATCTTGAGAGGTAAACTGCTCATTTTTTCCCGTCCAGCTTCTCTGTGATGTTTTAATACCAAAGGAAACCAAAGAGACAACAGAGGAAACGGTCTGATGTTTTCGAGTCCAGCTGTCTCTGGGCAGAGTACTGACTCTTGTTAAAGGATAATTTCAGTATTTTTAATCCTGGCCCCTATTTTAGCATATTTTGGTACAAACATTTTTGGAATCCGTGCAGCAGATGGCTTCAGCTGGCAGCCGCAAATCAACTGCAGAGGATGCAACGTATTCCTTTGGGGCAAAATTACAAATTTTTTAAATTGCAAAGTTGAAGTAACCTTAGGAAATGAAGTCTTGCTAGTAGCTCCTTTCTGTAAAAAAAAACCTCCTCTCCTTTGTTTCAGCCGCTCGCCTCAACTTATAAATATCATCTTTTGTGAGTATGTGTATGTACTTGTTTTGGTTTTCTTATACTTACCCGATCTCCAGGCCTGACAAGTGGTTCCTGCTTGGTTCCCAATTTGTGCAGCAGATTGTAAGCCACCTTCACACTTCTAGACCACAGTTTTCCTATAGGCAGATACAAACAATAGAAGGTTTAAAATGATGAAATCCAGGAGCATGGCTAATTTATGAAAAAACGTAATAAGGAGATCAAAGTGTTTATTGTCAGACAACTTTTGGGTGCCCTATTTAAAGATTCTGTTAAAAGAACACATTTCTTTGACTTTTTCTCATAGCTGTATGGCGGGAAAAAAGGATGACATCATGAGTCCCCATATGCAAGAAATTACGGCCCTGACATGACACTCAATGTTAAAACACCTTTGAACTTTCACATATTTCACCTCGCGGGAGATAATCACACAGACTTCTTAACATCCAGCAAACCAAACCCGCCTCATGACTGTGGTGTAATTGGATCCATGTACAGTGATGCTTTACACACAAGAACACAACCACAGTACATTAGAGGAAGTCATATAGGCCACATAAGTATATAATTACAGTCATAAAGCATTTTGGTATCTTGACATATGTATTTAGTTTTAATGTCAGTGCTCACGCAACTTTATCCAATGTGTTCAAACCCTTTACCTCTTGTTAAAAACAAACAACTTAAAACATTTAAGATGCAATTTGGGAAATATTTTAGATTTTACAGAACAATGTCAAAATAACTGCTGCTTTTAATATCACCCTGTGCATATTAAGTTGAATAATATTTTCAAATCTTTCCGATCAGTTTGATCTCCCTGCCAGGCGTAGTTGGCTCAGTTCATTAACACTGTTACTCACAACAATAGAATCAATTTCCATCCCCCCCCCCCCCCTAATTCAGACTGGCAGACGCAGATATTATGCATGAGCAATCCAGCGTGAATTCCTCATTGTTTTTCAGACTAAATGAGGTGTTTCTGATGTTTGTCAGAGCTAATGAATTGGAGAAAAGCAGAGCTTTGGGATCCCACACGGAAAATAGACAGGAGAGGAAAATACAGTCAATTGCAAACAAAGGCAGAGCAACAGTGACTCAGTTACAGGAGGTGTGACTACCGTTTATAGAAAATGGAATTAAAAAATAATTTAATTAATGAATTCAGAATTAAGGGCCAACAAAAAAACAGCCATTTGTGTTTTTGAGGAGTAAACTAAATTTTTCCTTTACAATTATTAGGGATGCCAGGAGAGCTTAGAAAGAAGTAACTGCCTAAAATCTGCCTAGCAGCGGCGTCCACGCTTTGATGTGGTGTTTGGGGGGAGAAAGCCTAGCAGTTATGATGCTTATAGTCACTCATGATGCTTTCTTAGATCCATTATAATGCACATACTTAACAGTATAATACAAAGGATATGTATGATCCTGGTGACTATTTGAAAATATACTGATTATAGCAAATATGCAACACTGCAACATTGTGCATGTGTACTTGGAGACTTTTTTAATAGTTTGGTTATGAGGATAATATCTCCTTCAGGGGAGGTGTTTATCTGTTAAGTTTGAGAAAGAAAGTTAAGCTTTGAGCAGTAATAATTAATTTCATTGGCTACTTGGAGGCAGCACAAAAAAATAAAATATATTTATAAGAAAATTGGCATATTATTACTTACTAACGCTGTACAGTATATGTTTTGGCAAACAGGAGACTCTGAGCAACATTAGAATTTTTTTGTCTTTGTATCCACCAGATGAATCCTGTCCAACATTGACTCTCCTTTTAGCTCTGTTTGTGGTCTCTATCTATCCCTGAAAATAATTGCCTACTAGCTAAAAAATCTATGGCTGTGTCCAAAATCCCACAACCATTCACTACTCCCTACCCTCTATGTAGGGAGTTGTATGTAAAGGACTACATAGTGAGCTCACTCGCATTATTAAAACAACACTTTCAGACACTACTCAGCAGCGTTAATGACGTCATTGCCGTCGGACAATCACTTTTTTTCTATCAGCGCAATGCATGATGGTATGTAGGGCTTGGTTAGTGACCAGCGGTTGTACACTACTTTTCAAAATGCATTCTGGGATACATCGAGTGGACTATATAGAGTATAATAACTCTCACTATACATTCGGACAGCACCACAAAATAGCGAGCTAACTATATAGTGAGTAGTAGGTGATTTTGGACACAGCCTATGTGTACATTTTTTGCCAGATGGTGGGAATACTTGAATTTGGAACAACACTCTTCACGTGTTGTTTTTCATTCACACCACGGTCCATGCAGGCATGAGTTGCTGACTTGTAGCTTGATTCATTCAAACCTGCTGGCAGAGAAATGAGTAAGGCAGTGACGCAACATAGATGTATCCAGAGCATCTGGTCCCGCCCACAGTCTCACAACAGATCCAGCGAATTATCTGATCTGAAAAATGTTTTTTTTAAAGTGTGAAACTCTTCTCGTTAATATTGTATTGCTCCAGGTTTACATGAGTGTCATACAATGCTGTAATGTGACTGGACCTGCAAAACGGGTCAGTTTAGAGTTTTGGAGTGGTGCTTTACATTGGTTCACAATAATTTCGACTTGTGACCCTTTAAAGTGAAGCGACGTCTACCCATGCCCCCTTAAACACATGATGCCCATGTCCATGTTAGCTACTCACGATTGTTTCATTTGAATCATTTTCAGAGGCCTGAATAGGTGAAACTCTCCATTATTTCACCATGAAAAGCAGAGATTGGACAACATTTTGAAAAATAAAATCATAGTTTGTGTAGCCTCTGCCTTAGCAATTACCTCATGACCCCTCAGATTTATCTCTGGAATGGTCCTGACAGCCAGGTTGTGAACCACTGCTCTCCACCTTTTTTCACTAACCACGAGTAATTTCCCACAGTTGAGTATTAAAGAAAAGGTATAAACCCACAATAGTTTAATGCAGGATATCCATGAATTGCAGGAAAACCTACTTTTTCTGTAACTGTAGGAACTATTGCAGTGACCCTGAATCACTTTTGTGATAAGATGGGGTGCCCAGTTCAAGGGCACTACATCAGTAATAGTGGGCACCCTAGGGATGACAACTAGCCATCCTCCAGCTGGAAAACATGTTCAACAATCAGAGAAGAGGATTCCTGCTGCCAGAAGAGTCCAAATCAGAGAGCAGCAGCTCCAGATGTAATCAGAATGTTTCTGTGTGGAGCTGGGGTCTGCTTTTTTAGGATGACATTACTCAGCTTACCCATGAAATACTCATCCAGCAGCCTTTTGTCCTCTGAAACCGAGGAGATGGAAAGGAAACTGTCCAATCATCTAGTTTAATTTAATTGAAAAGGGCACTTTTGTTCTGAAATTACCATTTGAGAGCAGCAGCTACTCTCCGAAAACGACTTCAAGACCAAAACTAAGACAAAACCGGTTCTTTCACAAACTGAGGCCTTGGTTGACAAAAGGATAACACATCTCTGCACTGGAACAATATTTCACACATACTGAGTGATGACTTTCTATTGAGTTTTTTTTTCTCCAAATCATATACCATTTCATACCTCACAATATCATATCACATTAAAATACATCGTAATATATCATGTTGTACATTATTGTACTGTGTCATTTGTATAGAACACAGTATCATATAACACTGCATAGTGTCATATTGTATTGTATCATTCTATATGGTATGGCATTGTACTGCATAGTATCCCGTTGTGTTTTATTGCATGGTACATTATTTTATTGCATTATTTAGAATCACAAATCATACACATACAATAATATACTGTACCACACTGCTTTAAAATCATATTGTGCAGTATTATATTATACCACATTATATTTTATGGTTGTTATGACCTGGCTCAAAAAGGCCACAACTAAAGGGAGACACACCATGGTAAACAGTTAGCATATGTTTATTTAATGAAAATAAGCCAAATCAATAGTTACTTCAATTAACATAATAAAAGTATGAGGTATGTAGTCTGTGGTTTCAGTAGTGTCTGTGTAGGATGATGGTTGCATGAATGTATGTGTGAAGCTGTTGTAATATGCAAAAACAAGATAAATACCACAAAGCAATAGTCCAAACTCTCAGAGAGAGAGAGAGAGAGAGAGAGAGAGAGAGAGAGAGAGAGAGAGAGAGAGAGAGAGAGAGAGACCACACTCACTCATGACCCCACAGGGCGTCACAGGTATATCGCACCGTACAGTCAACTATCATATCATATCAGATGTCTTGCCTTTTGAGACTCATGGTACATAGTCTCAGGAAGTTAGGGAAAATCAAAACTACTGGTTTGGCTACAGAAGTCATCAGTATGCGGTTCACCAAGTAAAGTTTTTTCTACACTAGAAAGACCAGCGAAGAGGCGGTCAAGAAGCTGAAGTGGGTAAGGCTCTTACATGGTGTAAAACATTTTAACAGTGTTGGTCAAGCTACTTGGAAAATGTAGTGAGCTAAGCTACAAGCTACTCTACATTAAATGAAGCTTCAGTACACAGAAGCTACACTGCAGTGAAATGGAGCAAACTATATATGTATCCTACTTACTGCCATCATTGCAGCAAAATGCAACAAACTGACATTTTGTGTTTTGAGTTTGTTTTGTGGTTGTTTTTTCCTCTTTCCTTAGTTTTTATAATGTTATTTCATTGTATCTTAATTATATAATTTTTTTCATTGTGTATATGTGAATTTGTGTTCTGGCAACATTCTTTACCTAAACGCTCATGGCAATAGGCCTGAGAGAAAGAGAAAGAGACCTCTTATCTCATGGAAACAAGTTTCCTCCTCACTAGAGGAAGAGCTGTCCAGGCTGGACCCTGATCCTTCTCACAAGAGGTGTTACAATAACTATCACAATAGAAAGTAAACTCAATCGCGTGTCTTTATTCCCCTGCAGCAAAGTCGCAGGTATCAGCCCAAGGGTCGATACGTGATGTCACTGTCACAAGGAAGTACTTCCTCCGGCTGCACATACAGGTCCGTGTGTGGCGGTGGCGTCACTTACTGATCCTTCAGAAATGCTTGGGAAAATGTAGCGTGTGTGGAAGCTACCGCGCTACTTGGTCAATAAAAGAGCTTCGATAGTGAAAAGCTATATGATTCAAAAAACAGCG